TTAAGATATGGGTTCAAATAGATTTAAGGGTGGATTTAGGTTAAGGGTGTTGGGCAGGTAGTAACTGTGGTTAAGGCTATGGATCAGTCTTCAGTCAATGTAATGTCTCCATAAGACATGTAAACTCAATGTGTGTGAATTTCATGGATGTAAAAATACACAAAAACAGGATAGTCTACCATGTTTATTGGAAAAAAAACATTCAAAGCATCTTGGGGTTGGAGTACAACAGTGCTGTGGAGTAGAGAGACAGGACAAAACAGGCTGCTGATATTGACCATATATAAAACATATACCACATATACTTTCAAAAAAAGATGCTGAATTTATGAAGGGTTCCTTGGAACAATTTTGAGTTTGATAGGCTTCACAGGTGCGGACTTCCAGTTCAAGACCAGTGGAATCTAAATGAGAAAGCAGTTATGAAACTGGACCTTTGCCCAAGTCGACTTAAACAATAAATTATGATTCTATGAACTTTACCACAGTTTCTTTACACGTTTCCAAAGTGTAGCTCTGAAGGAGGCGCACCACCACCATCTTCATAGTTAGGATCGCATATCGCATCCCAATGCAGTTGCGAGGCCCTTGTCCAAAAGGCATGAACACATATGGGCTGATCTCATGGTCTTTACTAAATCTGGAGTTACATTATAGATGCATTACATTAATTATTGTATTGTGATATATAAGACAAAGAGTAAAAACATAAAATGCTGCACCGACCTCTCCGGTTTGAAGAACTCAGGCTGGTCCCAAAAACGTGGGTCCTTGTGCAAAAGGGCCACAGGGATTCCCACCACGGTCCCCTCTGGGACAGTGATGCCGTGGATCTGCACTGTCTTCTTACATGCTCTCTCAAGACGTGGGGCAGTTGGGGTCAGACGCTGGGACTCACTCAGACACTGATCCAAATACTGCAGGCTCATCAGATCCTCATAAGACACTGGAGCCTACAGAATGGAGGGTAGAGTCAGTACAGTAAAACAGTGAGCTTAATTCTACTGCAGAACACTGTACATCTTTAGGTAAGCAGGTGTCAATCTCATCATGTAATTTCTGTAAAGCTTCAGGATTGAGGGCCAGCTGGTACAGTAGATAGGAGAGAGTGGCACTGGTGGTCTCATAGCCCCCAAAGATGAAAATTATGGCTTGGGAAAGGATTTCATGCTCGGTCAGACCTAGACAAAAGTGTAAATGTCAATAATATTATCCATACCTTCCAACCTTTGAGCATAATTACCTAATAATGACTGTTAGTTCAGTTTTACAATCAGTAACCAAATACTAAGCCTATTAAGCAATCAAGCAATTAAGCAATTAATCAATTAAAGAGATTGACCATTCGTAACTGGTATAAAACTAGGTACAAAACCATACCTTTACTGGGTTGTTCATCTTCATTTGGTATTTCAGGAATTTCATTCTGAATCATCACTTGCAGGAAGTCTCCTCGGCTCTATACAAATTTATATAAATGTAATATTGGTCACATTGCAAACATTTATAAGAGAGATAATAATAATACATGCTGCTTACTTACAGTCTTGTCTGAATGATGCTGATCTTTGAATTTTTTAATGATGTCATAGAAAAAGTCTATAGTGGCTTTGGGAAAGAGGGACAGACCGAGAGCGTTCACTATCCATGTACCAAAGGGAAACACCACTGCAGACAGAGAGACAGGGGTTACACAAAACTGTATTAGCCTAAGCGTAACGTAAATTCAACCATACGTAATATAATCAAGGGCAAAAATGAGAAGTTCATCATTTTCTTCAAATGAGTGGTAAAAAGTCCATCTGGACTGGTAATGGCATCTGTGTCGACACTGAAGGATGCACTGGACACAACGTCTAGACTGTAGGGGGCCACAAATCTGAAGCACATAACTGTTAGAACAGAAAACAGTATTTGGGGCTTTAGACAGGTATAGGCACATTTCTTACGCTTTAATATCCACAGGTTCGTCCAGGTTTGTTTTCTCCAGTGTCTGTACTAGTCGCTCTGCATAGCGATGGATTATGGGAAATACCTGTAAAAAGATTTTTAAAACCGTGTACTTAATATATTGCTCAGATAGAAGTGAAATGTAGGAGCCCAGATAGAGTGAGGCTATTTGGTGAAAGAACTGAATAACAATGGGTACTATTTATTTAAATATTTTGTAATAAAATATGCAATAAATATTGAAAATTTTATACCACAGAAAAAGTAATAGTAAAAGAAATAACAGTAAACCGTGTGTGCATGTCTGCAGACTTTGTAGTTATATTCTTAAAACATGGTAAGAAGTTCAGTTTCACCTGCTTTAGTCTCCCACTGGTGAAGCATGGTGAAAGTGTGTTACGGATTCTCCTCCACCTGTCATCCTTTACTGCTGTAATGGCATCACTCAGTTCATCTGACATGTTAGTGTCCTGAGGAATTCAAAGACAAGTAATATTTAACTTTTACATTTAAACACTTGAAGAACTTTGAAATACATTGAGACTTTTTGTTTGGATGTTTTGTCACACATTAGAAGTATTTTGTCTGCTCATGCATAATATGTGCAGTAGTGAGAAATGAGGGGAAATTGGGGAAAATAGTGTGATTTCGAATAATTAAAAAGAAATGTTGTATTTTTTATAATCATAAAACTAAAGCACAATATTTTATGATTGTTTGGTTAAGCTGTTAGACTCACCCTTCGATTGGTAAATGCAGAGTAGCACTCCTTTACCAACACTGTCTTAATAATTTCAGGATCTGCCACCATTAAAACTGGCAGACGGCCATCATAGAGCCTAACAGCAACAAACACAAAGGAAAACTCAACATCTCCTAAGAAATGTATTAGTGAAGCTATTTTAAATTACAACAGGCTGTATCAATGGAGCTCAACAGTGACCACCTACCCTCCAGTTCCAGAAGTAAATTTCTCATTCATCTTTCCCAAATCAATCAATCAATCAATCAGTCAATCAAAGTTCGCAAGTTTGCTCAGGGCTATTCAGATATATGGTAACTAATGACCACAAGACCTATAATTTTATTTTAAATCCATTTCTGAAACTTTTGTGTTTAACTGCCAAGGTATTAAAGCACTTTGACAAATCTTTCATTTTAAATGTACTTATTGGACTTAAAACAACCACATAATGGATAATGGTTACTGTTACGGCCCCAGGCCTTAGTTGTAATATTTCTGCAGAGTTCTCTTGATTCCTGCTGCAGGAGTCCTGGTCTGTGATTGGTGGGGCAAGTCGACGCCCACCTCACCTGCAGCCACCTCCCCCTATTTAAGGAGATTGCCAGCACCTGTTTGGGGCTGCTGGCCTTGGTGGCCAGTATGCCATTTTGGTTTCGTGTATGTGTGTTAGTCTCATTCTGTTTTGTGCCTTTTTTTGATTTGGTCACTTGATTCTGTTTGTGGGCTTATGTGGTTTAATTTGGGGAACTTGTGTTTTAGTTTAGTGTGTGTCCCTAAGTTTTACCACTCGTTTTTGTGTAAGCCTGCGTGACCCCTTTTCTGGCACAAAACTCTGTTTATTCTGTTGTTTTGTTTCTAGGTTTAGGTTATTTTCTGTATATTTTTAGTGTTTTGTTAATTTACCTTTACATTCCTGTTAATTAAACATTACTTAATTTATTCCATTTTACATCTTGGTTTTATTTTTGTTACTTCCCTCACCCCAAACGAGCCGGGTCGTAACAGTTACCGTCTAGGTAGTTAGCCTCTGCAATGTCTTTGAACTCTTAGATAATTAAAGATAAAAAAATATATATATGGGAAAATGAATGGAAAATTTACTCCTGGAACCAGAACAGTTGCTGTTGAGCTCCTATGAGACAGCGCATGCTCATCACCAGAGGTGAGGATTTGTTTTTCTGTAAAAATGCTTTAAAATATCCTACCCCCAAACATCTCCATACTTCTGGTGGCACACTCTGTCAAAAGGTAAAACACCCTAGAAAAAAAAAAACATGTTGATTTGGTTGAATTTGAAACATGAGGATTAGCATTACAATAGTGTGTAGAAAGGTACACCCTTACCTTGCTGAAATACAGCATTGTTCCCACAAAAGGAATGGGGGTGGGTCCAGGAATTCCCAGGTTTTTGAAAAGTCTATATGGCCAAATCCCATACCTAAAAATACATTAGTGGATAACAAGCAATAACATGACAATAAAATATAAAGTGCATTCGCTGTCTGAATTTGTCTCTCCATAAATAGGCCTATGATAGCATCATAATCATAACACAGACAATTAAAGGTGGTAATCTCTAAAAATCAAGTCACTTCAGTCATAATTCAGTTTAACAAAATTAACTTTGTGAATAAAACTTGCTTTTGACTGAGATTTTTTTTAGATATGTTCTGTGAGGTTTCTGTTGGTCTGCAATATGTGTAAAATATTACACAATCATTTACACAACAAAAACGCTTATTTTCAACATAGACCTACTTGCTTGTCACCTGAATCTGAAATTAGAACTATTTCACACTTAGACTTTGAAGTCTGCAATAAGACCTAGATCACTAATAGACTACCTGGCGATTTCTTTTACTTCTATAGTGACTATAGATTATCTTCATACCTGTGGTTCTGTTGTGCCCCTATGTCTTTGGTCAGTTGGCTTTGATAAGAGTATGCAGTAATTACAGTTTAAGAGCTAACAAACAAAACACGACTTACAGCAACAGCAGGGTAAAAAAAGAGAGCCAGCAGAGTCCATGTGGATGCTGAAAACCATGAAAAAAGAAACATGGTTGGTATCTTGTCCTCTCTTGAACTTACTATAGAAGGAATATGAGACAGTAACCTGTCCTGTCAGACTAACTCACTAAAAACGGAAACGGTTGTTTTGTATTTATATTGATGTGGGTGGAGTTTTTCACTCTAGTGACCTCAGATCCATAACCCTAGAAAGCTGACACAAGGAAGTACAGGACCATACATGGCCTTATTTAACTCAGTGAAGGGAACCTGTAATTATCCCACGAATAATGAAGGAACATATTGCGTGTAAATAGACTACACTTCTAAACTACAGGGTTTTTATTCCAATTGTTGCTGCATTTATCTTGTGTTAATCTGATTATAACCCCAAATCACGAGTAAACATTTCAATTAATAAGAACGCCGCTTGACATCATTTGAACCAGTTCGCACGCCATACAAAACGCGGAAGTACGTTCACTGACCCCGTTGTCTCTTTTTCACATGTTTAGTGGGTATTATCTTTTCTTTCAGTCATAAATCCGTTTGACTGTATTGCCCAGTGTGTCCCACAATAAAACTACTGGTAAGTCAACACCACTTTATGTATTTTTTTTGTTGTTCAGCTTCAAATTGACCCTTCTTTTACCTTCTTCCTGCATGGAGCTAACACTAGCCTCAAGCATTAGCGTTCGGTCACATTATCATTTACTACTTCATTTACTTTTTTTTATATTTTATGCCGTTTTCGATTGTCTTTAGCTAATACGCAAATACAATCGATATGCTACATGTAGGCCTATAACTGTTTCGATGTCATATATTAAGGCATAAAAAACAATGCTAATATTATACTTGTATAATTTTGTCCCATTTTAGCCAGTATTGGACTTTACTTCAGTTACATACATTTTAAATATCACAACAATACAAAAGTATATAGATATAGGTAGGGGATATATAGATCTATAGAGAGAATTTATTTGCATATTAACCACACTGCAATGTTTCAGACCATCAAACTAATATTAATATTTCACAAAGACAACACAAGGTAACATAACTTGCAGTTTTTTACATCGAAACCCAAAGCAATATGACCCCCTGTGAAAAAAGTACGTCAATCCCTGATTACTGTTTGGGCCACCCTTTAAAGCAGTTATTGGCACCAAATGCTTTTGATAACTGGTGATGTTTTTGCATCACTGGAGTAATTTCTCGTTGTGCCATTATTGTTTTATCATTATTGGTGGCTGAGTGGCTAACACGCATGCCTGCAAGAAGGTTCCAGGTTCGTTCCCCAGGTTGCCTGAGCCTTTCTGTGTGGAGTTTGCATTTTTCTCCCTATGTCCTGATGGCATGTACAGGCATTCTGGTTTCCCCCATCAACCCAAAACATGCTACATTGGTCTCCAGGAAGAACAGCCTACAACCTGGTACAATGCACCTCTCCTGTTAAGGTTATTGTAAAAAAATTGTGCAGTGTCCCTGTCTCATTAAATTAATTAATTAATTAATTAATCAATTTATTCATTCATTAATAATAATAATAATAAAAAACATGAGAAACATTCTATACTTTACTATACTATACTAACCAGTACTAGCCAGATTAGAAGTATACTTTTTTTTTTGAGTAGGTAAAAGGATAATGGCTGATCCTTATGTGTCATTACTCATTTTCAGATTTAATTCACCAAAATGTTCCTCACGCTGAGACTCCTGCGGAAAGGTACCTCTGGAAAGCAGTGGATTGGAAAGTATCGGCGCCACAGACCAGTCACGTGGCAGATGAAACGAAACATGGTGAAACATCTGGAGCGTGAAGCAGAGAATGAGTACTGGATCAGTCGCCCCTACATGACACCAGAACAGGAGCAGGGACATGCAGCTGAGCGCAGGGCCCAAAACTGGCTCACTATCAAAGAGAAAGGCTTTGTCAACTTTCCTGAACACAAGCATAACTGAGCATTTGAGTCATCTCAGAATCACCAAGACATGGTCAAATTAAAAACTTCACAAACTCTTATGTCACTAATTTCAGTCTCTATATTTATGTTTAAGTACGAAACTGTTTAATGCAACTTGTAAAATGGTCAAGATGTACCACCTTACTTGCCTGATTAAAACATTTTGGAATAACTTGTCTTGGTATACTATGCAATAAGTTTTAAGATTTCCTTTTGTTAAAAAAAAACAAAAAACTTTCATGTAATAGTCATGAATTTATGAAAGAGAGTGCTAAAATGCTTGGACGTGTGTGTTTTAACATGTAACAACTTTATTTTAAGACTAATCACACATTTCACAAACATAGATTACTGTGAAAAAACTGAAGAAATTAGTGCACCACTACAGCTGCTCTGCGGGGATGTGGTCAAAAGGTAATTTAAAAACAACTTAAAAGATGTATGTACAGAGGTCATGTAGAGATTCGAGGTGCTCTCTACTATGAAAAATGTAAGTCTAACAGCTGTAATAAAGGACTACAGAGTGCTAGAGGGCCTCGGATCTTTGCTTGACTGCTGTACACACATTAAATTACTGTTTACTTTGCTTGTTCACAAATGATGTCATTGTATGCAGCCCATAGAGACCAAACATGCTACTTTATCTCATAATGTCGTATCTGTTGTAAGGTTGTAAGGACCATTTAAGGCGTTATAATGTGTGTAAATGCGTTTACAAAACTACTGGCCTATATTAAGGCTAGTTACTGATTAAACCTATGACCAATCACTGCGGAGGCTGTGCTGTAACAGGTTAGATTACTTCCCAACGAATGCATCATCACAAAAAAGTTGGAAAGGCTTAAGAGAAAGTAGTTATTCACTCTTGAGTAGTACAACAGTTAAAAGCAGGAGTTTCCAATTGAAAGAATATTGTTTTAATAGACTTAGATAAATTCTATTGATAAGTAGCGAAAATATAAGAGATATAAGAGGCTGTCAAATAGGGCATAAATATATAAACAGTTAAAATTTTAAGACACAACTAAATCTAGGCACTTTTACCTATTTGGAGTGCCTGGATTTCAATGTGTCTAAAGCAGGTGTGTCCAAACTTTTTTCATCAAGGGCCACATATCTAAACACAGAAGAAGCAGAGGGCTGATCGAGGGCCGTAGACTGATGCTCAGTAAAGGGAATAATTTAAATATATGCATGTTTAACACGTTAGAATGAGCCATCAGTTTATATTCATGCTAAGATCCTTAAAACCACACACTAAATATTAAATATTAGCTTTATCAAGGTAGATTTTCAAAAAACTTGCAGTAAAAAAATATTTTTTAATGATGCAAGGTAATTTGGGCCAATTCACCTGGTAGCTTGAGGGCCAAGAAAAATTTGTCTGAGGGCCGCATTTGGCCCCCGGGCCATAGTTTGGACATGCCTGGTCTAAAGTTTTGATCCTTTTTCCAAGAGCACCCTCTACCTGCTCTCACTGACTGGAGCCCCTGCAGCAAACAGCCACAATTTTTGTTTTTTTCAGTTTAACAGTTTAGTTGGATTAGTTAATGCAAAAGCTGGTGATCGTATGTAGCAACTTATGACAAGGGAAAAGGCAGAGCTCAAGAAGACGTTTTTTTTTTTTTTCTTAGACACAAAAATACACTGCCAAAGACGGGGAAACGCATCCTCCATTCTCGCAATAGCGTGTGCGTCCAGCAGATGGAGCACGTGTCTGCGCCAGTTCAGGCAGCTCTCCGCTGCCCTGTAGTCCCCTCCCGCGTCCTGTGCGCTGCGCCCAGCCGTTGTTTTCTTCTCCTGGATGATGAGGTGCGTAAAGAGAGGCGCCAACGCACCGCACCGGGCTGAGGGAGCTAATGACGAGACTAGACAGACCCAGTCCACGCAGCGTCTCCACGGTTGCGGAGACATGAAGAGCCTCGGTGTTTTGAGGAGTAAAGCCTCACCTGCAGACGTCTGAGTACAGTGGCAGCATGGCGGGGGGTCGGAGGGGACTTGTGGCCCCTCAAAATACTTTTTTGGAGAATATAGTCCGACGGTCCAACGGTAAGTGTGATATTCAATGTGATTAGATACATTTTTTTGCAAGTGATGACAATTTCTTAAACAAGCGCCACTTTTGTCGCAGAAGAGACATCAAAACTTGGGGGGAAACAGGCCACTAGATTTCTCTATGTTTAATGCACATTCCATTAATTTAATTAACTTAGATTATGGAGTTAGTGAGTGAGTTAGGCTTGTTCTTCCAAATCGGAATTCCACAAAGTACAGTATGTAGGTGGAAAACGCCATGGTCGTCGCACTGTCTGTTACATAAGGCCGATGGGGCTCTTAATTGGAAAATCATTTTAGCGCAGTCTTGAGTGCATAGGCCACTGTAGGGATGGCACCAGGTTATGGGAATGGTTGTAATTATGCGCTTACAGGGAGAGGAAAAAGTGAACACAGCGACGGCCTATTAAATTAAAGCCGGTTATTTTCACGGGGTTGTGATCTGACTCCAAAGCAACAAATCAAAGTAGTGCAATGTTTGCAGTAGTTACTGTTGCGTCGTGCATATAAGAGAATGCACTGAATACCACATGCATAGTCCAGTGTTGTTTGACTGTGACAGTTTCATCTAAAAGACTGGAGAAGAAAAAGAATGGTTAGGAGTACGGTAGGCCTATTCCCTAATGTTACGCCAACTACATTTTAAAATGTGGATACCATGATGTTTTTATAGCCTATTCCAAACCAATTGGAAAATGTGTCATTTGTGGAACAGGCTGTCAGTTTTGCTTTGGTGCAAATCATCGCATTGAATAGAAAGTGACAGGGCAGCTCTGACACTGGACAGATAGCCACATAACAACAGCAAAGTGTGTTTGTCTGTGTGTCTCGATGGGAGATTATTTTGAATTCTGTCACCAAAATGGCATAGGCTAAGCCTTCACATTTGAGTTTAGTGAGGAAAGCTTGACATATCCTGTAGAAAATACAATTCTTTGATTTTCTCCACATAGACCCTGAATGTAAAGTACAAAAAGAAAGTGCAGAATTTACCCTGTGAAACAAGAGCTGAATAAACCATTTCTTTGACCTTGGGCGGTCCATGGATTAGCAGCCCCTAAATCTTCACTCAAGTAAGAAACAAAAGAGTCAAGGCTATAATCTGCGGGATGCCAGTGAGAAACAGTGAAGCGACTAGTGATCGCCCCGGTGGTGGGTGGGCGCTTTGCAAACAATGAAGTTCTCTGCCTTTCTATGTCTCTCAATCACTCATTGTTTAATAAGCGGCTTCGGGCTGCATTCTGGGTAACAGTTTAGCAGATGACAGCACTTGGCATTTTCCTTTTTTATTGCTCAGGCATTTAGTGTGAACTTTAAAGGAACTTTTAAATGTGTCACAAGTCATAATGTTCACCTATTGTTCTTGCTGGTCCTCCTTTGCTTAGTTGTCCTAGGACGTGAGTGACACCGCTCTGTAGGGCACTTGGCAGTTGTGTTTTTCCGCTGCTTGTTGCTATGGGAATTAGTGCAGTCTACACTTTGCTTTATTGGAGCTGGAAACAGGTGCATGATGTGGTTTAAAACTTGGTAAAGGCATTGGCAGCCAATGCCAAGTCAAAACACGCCTGCACAAGTCATTAAGTAAGGTACTAAACATTTTAGTTTGTTTTTTATAACTGGTGAAAAAGAACGTTTGAGCTTTGTTGGTTTCACTCTGCATCCACTGAGGATCAGATTGTTCTGTCTTATGCAGCTTGTTTGATTCCTTTTGTATGTTAGATGCTCTCTATTTTAAGACTTAATTTAAGAGGCCCTGTTGCAGGCTTAGGTACACATTACCTGCACAGTGCACATAAGCTATTACATTAAATTTGCATTCACCTACAACACTACTTATGTAAAATGACTAAAAGTGTTATTTTACAAATTATATTTGTGCCACTTTTTGAAATGTATTTAAATTTTAATTGTCTAGCACGCCTTGTCCTCATGTCCATCATGTCCTTTAGTATAAAGTGTGAATAACCATTGTTTTCTGTTTGACAAATTTCAGTTTGGACACTGTCCCATAAGCAGACAGGTACTATAAAGAAAAGTCACCACCATTTTTTTCTTCAGATATCCCCTTTGTAGTGTACTACATGTTCTATACCAATTGCTGTTAATTTACAAGTATTTACATATTTAGGACCCCGCACTGATAATTTTAACATTAAGAAACAGTTCAAATATTGATATCACATTAATATTAATGACTACACTCGTGTTTAACTGTTGTAAAATAACACATTGGCATGGAACGTCTGTGTCTTACATGTGTAGGTGATGTTTACAATTCTGTTTTCATTTGTGTCCCTCTGTGTCTCCCTGTTTGTAAGTGTTTGTATTGATCTGTTATTTTGTGCCCCATCAACCCACCTAAAAACCCTTTAGTTACTTAATGTTAGCAGATATAATATAATCTGACTCTTGAATGCATTCTTCATAATCAATAAACATCAGTCAGGCATTTAAATTATTCACATGCTCCTCAATTAGAGCAAGTTTCAGGGCTTTTTCAACCCAGTTTGCACAATCCAGTGATAATATGTTAAAGTCCTGTATAATCCAAAATTGATTTTTTTGAGCTTTAAGCTATATTATAATGTTGTTACCTCATCACATGTTTGAATAATAATTTATTATAAGTCTGTCTACATCTCCACAGCTCAAAATGTTTTGTAATGTTATGAAGTGGTAGTTTTGAACTAGTTTTCAACAGCTCCTTTTACCTTTTGTTCAGCAGAGATGGGCAATTCCAGGTCTGAAATGATCCAAGTGATTCTAGTCAAGGTGTATGGAGTTTAAAACACAGTGGAGCATTTCCTGCATTACCACATGACATCACAAGGTGGAACAGAGTGTTTTCTGAGAGAAGAACTCAGCCTACAATTGCAGGGTTTGTGTTAAATGTGTGTGAATGAACAAAACCCAAGTCTAGCTATGCTTGTAATAAGAAAACTACATTATAACATAAATCAGAAAACAGGTAAAATGATCCCTTTAATATTTAATATTTAATAATAGTTATTAAAAACCACAACAAGTTACATTGCGGTGCAGTCAATTCAATCATCCTTAGAGCTGCAAATGAGCCTTCTGTTAATGTAAAAAATAGGAGGGAAGCTGTTTAAATATGCACTGTTTTGGTCCATTAGCATTTTTTAGCATAATACATTTTCTCCCCTATAAATAAGTTGTGCTTGTAGGCCCATACAGTCATTCTCATATTTTTAATCATGCCTCATGCATATGTGTGACAAATTACTATTAAGTATACTAAATATAAACATGTTGCTTATACTTGTACTTATCATAGAAAAAGTATTCGATCCAGCTAATATTATCCACACTGTCACTTCAACTGAATAGCATGTGTTTTTGTTTTATTATGACTGCAGCTTGAATAAAAGATACCAAATTGTGAAGGCCTAGACATGTGGGTCAGACATCTCCAAAACTGCATTCTAGTGGGGTGGGCCCTGTGAACATTGTCTGAAGTAATTCAAGGATGGATTGGGGTGAAACTTTCATAGGGAATGAATTATAGAGAGTTTAGGCTGGCCTGTTTAAAAGGCTCATTGATTTTGTTTTTTCATCACAAACATACCTGGAGTTGTATTTTGTTTCATTCACATATGTTTAACACACAAACCAGGCATACATACACTGAGTTCTTTTCTCAGACAGAAAACACTCCACACCCTTTGTGATGTCATGTGGTAATACAGGAACTCCTCCACTGTTTTAACTTCATACCCCTTCACTAAAACCATCTGGATCATTTCAACCCTGGAATTTTCAATCTCTATTAAACCAAAGGTAAAAGTTGGTTGTTAACTTGAAAAAAGCTGCTTCATGACATCATAAGGTGGAACAGAGCATTTTGAGCTTTGGAGATGTAGACTGACTAATAAAGTAGGATTACTCAAACATGCATGAATGAAACACAACTCAGGTATTTTTTGATTAGATTAAATTATAACACAGCATAAAGCTCACAAAAGTCAATTTTGCATAATTTAGGACCTTTAATCCAAAAGACAGTCTACTACCACAGTTTACCATAATATTAAAACCACCACCAATAATAAATGGACTGCTGATCCCATTAATAAATGTATCTAAAATAAAACAATAAAGACTAATCAGCTGAGACGTGCAAACAGCCATGCTATGTTTTCTGCAGTAAAACATGTGAGGGACCAGGGAGCTGAGGCACATGCAGAATTCATGGCTAAACATGAAGCAGCACATTGTTGCTTTACAGAGACATCTCCTGAATCCAAGCATCTCTAATGAGAAACTATAAAGCAATAGTCAGGACTGCAGTGCGCCTTGCCTCTATGTGTTGTATGTGGAGTACGCAGTGAGCCCTAAACCATCAGGGATCTGCTTGAAGAAATCCTCCAAGCTGCTTTTGAAGCATGATTTTTAATTTATTTACTTTTTTTATCAAACTCAAAATATTAAAGGATTAGTTAGTAGTAGGTAGTAGCAGGGCTAAACATATCTTCATTTTCCCAATTGTGGGACAAATACTAGCTTTGTTAAAAATGCACATCTGTTACTAAGTGTTTTGGTTATTATTCTTAAAGGTCCACTGTGTAACTTTTCTGGTGGGGGAAGGGCGGCCCGCAAAATGCTTTTCTTCATGGAGATGTTTTTGCTTTGTCTGGAATGTTTCACAGTATGGCATTAAACCTTTCTATCTTCAAGAAGCAAAGACCAGACCAAGTTACAGGTCAGATCTGTGGAGAGGCAACCCTGCTCACAGTCACAATGCCTGTTTTTTCAGGTTATTTTGAAGTATGGCGCCAACTGTGAATAATAAATGTGAAGCAGAGTTGTTTAATATGAAACTGGGGAACATGACATATCCATAGAAAGAAGCAGGCGATAGACCCCCAACCAAAAAGTTACATAATGCACCTTTAAGTAAAAAATTTGCCTCCTATTTTCTTAGATGCATAAATCATTCGTACATTTTCTTTACCTTACCCAGGCTACATGTGCGTTGATGTGTGTCCCGGGGAATGAAGCCCCTCAAGCGTGTGCCCTCTTTTTTCCTCTTGAATCTTTTAACAGACACTAACTTTGTCCTGGGAAACGCTCAGATCGTGGACTGGCCCATCGTCTACAGCAACGATGGCTTCTGCAAACTGTCAGGCTACCACCGGGCAGAGGTCATGCAGAAGAGCAGCACCTGCAGGTATGTGGTACAATAGTTATCCAAAGGGACCTGCTATAGATGAAAAATATGTGATGCTACTTCTTATATAAGGTCTTCTTTATAGGCAAAAGAGGTCATGCCCCCTGTTTATTTACATATTGTCTTTGTAAACTATATGTACTTTGGGACCTCCCTGATTCATCTCTTTCTGCTTGTCTTTCTCCCTGATGCTTGGAGTGGATGATATGCCAAAAATGTATACATATATAAAAAATATATCACAGTTTTTTAGAGTAAAGATATCTTGATTCATGTAGTTAGTTATGTGTTATTAGGAAGTAAACAAAGGCATCTGCTGCTGCTGAGTGAACATTTAGTGGTCCACAAAGTTCAGACTGTGGAGGAAGAAATGTGATGTTAATGTTCATGAAATTCATATTGAAAGCTATTTTATTTGTTTTTAGTATGACAAAATAAAAAAGCACAACAAAATAATAAATAAAGTATTGTGCTTTTGTTGAATGTTCACAAATGAGCAAAGACACTTATTACAATAATTTTGAGCCTGAATTCAGAGTTGAACAAGCTGTTACGATGTAAGACCTGTACTGCTTTCTGTGGCCTTATCCATTTTTTTGTTTTGTTTTTGCCAGTACTCAAATTGTTATCCCTAAAATGCCAAAATACTTTTAGATCAGAAGCCCTCCTGGTGGCTGCAGTATGTTTTTAAAGAAAGAATACAAAAAAATTCAATACAGAAAGGCCTGAATATTTATATATATATTTATGCCTCTTCCTACGTATAAAGTTTTTTTTTATTGATTTATCTATTATGCTTTTCGGGTCTAGGCTGTGAAATGAGCTAAGGAAGAAAGCAGAAAAACTAAATAATAAAACTGTAAAACTCATAACCCAAGTATTCAAAATAAAATAAATTCAAAGTGATATGTTTTTCCGCTATCTACAGTTGGAGGTCTATTCTTGGCTTGACATAATTGTAACTCAAAGACGCCTGGAGCTCCTCACCCGGTACATACAACCAAACAAAACAAAGAGATCTTCCTTCACTGTCAAACGCACATAGACAGACCTATTCTCTTCACACGCTGTAGCTCTCCACACCCTCATTATGATCAGTGCATCTCGGGTCAGGAACTGTCCTGAAAATCCATCTTCAGTCTGTATAATGTAGCTCATTTTAGTCCAAGTTTAGTTAATCAGCTAACTGTAGCTGCAGCATGGGTGTACAAATATCTTCAATATTACATTCTTAATTGTTTCAATGGAACAAGTGGTTTTGTGGAAATTATTCATGGGTTTCAGTCATGGACTGTATAAAGAAGTGGGTTAAGGGAGTGTGACGTCACCCATAGCGTTCGGCTCCAGTCAAATAAAGCTCACGAGGCTTGCAGTTATAGGGGCGAATTATTAGGAATAGGAATTTATTTATGTGCAAAACAGCAAAAGAAAAATGGTATGGTTTCAGCTTCCACCTTAGTAGAGACATTTTGAGGACCACAATTTCGGTTTCAACTGTGCTAACTTTCATTATTAGTACACAGAGTAGAATTTAGAATCGAATCATGATAAAATATTGCTGTTATTAGTTGTTTCATTCACACATGTTTAACACACAAACCCTGCATATTTCTTCTCAAACAGAAAACACTGTGTTCCACCTTTTGATGTCATGTGGTAATACAGGAAGTGCTCCACTGTGTTTTAAACTCCATACACCTTCACTAGAATCATTTGGATGATTTTAGCCCAGGAGTTGTTGATCTACTGAACTAAAGGTTAAAGGTAGCTATTTGAAAACTACCACTTAATGACATCACAAGGTGGGACACAGTATTTTGAGCTTTGGATATGTAGACAGACAAATAATGCAGAATTACTCAAACATGTGAATGAAAGAAAACATAACTCAACAAAACAAGTATGTACACTGGCAAATTATATAACAGATAACCCTATGTCATGTCATTATTATCATTATATCATCTTTGCACTGTTGTTCCTTACGAACTCTTGTGTATATAGCAGAGATATATTTGTATTGCAATATTTCTATATTTTATTTTTACTGGTACATATACATTTATATAATTATGCCTTAGTGACACTGGTCTCTTGCTATTTTACTGCTATTTTGAATTTACTATTACCATTTATATTTCTGCTCTTTGTTAATATAATAAATTGTGATGTGTGAGCTATTGTGTGCAAATCATGTGGATCAATAAAGTTTGTCTAAATCTAAATGATCAAGTATCTAGTATCTACTGAGGAAGAAACTGCTGTATTCTTTTGTAGAGTATGGCATAGGTAACAAGGCACTGAGACTGGTTCTTTGAAAACCTTAAAATACACATTTAACACTTTTCCGAGCTATGTGAGGCTTTCTTTAGCATCAGTTGTTGGACTTGAAAGGCAGAATAAATACAACATGAAGCAGACGATGCTGCCAGCACTGAGAACCGTGGGAGACTCGGGTTCGTCACAGCCAGCACTGCAGCCATTACTGATTTAGACCCTGGAGTCCCTTAACAGAAGCTGCAGGAAGACTTGCCAATACAAATATCGCTTTGGGAGAATTGTTTTAAGGGTTATTTTTAGTCCAGTGGTGATGTAAGCACGAGGAAAATGGATAATTACGCCTGCTTCAAGATGTGGTAGTAATGAAATGTAGATGGATTTTCTTTCCCTTTGGTGATTCACTTTGATTTTATTAATGCTATTGAACTCATGGCTTTTATCCGCTAGAGTCGTGTGCAGATATTTGAAGCTTCAGGATCTTAATGACCACCAAGAAAAAAACACAAATGTGCAGGTTTAGGTCAGTGAATAGTTGAGGGGTCCCTGTGGTTAACTCTGCGGGGAAGGGTATTACAGCTTAAATGTTCTATATTACGCAACAATGATTCTTGTGAGCTATAAGCCATTCTGTTGTTATCTGTTGTGTTTTGTTTCATTCTCACATGTTTGAGTAAACCTTTATTATCAGCCTGTCTACATCTCCAAAGCTCAAAATGCTCTGTTCCACCCTGTGATGTCATGAAGCGGTAGTTTTCAGATTGAGAGCTACTGTACCTTTTATTTTGAGTTCAGTAGAGATTGGCAATTCCAGGGCTGAAATTACTCAAATGATTCCAGTGAAGGTGTCTGGAGCTTAAAAACACAGTGGAGCACTTCCTGTATTATCACTTGACATAAGGTGGAACAAAGTGTTTTCTGTTTGAGAGAAGAACTCAGCCTAAATACGCAGGATTTGTGTGTTAAACATGTGTGAATGAAACAAAGCACAACTCCAGGTCTGTTTTGTTATAACATAGATCAGAAAATAGTGTAATATTTAAACACACATATAAAAGGTTAACAGATAAAACAGGAACAAAAATGATACAATATTTTCAATATTTTATTTAGTGATTGGTAAAATGTTTTGTTTTTAAGACTGAATAGCTCTTTTAACAAACAAGTTAATTAAAACAGCTGCAAAAATAATTACATGCATACATACATTTTTATTTGGTTGGTGGTGGTGGTGGTTTTTTGAATAAAAATTTGATCACAAAAAAAAAAAACTGAAACAAAAATAAATATTGTGTCTCCAGTAATGTCAACCAAGAAACATTTTTTGTGAAACTTTGAGACAATAAGCTATCAAAAAATAAATAAATACCTAAATAAAATAAATAAATAAAGCGAGGTAATCACTGTGCCTATTCTCCCCACCTTTGTTGTAATGTAGTGTAACAAACATTGTTTATATTATTATAAAGCATGTCGACTATTATCTGCTCTTGGGTGAACACTGCAGTGAGCCAGTGATATATTGATTTAATATTAGCTCAGGCAACCCTCCCCATTTATCTAGACATACACCAAATTTGTCCCATGTGGCTGGATTTTTTTCCAATAATTTTGATTTTAACCACTGAAAATAAAGGAATTTCCCCATTCTTAACTATGTAGCTTGCTTTAGCGATTAAAAAAAGATGTATGTATTCTTTATCTATACAATCCTCAGTCCAGTTATTTCAAAGATCACAACAACAGCCTCAGAATAAGCCTTGTATTCTGTGTATTTGAAGTTGCCTCTTGCCTATGCTCACTGTCCGACATCACAGGCACTTTTCTCTTCATGTCACACCCCAATCAAAGTCAGTGTTTGGCGCTTGCTTCTGATGGATTTCCTCTTTTTTCTAAGCATGATCTGGTAAACATACAGTGGGGGACCTGTGGGAATTGGCCGTGCATCATGTGATAGAGTAATTTGTTTTTTCAGCAGTTTTTCTCTTTGAAGGAATGAGCTGGCAAAGAGGAGATTCATCAGTGATATTACATCAAGCAATGGTCTGAAAAAGTCTCGTCTTGAGCATCATAGCGGCGTCTCATTAAATTTAGCCTGCCTTTTGTATTTCATAACAAACTCTGGGTTATATTTAGATCAGTGGAGGAACAGAGAGCTACAGAGGGTGGCGGTAATAGGCAAAGTGAGATTTATGTCTGTGCAGGCCAGTTAAACGCATCCGTGGCACTCTGACCCGTCTTCAGGTCTAATTTGTTTTTGAAAAGAACTTTGCATTTTGGCAATTAGTGTGCCAGAAACATTTATCTTTATTTGTAGCTATTTTTAGGTGAGGTGAACAAAAGTGGCGCATATTTTCACATTAGCCGTTTATGATATGGCAGCCTTTTTGTCAGCACAAGCTTATGTGCGTTGGTGGAGAATGTATTGTATTTCTGGTAGTAGTAGTCGTTGTAGTAGTTGTTGATGTTTTGGTTGCAGTAGTACTAGTAGTAATAGTAGTAGTAGTAACAGTGGTAGTAGTAGTTGAAGCAGTAGCACTAGTAGTAGTAGTAGTAGTTGTTGTAGTAGTGGTTGTAATAGTTTTATTTGGAGCTATTTTCAGGCAAAGTGAACAAAATTGGTGCAGCCTCTCTGTCTTTTGTCTTAATAGATGGACAATCTTATGTGCAATGGTAGAGAATGTAGTAGTGGTAGTAGTAGTATTAGTATTAGTTATTAACCATCTATGAATACAGCAACCTTTTTGTGAACATAATCTTAATAGATGGACAATCTTAAGTGTGATGATGGAGAATGTAGTAGGAGTAGTAGTAGTAGTAGTAGTAGTAGTAGTAGTAGTAGCGGTAGTAGTGGTAGTAGTTATTAAAACTCTATGAATACAGCAACCTTTTTGTGAACACAATCTTAATAGATGGACAATCTTATGTGTAATGGTGGAGAATGTATTGTATTTCATGTAGTAGTAGTAGTAGTAGTTGTTGTTGTTATAGTTGTTGAAGACATAGTAGTAATAATGGGGGTAGTAGTAGTAGTAGTAATAGCAGAGGTACTAGTAAGAAGTAAAAACTTCTAAAATATTCGTTATTAATATCAGTCGTTTTTGCTGTTGCTCCTTCTGTTTATCCGCTCAAAAAGGACAGATACATCAAAGCCCCTCTCTGCATGACAGCCCCGCAGCTTAACATGACACAAATTGAAACTAATAGATAAAAGTTTGTTTAATCGTAGTCTACTTCCAGCAGTGAAGAACAAATGAGTGAGTCCCATCTCAGAGATGATTAACTTAAATCTCCCTTTGTGTGTTTTAGCTTCATGTACGGAGAGCTCACGGACAAGGACACCACGGAGAAAGTACGGCTGACGTTCGAAAATTATGAAATGAACTCCTTTGAAATACTCATGTACAAGAAGAACAGTGAGTAGCAACATTGAAGGAAAAATATGGGGGTAGTTTCTTGTCATGCAAATGTATTCAGAAGCTCGGGAACACAAGTTCAAAGCCAGCCCAGTGCAATTCTACCTCTCTGGAAATGCTCTAACTGGTTCAGAGCTGGACCAAAGACACTTCATTTCTAGAAAAAAATTGTTTGTACCATTCAAAGTTGTACTGTTGTAAAAGGAAAGTTTTAGATGCTTGGGATACTTTTGTTTCCACGTCTCAAGTCCAAATAGAAATTATATAAATATTTCACTTGCATTATGTCATTTTGGCTTTTGACAGCACCCTATTATTAAGAAAAATAGAAAACTCAGCTCTTGCAGTGGGTGCAGGTGTGATTTTTCCTTTTTCTAATTATATTTAAAGGTGTACTGTGTAACTTTTCTGGTGGAGGGTCTGTCACCTGCTTGTTTCTATGGAGATGCTATTGCTCTGCCTGGAATGTTCCACAGTATGATATTAAACAACTCTACTTTACATTTATTCAGTTACAGTCCATTGCTCAAAAAAAAAAAAAAACAGGCATTCTGACTGTGAGCGGGGTTGCCTCTCCACAGATCTGACCTGTAACTTGGTTTGGTCTCCATGAAGATAAAAAGGCTTAATACCATACTGTGAAACATTCCAGACAAAGAAATGCAATTTCCACAGAGAAAAGCATATGACAAACTCTCCATAAGAAAAGTTACACAATGCATCTTTAAGTAAAAAAAAAAAAAGGTATTTGTACTTGTGGATACTTTTCACTTTTATTTCACTACATTTGAGAGCAGGTATCTGTACTCCACTATATTTTTCAACTGGACTGAAAACTAAAAGTGTTTTATGAGACGGTTGAGAGTTTATTTTTACATGTTTGTCATTTGAGCAAACATAAATATACAAATAAAGCATCTATATTAAAACAGTTGATTCAGTTGTTTCAGCAATTAAATTCAGCACAAATCTTTATAAAAAGTGTTACATTTAAATCTTTATTAGATCTCAAACTGCACACAAAACACTTTTACTTTTTACTCTTTAAAGGTGCATTCTGTAACTTGAGGGTCCATCAAATGCTTTTCTCCATGGAGATGTTATTGCTTTGTCTGGAATGAACCTTTCCATCTTCATGGAAACCAAACCAGACCAAGTTACAGTTCAGATCTGTCAGAATGCCTGTTTCTGTAGGCATTTTGAAGCAATAAATCCACCTATAATTGAATAAATGCAAGGTAGTGCTATTTAATGTCATACTGTGAAACATTCCAGGCAATGACATATCTTTAGAAACATGCAGGTGATGGACCCACAGCCAAAAACTTACAGAGTGCACCTTTAAGTTTATTTTTAAACTAGTATTTTAATATTTACTTTGTTGAGTAGATTTTTTCACATGGTACTTTTACTTGAATATTTTTCACTCTAATGTCTGTACTTTTACCTAAATAACAAAATCAAGCTCTTCTACTGCTGCACAGCTTAAGTCCAAAAAGAAATTGTACAAATATTCTCTATATTCTTCTTCTAGGGACGCCTGTGTGGTTCTTTGTGAAGATAGCACCCATACGAAACGAACAAGAGAAAGTGGTTCTGTTCCTCTGCACTTTCAGCGATATTACAGCCTTCAAACAGCCTATTGAGGACGATTCTTCTAAAGGTTAGCCTAAATATTTAACACCGCATATGCTTTTAATATTTACACTCCCGTAGCTCCAGCTCCTTTTTGATTTGCCTGCTGGTAAAATGATGCCAGAGCTGAAGTCGGGCTTGTTGGAAATGTGACCCAAAAGATTTGTGCATCTGCCTAGGCAAACTCAACCGGGCACGCGAGATTGTTCATTGGTGTGTGTAACAGTTGAAGACAGGCAAAATAGAGCATGAATTAGTTTAAAAAGGCAATTGCAAACAAACCATGCTGACAGAGCCGACTGGGGGCTCGTTAAAACAAAAGATTATAGTTCGGCTCAATGCTTCAACAGGTAGTGCTCATGTAACACACCGACTGGCAACAATAGCAAACATATTCTTAACAGCTAGTGGCATAATTATTAGGGATGCACTGATACAGCTTTTTCTGTTCAGATACCGATTTTGATATTCTGGCTTTAAAGGTGCATTGTGTAACTTTTCTGGTGGTCTGCTAATTGCTTGTCTCTGTGTTCCTTTAATGTTCCACAGTAGAGCACTGAACATATCTCCCTTACAGTTGTTAAATTCAAGCTCAAAAATACCCTTAAAACATGAACTTTTACAATGTACAGGCTTGCTTCTCCATAGATCTGACCATTCATCTATCTCCATTGTGATTACCAATTTTATTTTTGTACTGTGGGATAATCAAGGCAAAACAGTAATATCTCCATGGAGACAAGCAGGTGACAGACCCTTCACCAGAAAAGTTTAAGTTTTCTGAAAATAGCATGTATTTCCTTTAAATACTAACAGTGTACTAAAAAATAAAATGGTCAAATCATTATTTTTTATATCTGTTATAAGTTAAAGAAACTACCAACAGCTTTTAAAAAATACAAATTCAAAATGACGAGGTGTTTGGGATGGACACTGACAAGTAAATCATCTTATTACACCAGTTTATCGAACAAAATGCATGGGTGATATCTGATCCATCATAAATTTCAGTGTTAGCGCCATATATATATAGCAGTGTCAAATCTGTGCATTCCTAATAATTATTTTGGGAGTTGGGTGCACACTGCTCATCATGGAGGCATAGCTTGGCCTGAGAAGTGTTAATTCTGCTGACACCCTGCTGTGAACACAACCTAAGACAAAGGAGTGAGGCTGAGAGAGCAGGAAAACATGGAAATACACATTTTAATGAATAACAGGACCCAAAGTATGGACAGTGATTTAGGGTGATGTATCATAATCATTTAGAATCACATTTCTAAAGCAGTTGAATTATTGAATTACAGAGGAGACCAAGGCATTAGTCCTGTCTCACAATTGCTATTTTGTGGACAGACTAAAATAGACTAAAATAAAAGTAAAATGAAACATAATGTTGTTGTTTTTTTATTATTTGACTGAAAAACTTGAATGTCTCCTTACTGTGAGTGGGTTTGCATTTCCACTAACCTGACTCTTATTTGGCCTGGAGGATGGCCTCTACTTGTTTGTCTCCATGAAAATGTGGTTCCTTTCGGCATAAAATTCTATGGTATGACATAAATCTATCTCCATGTATTGTTCCAAAGTATGGTTTCAATTTACTCTTTCCATGGAAGCATAATGTACCACCTTAACATAATGTACATCTTAAAAAATGTACACAGTTGTTTTAAATACTTTTGGGGATTTTGTAGTATCCAATCTTGTGCCTACTTACATCAAGATTGTGTTGCCAATCAATTGCAAACCACGCACACACACACACACACACAGAAACTGAAATTATGATGGAAGTAGTAGAGAAGTAGGAGTCGTAAAATAATTAACTCTAAAATTATAATATGTGCTTATATACACGGCACCAACTTAAAGCATTAAGTACTGATTTTCAAGTTTAGACTGAAAGCTCATGATGTAAATTATGCCTCCAGTTTTAAAATCTCATATTTAATAGAATACTTAAGCAGCCTCATAGATCATTTACTGACTCAACATATTACTTCTGGAGCTAGACCACTTCAAATTATTTATGTATAATTGGCCTGCAAAGTTTTCCTGATAGAAAGTACAGGGTCTACTCTTTTTGCATTGTAGAGTTTTCCCCTTTATATAACATAACTTCAGAGCTTGTTTACTTGTCTGTGGGCACTTTGTATTCTGTGTGTTTGTGCTCCGCAGGTTGGGGGAAGTTTGCCCGCCTCACCCGTGCCCTCACCAGCAGCAGAGGCGTGCTCCAGCAGCTCCAGCCCACTGTTCACAAGGGGGAGAATGTCCACAAGCACTCACGCTTAGCTGAGGTACGCATTATTATACATCCAGCTTGCAGGCTTGGTTTGGTATGGTTTCTGATTAAGTATAAATAAAGGCAAAGGGGTCTGTAAGTTTGCGATGTGTGTGCGCGGAGGGGTGGAGGGTGGGACGAGTTTTGTTTCTGTGTTTTGGCTTTTTTCTGTTCTTTGTTTTGTTAAAGGCCCATATACATTCTTTTCTGTTCTAGGTTATAATGTTATTTCCTCATCATGAATATACCTGTAGCTGTTTTTTTTCATTCACACATATTTAACACACCCTGCATATTTAGGCTGAGTTCTTTTCTCAAACAGAAAACACTGTTCCACCTTGTGATGTCATGTGGTCATACAGTAAGTGCTCCACCTTGGACACCACACACTTTCACTTGAAAATGTGGATAATGTCAGCCCTAGAATTATCAATCACTAATGAAACGAAGGTTAAAAGGTAGCTGTTATCTTGAAACCTTCCACTTCATGATATCACAAGGTGGAACAGGGCTGTAGATGGACTAATAATTAACATGTGTAAATGAAACAAAATACAACTACAGGTATGTTTTTGAGGAGGTAAGAACATTGTAACATGGCATAAAGCGAATCTGTTTTGTGTAATAGGACATTTAAATATTAAAATTAATCTAATTAAAGCATGATTAAAGATGGTATGTTTTTCTCTTTCCAGGTCCTCCAGCTGGGCTCCGATATCCTACCTCAGTACAAGCAAGAGACCCCCAAGACCCCTCCCCACATAATCCTGCACTACTGTCTATTCAAAACTACATGGGACTGGGTGATCCTCATTTTAACTTTCTATACGGCCATTATGGTGCCCTACAATGTGTCATTCAAGACCAAACAGAACAACGTAACATGGCTGGTGGTGGACAGTATAGTGGATGTGATTTTCCTGGTGGATATAGTGCTGAATTTCCATACAACATTTGTAGGACCAGCAGGGGAGGTGATATCAGACCCCAAGCTTATTCGCATGAACTATCTGAAGACGTGGTTTGTGATAGACCTGCTCTCCTGTCTGCCCTATGACGTCATCAATGCTTTTGAGAACGTAGACGAGGTGAGTGAGAACAGGTGGAGTAGAGGTAGTCGTATTTTTTCTGTCATCTGTTTTTTATTTTTTATTTGGTTAAACAGTAGATCATAGCTAAAAAAAAAAAAAGCAAAGGCAAGAATAAATTACTGAACCCCAAAATGTATCAGAAAGTCAAAATAATTAAATAAAAGATATCCTATCATATATCTACACTGCAAATTCCCTTCTCAAGGTGGCAGGAATGGTAGATATAATGGTAGATTTATGGACTATAAAGGTCCCATATTACACAAAATGGATTCTTGTGAACTATGTTATAATGTTGTTACCTCACCAAAAACATATCCAGATGTCTCAAAAGCTCAAAATGCTGTTCCACCTTGTGATGTCATGAAACAATAGTTTCCAAGTTACCTTTTGTTCAATAGAGATGGGCAAGTATCCAAATAATTCAAGTGAAGGCATATGGAGTTTAAAAACACAGTGGAGCACTTCCTGTATTACCACATGACATTACAACGTACACTGCCAAAAAAATAAGATATAAACACTTAAATCTGTCAGAAAATGACTTAAAAGTAGTGAAAGTATTTGTCCAGGCAACAAGATAAGTTTACTGGACAAGTTATCTTAAAATAAACTACCTCTGCTACTAGAAATAAGCAGTCTCAGAGCTAGTAAATAGATAATAAATCTGAAAACAGGATTAATAAAATGATACAAGTTTTAAAATCTTGGCCAGATAAATTTGCAGTGTAGATCAAGAGTGTTTTCATTTTGAGAGAAGAAGCCTAAATATGCAGGGTTTGTGTGTTAAACATGTGTGAATGTAACAAAACACATCTCTGGTTATGTTTTTGATGAGGATTATAACATAGATTAGAAAATAGTCTAATATGGGCTCTTTAACAACAACAGCCCCACACAGACAAACATGGGTTTACCTGAGACCAGACTGATACAAATAATAATAAAATAATGCATTGGATTTCCGCTTTACATTACATTACATTATTCATTCATTCAGTCTGTGGTGGTAAGATACTAACAGAGCCACAGCTGTCCTGGGAAAAGCTGAAAATCTGCGCCATCTGCTCCTGCGATCGGTGTTTGCATTTGGTGGACACTGCTATTGAAAATCTGCAAGAATAATTGCTGTCAAACTAAATTGTAACTTGAATAATTGCAACTCGAAGATCACACAGACTCTAGTAATTCATGTAATATAAATTATTCTGCAAACAACAACTGAGTCTGAGTGCCCAGTAACTTTTGATTGAGTTTGACTTACAATTCTTTTCCCCATCGGAGTTTGGCCGTCTCACTAAGGAAATCTAGTTCTAACATTTCTCCCCAAAATAAATATTGTTATCTTCATCAAAATGCTTTCAGTTAGAGTCAAGACAGGTTGTTCAATTTTCAAAGGTCATTGTGGTACGCTCAAACTTTCTATCATGTTTCAAATCATTGCTATCTCATGTGCGTGTGTTTTGTTTTTATTTATTCTTGGCAGATTTTCATCCGACCAGTCAATCAGTGTTGTTTTGTGATGTGTAAAAATAAGTAGTCCATAATGATTTGCTTGTTTGTGAATTTATAAATGTCGGGGACATAATGAGGCGTGTGAGTGAGCGCTATCACAGGATCTGCAGATAATTGGCACATTTTAATTGGGAGAGGAGAGTTGTGTTATTAAACTGACACATTGTACTGCATCAACATCACCTCAAAGTCATTAACGCTTTGGGAGATTTGGATGGGTAAACAGGCTTAACTATTAAGACTAAACAAATGTATTCAATTAATTAATACAATCAGTTAACAAGAAGAGGAGATCTTTAGTCTTCCAATCATATAAATGTAGTAAGTGAGTCAGAATTGATAACATTTTTGAACTAAACAATAATTCTGTAATAACTGTGTTAAAAAATAATGAATCTGATCATGTGGCAATCTAGATAAAATATGCGCAAATGTGATTCAGCGTAAAGATTGATTGTGTAGTTGTGTTAGCAAAGTGGCCAGTTAAAACATCTTTATTTTCTATTGTTTCCAAATATTATGCATTTGGGTCTAGCAGTGCATAGCACTGGAGTTTTGTCTGTGGAAAAATCACTCATTCTGTTGGCAGACGCTCCCCTGAAAAGCAAAAGTAGGATGGATATCCTCTCCCACTATCAAATAATTGTATCTCTTCTTTTGTGCTTGGGCAGATAAAATTTAATCAGAATGTTCTTTTGAGATTCCTTGGTTGTATCACTCGCCCTCTCTCTCATACTGTATACAGTAGATTGATTAAATGGAGCCTGCAGGATGGCACTTGCCACTTTTCATTATATGACTGCATCATTGTGTTGTACTCTGTGTGTGTGTAGACATGTCACAGCTCGTGTGTGTGCGTGTGTGTGTATGTGCGTGTGTGTGTAGACATGTCACAGCTCATGTGTGTGTGGCTGCGTCTCTAAAGTGCTGTGTGTGCATTATCCAGGCTCTCCAGAGGTGTCTCAGCTCAGACACAAAACACTGCAGTGAAACAGGGCTTGATTGGGGAGATTCTCACTTTCGGATTTGCAGCTGCAGCATTTCTGACCTCTTCTAGTCTTTCAACAGTTCAGCACAGGAAACGCTGACAGCAGTTCAAGTGACCAGAGCAAAATGCAACCATTATGGTCAGCAGATACAATTTTGGGAATACTTTGGAACAGTGCCCCACAGTAAACCATGCATTTAAAAACCTCAGTGCAATGCAAAAGTGGTTAAAGTATTAAGCCAAAGTGCAGTTCAGTTCAGGGTTGAATTATGGTTCTCGGTGAAGCGTACTATGTTCTTTTGGGAGTGCAGTCATTTAGACACCTTCCTCAACTCCAATTATACAGGCTTGGGGTGAAACAGTATACTGTACGTTGGCTTGTGTGACTGACCACATTATATATTCTTATGTTAAAGACACAAAAACATAAATCTATATCCACTAGACTTAGACTTAGACAAATATATGTATGACACAGCAACTCACACATCACAATATATTAGAATAACTACAGCAAAAATATAAATGGAAAAGAGACATGTGTCAAAAAAGACATAATTATACACATACACATGTATATGTAACATATATATACATTTACGTATGTTTAAGTAAAAACAAAATATAGAATTACTATTTATAGCTCATGTACTCATTTTATTAAGCCTCAAGTTCAATTTATAACCCATTTCAGACCTATTCTTATCTCTAAACATTACATATTTATCAAGTTTCCCAGACCACACATATGAAATGAGTTGTGAGCGTCCACTTAAAGCACAACCCTTCACTGCAGCTGCCATTTGCCCCAGATTGCTTTGAGGCACCGCAGCTCAAGTGAATGAGGGTAAATAACCACAATATTAAACCTGTACTAAAACATCTTTATTCTCACTGTAGTAAGCATTAAATGTCCCATAATTTGCTAATTGAAATCTTGTGAGCTATAACCCATGTTATAATGTTACCTCCACAAAAACATACCCGGAGTTGTTTTGTTTCTTTCACACGTGTTTGAGTAACCCTGTATTTTTAGTTTACATCTCCAAAACTCCAAATGCTCTGTGTTATGTGTGTTATGACCCTGTGGTGCCATAAAGCGGTAGTTTTCAGGTTAACAGCTACCTTTTACCTTTTGTTCAGTAGGCATGGGCAATTCCAGGTCTGAAATCATCAAAATGATTCTAGTGAAGGTGTAAGGAGTTTAAAACCCCAGTGAAGCACTTACTGTATTATCATATGACATCACAAGGTGGAACAGCGCATTTTCTGTTCAAGAGAAGAAAACACGCTACGTCTGTGGGTTTTAAACATACGCAAATTAAACAAAACAAAATTCCAGGTATGTTTTTGATGAGAATACGGGCCCTTTAACGAGTGCCATGAATTACTTTAATGGCTGTTCCTTACAACAGTTTTTCACATGGAGAGAGAGGGTTTATTATGAAGGATCTCCTGTCAAAGTTATTCTCTGCTAGCTTACAGCCCACCACCCCGAGTCAGGCTAAAACTCAATGTGTCATGTTGCTTTGTCCTGACTGACAACCCAGAAACAACTCACAACAAGAACAGTAGACACAAAAAAGCTCTGAAAAGCCTCTCCTCAGATCTATGTAATGTTAAAAATATTTTGGCCAATATAAAAAAATAATATAATTTTGATTGAAAATTCTGTCTGTTTATTCATCAAGTCAATCTTACATGTACAGGTATTTCATTTTTGTTTTCTTCTGTTTCATCCCTTTATTTTCTTTTGCATGGTCCCTCCCACTTCTGCCTGTGTTGTTGCATGGATGAAGAACTGGAACCACCGAGCAGTCACTCAAGTAGGCTTTAGTTTGATCAGAATGTGATGCTTTTTTGACTGTCTGTGCCATATATCCAGGTGTAAGAATTTCAGCTTTACATTTTACTATTCCACTTGTAAAACGTAATCCACAAAAGTGCGTTGTGGCATCCATAAGCAAAGCCCTTTATCTCGCTTCACTGTGTGTTTGAAAAGCCCCAGTGCAGCTACAGCACAGACATCAATCATCATAGTGGAGTGTGTGTAGCATGTAGTAACAAAAGCTCTGTATATATGAAACGCTGTTGAAGGCAGAAAACAGCATCTGTCTATAGAGTACAAGAGCTACGTTCAAAATGAAATATACACCACAAATATAGTACACACACATCTGATGGTTTTGATTTACTTTACACATCGGTACGTGGGTCAACTTAAAGGTGCATTGTGTAACTTTTCTGATCCTCACCTGCTTGTTTCTATGGATATGTCATTGCTTGGCCTGGAATGTTTCACAGAAGACATTAAACAGCTCTGTGTAACATTTATTTAGTTACACATGGTTTTATAGCTCAGAAATACCTAGAAATACAGGCATTCTGACTGGGAGTGGGGTTGCCTCTCCACAGGGTTTAATGCCATACTGTGAAACATTCCAGACAAAGCAATAACATCTCTCTGGAGAAAAGCATTTGACAAACCTTCCATCAGAAAAGTTACACATTGCACCTTTAAAAGAGACATATGATACAAAATCAATTTTTAAGTCTGAGTAGTATTCTTCATTTGTGTATGCATGTTTGAGTAATCCAAAATGTAAAAATATGATCTACAATATACTAAATACCAGAAAAAACATAATATGTCTTTTTTAAAAGATCATATTATGGTAGATAATATCAAGATATAGAATGTACTATATAGAATGAATACAAGTTATTAATATAGTAATATTGTATTAATATTGGTATAGATTCAGATGTATGGGTTATATTAGCTCATGAGACAGAGCATTGTTGTATCTTTCTATCTTCCCTTGGCAGAGGTAATTACGGACAGTGATAAACACCATTCTATATTTATGTGCCTTTCTAAGAATTTGCTGCCTACTATACTAGTGCACAGTAATACATCAGTTACAATATGATTATTAAAATGTGAAACATTAGTATAATATGGCTTTCACAAAAGTTATCTTTATAAGCTCGTTTCCATTTTCTTTTAGAGTTGAATTCTGTGATGTATGACATGATAAAAAAGACATTTTCCTTTCTTCACTTTTAACTAACCATTTACTCACCGTATGAAATCTTAATTACAGCAGTTCTGGGATTGAATAATACTTGAATTATTGATGTGGTTGTAGAATACATGAATCTCTAATGTGCTAAAAGGTTTTGGCTGCACAGACCCACTATTCTAAACAACATGGCGTATTTCCACTTTTTGGCTCATTGCTATCCCTCACATTACTATACAAATGTCTATTTATACCCTGGTTTATACAGTGATAAACTTTTGTCCTAATCCATGTTTACAGAGTGCAGCAAAACTCCAATGTGCTGGTAATTGAATTGCGTTGGAGAGCCCGGGCCTGTAAAAGGATTTGAGGAGGGCTGAGGTGTCTGGCAGCCTGTGTGTGAGATTGGATCAAATGACAGTGAACGCTGCAGTTGTACTCACATTGCAGACCACAGCACATTAGCCAAATCGATAGCTCCCTCTCCTCTGCAACACACACAAACACATACACACACGTACACGTACACACACACACACACAGCTCCGAAAAGATATTGTCTGCACTTACAAACTAGAAAGGAGACCGATGCGATTTCCGTTGTCTCTTTAAATCATTGAGTGGGTGTTTAGGTATAGATTTTAGCTGACTTGACATTTAGCTTCTGGTTATGTAACAAACTAAGAAAAGTCACATTACATCACAGAGCACAGAAATGTTTGAGTTTTCAGGCTATTTCTGTTCGTTTTTGCGTCTGCAGATATCGTCTTTTCATCATAGTTTCTATTTTTACCCATCTGAATATTTCCATTTTCTTGCCAATTTCATATTTGGATTCATCTGTTTACATCCTCAAATAGCTGCAAATGACATTCAAAAAGACTTGGCATAAAAACAAATATATTTTTGTGTTTGAACATTTCAGGGCATCAGCAGCCTGTTCAGCTCGCTCAAAGTGGTCCGACTTCTGCGTTTGGGCCGGGTCGCTCGTAAGCTGGACCATTATATCGAATATGGAGCTGCAGTGCTGGTTCTGCTCGTGTGTGTCTTTGGACTTGCCGCGCACTGGCTCGCATGTATTTGGTATGTAATGTTTTGACACTGTGACTTCTATTAACAGGGCAGTAGACAGGGGGACAGAACTGAACCCTCTTCCTATTAATTTATATTATAGGGGGGGCCATGTAAGGCTTCTTGCCCTGGGCCCCCAAATTTCTGTTGACGGGCCTGCCTATTAGTGCCACAGCATGGTTAAATTGACAAAGATGATTTTACAACAGCTAATTACAACATTTATCCTAATTACATTGTTTAAGGATCCATATTACGCTATTTTCTTATCTATGTTATAATGTTTAACACAATTATTGCATGTTAAGGCTGAGTGCTTCTCTCAAACAGAAAACGCTCTGTTTCACCTTGTGATATCATGCGATAATACAGGAAGTGCTCCACTGTGTTTTTAAACTTCAAACAGCTTTTCTAGAATCATTTGGCTGATTTCAGTCCTGGAATTGCCAATCTTTATTAAATAAAAGATAAAACAGAGCAAGTTGTTAATTTGAAAACAACCACTACATGACATCACCAGGTGGGACAGAACATTTTCATATAGACAGACTAATAATAAAGGGTTCCTTAAACATGTGTGAATGAAACAAAACATAACTCCAGTCATGTCTTTGAAGAGATCACAACATTATAGCATGACTTAAAACTCATAAGAGCTAATTTTGCATAATATAGAACTTTTAATGTCTTGTTGTATTTGACTTTGATAAGTACCCAATATATATCAATGTTTATAGCTGCATAATATAAACTTGAATTTAATTAAGAAAAGTACTGATAAATAGGGAATAGGGAATATTTTGAGGAATTTTGCCTATTCAAGAGATTTTTTTTTTTTTATTAATAATTGCAATAGTGATGGTGCTAGATTTTCATTGCTCTGAAACCAGTGAATAAATTGATAAAATATTTGAGACAGTACACCAGTATACTTACATAACAGCCACTCTCCAACACACGCCAAAAATAGCATGACCGTTGTGAACAATTAATTAAGACAGTTAATGCATTAATTAGCTTTTCGTTGTGTCAACATACTTGTTTTCACTCATCGGCTGCTTTGTACCTTACAGCAAAGGAAGTGCTCTGCTAGTTTCAAGAGAGTTAGCTTTTTCTCATTGGTATGTAAATTTATGGAGCCCAGACCTCCTAAGTATAAACAGATCATGACCACTATAGGGGGCAAGTGTGGTGCTAGCATTAGCTCTCCATCATTTGCTCCAGCCTGATTTATGATATTTATGTCTAAATGATTTTAATGCTCTAAATATTACAGGGTCATATTTTAGCATGGGAAATGTAAAATGTTTCAAGAAATATTTTTAAAATTACAGCAAGTTGGCATTTATTTGTATATCTCACGGTTTGCGTACTATTTTGTTGATCTTATTGACCATAATAACAAAAAATATAGTATGTCATTTGATTTATTTATTAATGGGCCTATATTATCCTTTTTTTTATCTGTTGTTTCATTCACACATGTTTAACAGACAAACATTGCATATTTAAGTTCTTCTCTCAAACAGAAAAGAGTCTGTTCCACCTTGTGATATGGAAATACAGGAAGTGCTCCACTGTGTTTTTAAACTCCACACACCTTCACTAGAATCATTTGGATGATTTCAGCATTGGAATTGCCAATCTCTACTGAGCAAAAGGTAAAAGGTAGCTGTTAACTTGAAAACTACCACTACATGGCATCACAAGGTAGAACAGAGCACTTTGATCTTTTGAGATGTAGCCAGATGAATAATGCAGGATTACTGAAACATGTGCGAATGAAACAAAACATAACTCCATCTATGTTGCTGAGGAGGCAACAACAGTATAACATGGCTTAATGCTCACAAGAATGCATTTTGTGTAATGTAGGACCTTTACATATGGCCTTATCTCCCACAGGTACAGCATTGGCGACTATGAAGTAATTGATGAGGAGACTAACATTGTTCGAATGGACAGCTGGCTGTATATTCTGGCAGAGACACTGGGCACGCCGTACCGCTTCAACACCAGCGGATCAGGCAAGTGGGAGGGCGGCCCCAACAAGGACTCGGTGTACATCACGTCTCTGTACTTCACCATGACCAGTCTTACCAGCATCGGATTTGGAAACATTGCTCCGACCACAGATGGGGAGAAGATCTTCGCCGTGGCCATGATGATGATCGGATGTGAGTAAAGGGCTAGGAAATATATGACACATAAGAGGCCTCGAGATTTCGGATTTGAAACCACACCAAAGTAGATGAATACATTATTTTCACATGTCTCTTTTCCTTGGTTAGCTTTGAACTTCTCTTGACTGAAAATGTGTAGTTTTTATTAACTTGGAGCCATCCAAGATATTTAATTGGCATAACTCCGCATGACTTAAGGTTTCAATTTTGAGATGCCCTTCTCGACATAACTATATTTTATTTTATTTAAGAAAAAGGGAAACAGTCCATATTAACAAACATTTAGACAAATGCAAATATTCCAGATTATAGCCTTTGACTAATTTTCGGAGATCTGTAGACTCCTTGGCAGGTTGATATTACAACAAATAAAACATGAACACACACTATTTATAGAGACTATGTACATTTAGACAGGGCAGGCAAACAAAGACAAGAACAGTGACTACAAACAAGCTGGAGACTGACACCTAGAAATCCTATTGCATTGTATTGCACATATATTGATTTCTATTGCACTAACTTCTATTACCCCTGTATTTCACTGAGTCCTACTGAATTTTAACAAGGTAATATATGCACACACATTTGTCCAGTACTGGGACTGTCACAAACAGCACACATGTAACCCCCCCTGTGGTCCAAGATGTCACAGTACTGTTGAGAGGGATGGGAAGAATGCTTTGAAAATGTATTTAGTTACAGAATACTGAATACTAAATATTAAAATGCAATGTATTTTGTTGCATGGGCCAAATACTATATTTTGAATACTTAGAATACTTTTCAAGTTGCATTAAATTATAGTGTAACAATGCAACATAGGACTAAAAAAATCTTTGTGTTTGTTTGACTGTTAGTTATGCATTTCCTATCACTGACTAGAGTAGGAAAAATTACATATGCATTATTGTGAGCTATTTTTCTCACTGATTATGTGCAGTTTGAACCCAAAATTGGGCTATCAAATACATTAATGTATTCCTCTGATTTTAGGAAAAGTGTAATTGTATTCTGAAATAGTGACACTACTGGAATACTCACTCAAAATGTGTATTCAGAATATGTATTTTCAGTTTATGTATTATTTGTAGTTACTGTTCATTGCTTAAAGGACATTGTTAAAAGAATAACAGTTTTTAATTTATTTGGTCACATTTGGTGCCACTTGGACACAAATTACAGCAAAAACAACAGAAATGGTTCCATAAAATGTGATCACGACAAAATGGGAATGGTCAGCTGTGCGGTGGAAAGCAGCAAAGTGGTGAGAAACAGTGCGTCCTTATTTCTCCATATGAAACATTGATGATGTGTCTGTGTTGGTGCGTTTCGTAATGCACTGTACAGGGCCGGGCCATTATGTGTGACTGCACTCTGAGAGCTGCACCTCCAGCAATAACTCTGCCACATGAGTTTAACACAGCTCCTTCCTCTACTGCAGCATCACCCCACACCTCTGCTCTGCTCCTCTGTGCTCTGCTTCTCTGCACCCACACCTCTGTGCTCTCTTCCTCTGTGCTCTGCTCCTCTGCACCCTCCTACTCTGCACCCAACTTTCATGCTCTGCTCCTTGCACCTCACACCTCTGTACCCACCACTCTACACTCTGTTCCTCTGAACCCACCTCCTCTGCACCCCACACCTCTCTGCTCTCCTCCTCAACACCCTCCCCCTCTGTTCTCTCCTCTGCTCTCTTCTCCTCTGTGCTCTCCTCCTCTGCACTCTCATCCTCTCATCCTGTGCACCCTCCTCCTCTGCTCTCTGCTCTCCTCTGTGCTTGGACCTTTGCTTCCAGGGTGATGGCCCCCCCTTCGTCTCGCTCGGCTGCTTCTGCCTTTCAGCTGCTCATTCTTGTTATGGATGTGATTATGGGGGAAGTGGCAATGCTCATCTGCAGAGTTCTCAGAGACTAAATATTTTATTATGAGATACAAATCATCTTAAATCTCTAAAAACCAGACAGCCCCAGGAGATTTCTGTTGTAGATGCAATCTTGTGTAGTCCACGGCTGTTCTGTATAAAAAATGAATGCCCTGATACTGTTCTATTTTTACATCAGCTCTGGATCGGTGCTGGCAGTAGAAGATCACAGTGTGACGAGTTTTTTTTTTTTTTTTTTTTTTTTTTTTTTTGTGGGGGTGCACACAGAAGATGATGGGGGCTATACATATGTCCTGTTGCTATAGCAACTGTTGGCCTGGGGCTCGAGTTTCTGACAACTGTCTTTTTAACTGTCTGAAACAAGCCAGCTGTTGGTGCGGTGTAGCGTTGAAGTTGTGTGCGTCAGCAGAGGCTTGTACAGGAGCAGATACTGTACAGAGGCTGTGCTCTGGGGACAAACCAAGTCTCTGTTCAAGCGTTTACCTTTTATTAGATGAGGGAGAACACTGTCATCTCCAAAACTTTGACAACATCTCAGCAAATAGTCACTCTTTAAAGACAGCTAGCATATTGCTGAACATATGTCTCCTGCAGCACCTTTTGTACAGTACCAGCATTATAGATGCACATAGATCAGTGATGCAGCAGTGATGAGAGGATGAAAGTTAGTGGTTATCTGCGCCCTTGAGGAGTTGTGAGCGCTTTTTAATTAGCATTATTCCCAGTGCAGTTTTTCAACACTTTGATTGTGCTGCCATAAAAAACAAACAAACAGCCAGCGCACGGCAGGCACGCGCACTCAGGTTACTGTCATCATCGGAGCATAATTGAAATGTGTGGTTGGCATGTTTCCTCTCCTCCGTCCCTTCGAGCAGGGCTAATTAAGGCTCCACTGCCAGGAGAACACTACACACAGAGCAGACATCTGATGGCTTTGATCCCCTCTCACCAGCTGTTGCACTGGCCCATCCGCACCACTCACACGTACCTTTATCTCCCTGCTATTTTCATTTTTACCCAACAATAAACAAGTCTAAAGCTAATCTAATTCTGAGGAAACTAACTACATGAGTATATGGATGACTACAAGCACATTTATAAGAGCTGTAATCATGCGTTCCGCCTTTTGGCAAGTTCTGCTGATATATTTGACCGTAATGAGGAAGATGAATTGTTAATTTTTCATATGGCTGACTATGGGTGTGGTTAATAAAACAATATTAAGGCTCAAGGCACATTGGGTACATTATTAAGGCAATATAGACTATAATGAATCATTGTTCTCCTCATGTTTTTTGGCTTTCCTTACAGTGCACATGAATAGGTTGGTAGGTTTATTGTTCCAATAGTATTTAGTAATACTTTTTAATTCTGTCACTCTGCTACTCTCTCTAATTTAATTTATTGACATAAATAAAGTGATTGAATTGAAATTAGAGTAGTCACCAAACTTCACAGAAAGCCTGAGACAAGTGGACACATTTGTTAACTATTTTAATGTGATGTTTTTGAGTAAGTTTTGGTTTGTGCACCAAATCCATTAAATCAGGTAAAAAACAAACAAACTATGTATCACGAATGTAAAGAAATGTTTTTCAGACAGAAAGATTATACAGGATATAATTGATTTTTTTTTTCACTGAATTCATTTATAAAATATTGTTTTTATTTGACAGTATTTGGATGAATTATTAGCTTGGTATTTCCCTGTGCCCAAAACAAAATAAAAATGATCACAACCAATATCTCTATCTGTTTCTACAGCTCTTCTGTATGCCACCATTTTTGGTAACGTGACCACCATCTTCCAGCAGATGTACGCCAACACCAACAGGTACCATGAGATGCTCAACAGTGTCAGGGACTTCCTTAAACTGTACCAGGTGCCCAAAGGCCTGAGTGAGCGTGTCATGGACTACATCGCCTCCACGTGGTCCATGTCCCGTGGCATTGACACAGAAAAGGTGGGCAGCCCACACGCTTTGAATTATGGAACATCTGGTAACCTCCCCACTACATTTTTAATCTGACCTATGAATGTAATACCCTTTTTCTTTTCTTTTGAAAAATGCATTTATTCAGCCATTTTGGAGATATGAGTGGGCTGGGGTGCCATGTCATCTCAGTCTGGCTCTTGGCCAAACTAAATATGGCACACAATCTCATCCCTGTTGTGGAGAGACAGTAGTTGGAAAAGAAGTACTGAATCCTTAATAAACAAAAATATAAAAATACAAATGTACAAATACAAAATAAGTATAATGAAGATCAAATAAGCATCTTTTATAGAGAGTATCTGCTTAGTTTAGCTAAATTAATGCACCATTTTCCTCATCATTGTGTATTTAAGGTTTACTGACATTAGAAACTACATTTTTGTGGTTAAAATAGCCAGGTACAACAGTTATATAATCTTGCACTACTAGCTAAAGGGACAGACTATGTGGATTTTCTATGGTTATATTCACCCTTTTGTTATTTTCTTTACATTTGATTTATAACATTGACATTTCACACAATTTCACCTATTTCATGGGGTTAATCTACTGCTTTAATGTTGCTTTATGGACACTTCAGTAGCTGACATTTCCACAGTAATTGTTTGTTTTTCTCTCTCAGGTGTTACAGATTTGTCCTAAAGACATGAGAGCGGACATCTGCGTGCACCTGAATCGAAAAGTATTCAAGGAGCACCCAGCTTTTAGACTGGCAAGTGATGGCTGCCTGCGCGCGCTCGCTATGGAGTTCCAAACCATCCACTGTGCCCCTGGGGATCTGATCTACCACGCCGGCGAGAGCGTAGACAGCCTCTGCTTTGTGGTGTCGGGGTCACTAGAGGTCATCCAGGATGACGAGGTGGTGGCCATCTTAGGTGAGGAACACATTTGTCATGACATTTTTATTTATTTTTTAATTTTTTTTATTGAACATTTTAATAATATATTACAGTCCAGTACAGTGTAAGGTAAACACACACCAATTTAAAAAATCAAGCAACAATGCAGCTCCACCTTGAAGAAAAATAAACCTGCACCAGAATCTACACAGCAGTTGTCAGAACAGTCCTTCCACAGCCTCTCAGACTCTCACCCGAGATCCCCAGGTAACTCAACACTTTGTCAAACTTAGCAGTAAAACATGCTTCTTTAAAAATACCAATTTTCCTGGAGTAATTTTATGTAGTTCCCAGTTGACAAAGTGAATACATGTCCAACAGTGTACTCAATACTGTTGAACTAATACTCCTCAAGAAATTTCTCAAGCAAAGCTACTGTTGACTGGTGACAAGGTATAATTATATAAATGCATATGTACAAGTAAAAATAAAATACAGAAATATAGTAATACAAATCGAGTATAGTACAAATATAGTAAAACAGATCATGTGAAGAAAAGATGAAATAATGATTAACATGCCAGGGTTATCTATTACATAAAGGTGAGTTGTATGGAGTATGGTATGAATATAGTCCTGTGTCTCTCACTGTCTGTCTCACTCTGTCCCTCTCATGCATTACGTTGTAATATTTAGGAGAGCTCTAAAATAAAATGTTGCAGCTCAATTATGAAAGAATACAGACTGGGAGTGACAATGTGCACGTCTGGCTAATGAAAGCTGCCTTCTGGGTCACAAGTTTCTGCAGAGCTAAACTTTTTTCTGAACAGTGTTTGTGTAACAGCTCTGAACAACAAGCTGTGTACATCGTGTGTGAGTCATGGGGCTGGATTTGGATACATATCTTTGTTGAAGAAAACAGATTCACAACTTCACTTCTAAACACATCTCACAAAGGCTCACAAAGGCTCACAAAACAGCCCACTGCCCCCAGTGGCTCTTTCGGCTAATTGATCTCACCAACTTTGTAATTATAATTTCCTAAATGTCAGAGCACCTTCACGATTCTCTTGGCCGTAAATTGCAACTTTGTCAGACCTTCTCAGAGCCACTAATAATAAGATTTAATGAAAAATCACTATAATTAAGAATCTGGCCGTATTATAAATGCATTAATACTACAAATTAAAACAAATACAAAAGCAGATTGCAGCCTTTGCAGCTATCGATCTTTTGTCCCACTTTCAACATTTATTCCCCAAGCACACATCATGGTTCTGTATTTAGTAGTAATGACTATTGCTATGTGTCCATTGTGTAACTGTGCTCTAATAAACAGCACCCCTCTAGCTGATGAATGCTAATTTTAAATATCTTTTCTATATTGCTATGTTTGTTTCTATATTGCTTCTGCCAAAACTGGGGATCAATAAAGTATATATCTATCTCATGCTGTGGTGGTGGCACTACTATACACTTTAAAACTATCTGAAAACAACTGAGTAATTTAAATGTAGCGTGCTTGAGTAAATGTCATACATAAATCACACCTAAACAAATGTTATTTTACCACAGGCTCTTAAAACATGCAGGGGTGCAGGTGTGATGTGGTTACAACTATTAGTTCAGTCATTAACTAATCAATCCTGGACTTTTCTTTGTTACTTCACTTTAATTTCCCCCCATGATTGATTTGGTGAATAATGAATGGGGCACCGAGACACTGTCCCAGGTTGTTTTGTATTAGTTACCTCCTATTGGATTCTTTGGGAGAAAATCAATACTGTGTTAGGCTATTGCCATTGAGCCATATGCACATGCTTTATTGGGAAGCCCCAGAGATAAACAAGCCATGGCCGGGTCCAACTCTCATTAGCCTAATGGCAGGCTAGTACAGACCAAATCATCTCCTAAACTTCAAATGGGCTCTTTTTGACTACCTATTCCCCAGACTACTCTATATCAATACATTGGTTCCTATATTATACAAAATTGACTCTTGGGAGGTATGATTTAATGTTGTTACTTCATCATAAACATACCCAGTTGTGTTTTGTTTCATTCACACATGTTTGAAATATCCTGCATTATTAGTCTGTTTACATCTCCAAAGCTCAAAATGCTATGTTCCACCTTGTGATGTTCTGTAGTGGTAATTTTCATATTAACAGCTACCCTTTACCTTCAGTTCAGTATAAATAGGCAATTCCAGGAATGAAATCTCCCAAATGATTTTAATGAAGTTGTATGGAGTTTAAAAAAGAACTCTAATGTGCAAGTACCCTAAATATGAAGGGTTTGTGTGCTAAATGTGTGAATGAAACTAAACACAATTTGAGTTGTTTATGATGAGGAAACAACATTATAACATAGATCAGAAAACAGCGTAGCATGGTTCCTTTAAATGTCATTAATCATAGTAATACAATTGAACACAGAGTTTGATGGATGCTGCAGCAGCGTTTCTTGAGACGCTGAAACATAATTTTTCATAACATCTTTAATAACATATGTCATCACATTGTCCTGAGGGACGGTCAGACGGCACTCGGACAAGTAAAGAACTAAAGATATTTTGAGCAGTGACACAAGAGGCCGCTGATGATAATGACTCATAGCACTTCATGGTTAATTGCTGCTGCGCTCATGTTGTACCTTTCAGACTTAAAATTACATGTCACCAGTGAGTCACAGAGTGGGAGCATGGGGCCCAGTGATGAGCAGTTACAGTCAGGACATCAGAGGTTTCTTAATGGTACAATGCAGTAGATAAAGTGGGAAACACAGCCATAAGGACCTATAGCTGACAGTATGGCATCTGTTAGAGAAGATTAGTGAAGGGAATTGGCAATGTGTTAACCCATTTCAGCAAATGGACCAATAAACTAACTGAGAGAAAACATCACAAACTGTAGAAGTCAATTACAACGGTTATTTTTTGTGCTGTGGCGCATATAGCCTACTGTAGTCGCTGCAATGCCACTACTTATACATGGTAATAATATTACCGAGATTTAAAGATGCACTGTGTATCTTTTCTGGTGGAGGTCAAATGCTTTTCTCCTTGGAGATGTTATAGCTTTGTCTGGAAGTATGATATTAATCCTGTCTATCTTCATGGAGACCAGATCTGCGAAGTGGCAACCCCGCTCACAGTAAAAATGCCTGTTTTTTGTGGTATGTTTGAGCTATAAAACCACCTGTAATTTAATAAATTTAAGGTAGTTTAAGTTACTGTTTAATGCCATACTGTGGAACATTTCAAGTTGCATAGTGCAGCTTTAAATTATCTATTTTATAATCTTTTACAAATACTTAAAAGATCCAATTCTCCCTACTGCCGTGCCTACCTTTTATAGATAAATAAAAAGTAATAAGATAAAAACCAAGCATACACAATTTGTTTGTCTGGATTTTTGAGGCTCTTCACAGATCTTTTAGTTCAGGGAAATGAAGGGTTAAATCTTGTACTGAATATAATTTCATGAGTAGCAATTGTTACAATGCATTTGGAGGAATTTGTTTTGAAAACTCTTCTTTGATGATGAGTGACAGAGTTGTAAGCCTTCTACTATATCTCTGTATTACAGGTAAAGGAGACGTGTTTGGGGATGTTTTCTGGAAGGAGGTGACGCTAGCTCAGTCATGCGCTAATGTCCGTGCATTAACCTACTGTGACCTCCATGTTATCAAACGCGACGCTCTGCAGAAGGTGCTGGAGTTCTACACGGCCTTCGCCAACCACTTCTCCAGGAATCTGCTGCTGACATACAATCTCCGAAAAAGGGTGAGTCTCTCTACATAAAAACCATAAAGGGGACTTGTTGTTAGGCAAATTTGTATTACATTTGTATTCATGACACAAGCCGTAAATGTCCTGAGAGAAACAATTACTGAAAACAATTGTTAGTGTGTGTCATACCACCAGAATCTCTTCCCTTAATTACAGACTAAATGTTCAGCTGTTCCGCATAACAAATATTAAATGGTTTTAGTCAAATATATTTGGTTTGATTTTACTCTGTTTGGTGAGGGGCGCTTTCATTTAAATACACAGTTTGGAAAAACTTCACAAAAAAATACATCATTGGATGCAATACAGTATCTTATTTCTCAAGCTGCAGAAATAATTTTAATGAGCGCTTTTGTATCTGAAGTCGTTTTGTAATTGTGTATTTGTCTGAGCCCATAATTAGTGTATGGTTACTGCATAGTTATCGCAGTGGCCATTTTGTATTCTCCCAGTAAAAACTTCATTCTCTGTACTTTCTGGAGTACAAACTGAAGCCTCATACAGCCAAAATGATATGTTTTAGTGATAAATAACAGCCATCCTTAGTCCAGACAGTATAGCAGAATCCTTCACTTAAAACAGAGATGTGAATCCACACAAACATTTTAATTAGCATACTTGGTTATGTTTGTTGCTGAGTTTTTGAGAACACCACAACATTTTGTAGTATGTAAGAATATTTAAAGGGCCCATTTTACGCTATTTTCTGGTCCATGTTATAACATTGTTTTCTCATCAAACACATACCTCAAGTTGTGTTTTGTTTCATTCACACATGTTTAGCACACAAATCACAAAGGGTTCTTCTCTCAAACTAAAACCCAACATGGCTAAAGTCAATTTTGTGTAATATAGGACCTTTAATACTGGGGAGCAGTTAAAATTAATATTGTTAAAAATCACCAGCTTCAACATTTGTGAAAAGCATATTTCTTATGAGAATTACTGTATTATCTAAAGGGAATATTGGTTTCCGCCCCATCTGGGAGTATGACACCATCCCATTCTACAACAACAATAAAACAAAAAAAACAAAAAAACAATGGACCACAATTAGTTTCCTGAAAATAAAAGGAATTCATTTAGCCGCCACAGAGCAATGTCACTGAGATACCCCCTGAGAACGTAATACATAACTCATATGTGCTTGATCCTGCCATAAACAGCATGGACAATAAAGCCACCAATCATGGTTCAATAAGGTTAACCTGCCCAAGAGAGCTCAAGTGAGATTGAACTGCACGCATACTCTGGAGCAATTTCATCTTCTGCATTATGCTAAACTATTCGCTAGGGTCCGATACTGGTTGTACGTGTATGCGGTGGAGAAATGAAGAGATAGATGAGGCATTGGGCCAAATGTGGGCGCCATATAAAACTCATGAGGTAGTATTTTTGAAATGGGAAAGCCAGAGCTCGCCTACGACCCTGCACTACTGCTGGAGTGGCTGAAGTCAACAACAATGTTTCTGCTGATGAGATATATGGACTTTCTCATGCTGGCTGTTCACAGATGATGGATGGACTCAGAGCTCATTGGATTTCAGTGGCGAGATAGAGCGGAACAACAACTTAAAATGTATTAAGTGTACATACTGCAAAAGATGATATACAGTGTGCAGGGGGGTACCGTGTGTCGTGCCCTGAGTAGAAATAACAAACCCAGCCAAGCCCATACAAACTTTAATAGGAATATGTATTTGCTGACAAGAGAAGAAAAGAAAAGCCAGTGTACTTTTTGTGACAGTACTAACTTAGCACTACTACTGCTACTGTTACTGCTACTACTAATACTACTATTGCTACTACTACTACTACTACTACTACTACTACTACTACTACTACTACTACTACTACTACTACTACTACTACTACTGCTGCTGCTGCTGCAACCACTATCCGATTATTACGTACTTAAATAGCAGTATTTATTTACTGATAAGAGAAAACATTCACAAGACAGTGTATTTGTACCAGTAGCCTACCAACTTAGCCCTACTACTACCACTACTACTACTGCTGCTGCTACTGCGACTGCTACTGCTGACTCTACTACTACTGCTGCTACTACTAATAGTGCTGCTGCTGCTACTGCTTCTACAACTACTACTACTACTACTACTACTACTACTACTACTACTACTACTGCTACTGCTACTGCTACTGCTACTGCTGCTACTACAACAAGTACCTACAGCTACTACTAGCCTACTACTACCTACAGCTACTACTATTAGGTTATCTAGTTTAAAAATAAATGCAGAAAAATATATATGTGGTACCCTTTACTCTGCAGTGTATTCATCAACACTACACTTAATAGTTATAAGAAGTGTTTTATGGCCATACCAGACAATATACAGCAAAGCATAAGTGTTACTTTTCTTCTGAGAAATGCTAAATATTTTAGAACATGCTGTTCTCTTTAGGGCAATTATACTGTCTAAAGTCTAGCCCCACAAATCACTGAAAATGGATACGTTTTTTTGGATCAGAAAAATAATAGTCTGATTCTGAACATTCCCATAGCAACCTCAAAGTGTGAAAGCAATGGAGCCTGTATGTAAGTATGTTCTAAATTTAATGTAAATATGGCAACTCTCCTGCAAATAATGAAACTTTCTGTATGGATTATTATCTCATAGAAAATATCATTTACAATTTTACAAGATACCCCTTTGTCTGTGAGTAGACAATCTAAAATTTGACTCAGCATGATAATAAGTTAAAGCAATAATAATTTACTCAGTGCAAGTGAGCAAGTGTCTTTATTTTTGTCCTTATTGTCTAAGTACTGTGTATTAGGCTTAAAGTGTCTCTGCACCTAACAAAGCCTGAAGCATCCAGTGCACTTTCTCACTGTGTCATGGGAAAACATTGACAAAGGTGACATTTGCAATGCACACACAATGTAACAATCCATCTTCACTAGAAAAGTTGCACCTGTATGACAGAAATAGACTGAAGAATGCTGTTGATAAAAGAAGGCTGGTGTTAGGAAGGGCATCCGGCTTAGGGTAGTGCCATGTTCATAAAATCATCACTGCACATTTTGATATTTTTATTGTTTTTATGTTTTGATATTTAATTTATTTTTAACATGTGCCTTCAACATATATCACATCTTAAAGGAACATTGTGTAACTTTTGTGGTACAGGTGATGGACACCCAACCAAAAAGTTGCACGGTGCACCTTTAACAATCAAGGGGAAGAAAGTACAAAGAAACAAATAAATAAATGAATAATATAAAAAATAGACATCTCAGACAAGAAAGTACAAATTCATCAGGAGGCAGATTTGTTTTGACATCCACCGAAGCAGCCAAGATGATTGAAATATCTATGCATCTTCTATCTATTTATTTATTTTTTTCTCAGATTGTCTTCAGAAAAATCAGCGACGTCAAGCGAGAAGAGGAGGAACGTCAGAAGCGTAAGAACGAAGCTCCTCTGAACCTCCCCCCGGACCACCCTGTTCGTAAACTCTTCCAGCGCTTCCGTCAGCAGAAAGAGGCCAGACTTCACATCGACAAATCTGACCTCGATGAACACGACCTGGAGAAAGGCCAGATGTACGTGGACACGCCCCCTCCAAAACCCACCATCGCCACCACCAGCATCGTCACGGTTACGGAAAGCCCAGCGACGCCCTCCTCCTCCACGCCACAGTCAGGAACCCCCACCAACTGTAACGCCAATGAAAAATCCACACTCCAAGTCCCGCCTCCTGTACCTTTTATCGCTTGCCGTACCACCGAACCTCCAAAGGTCAAAGGTTGGGGTCGCTTTAAGGAATCTATGGCCAAAGCGGATAACTGGAATAAAGTATCCAAAGCAGAATCTATGGAGACTTTACCAGATCGGACCAAGGCACATGACTCAACCCAAGTGACGTTGAAAAAGACGGATTCTTGCGACAGCGGTATCACCAAAAGCGACTTGCGGTTGGACAAAGCAGGCGATTTAAGGTTGACCCCTCAGGACCGTAGCCCTGTCCAACCAGATAACAGACATGCATTTTACCCCATCCCTGAACAGACTCTACAAGCATCACTACAGGAGCTAAAACTAGAACTAAAAGACGATATCAAAAACCTTTCCGCACGAATGTCTGGACTAGAGGCACAACTCCTGGAAGCACTCCAACTACTGAAAGAAAGGAAATCCAGCACGGGCTCACCGCAGCCTCTTTTTGATATTTCTAGACCCGCATCACCAGAACTGGAAAAGGAAGATATCTTTTCGTGAAAGTTTTTAGGGACATTGTGGATTTCAACGCAATACTGGGAACACAGCCTAAGTCCAGTTACATTGGGATTACCTGGGCATCTGAGGCTGCAGTAATCACTATATGCAGGATTACAGAGCAGGTGTTCTCGCTGGTTCCGACAGAAACCAGATCCAGAGATGTTGTAGCACGGTTTACATGAAGGAAAACTCAGAGGGTAGCTAAGCAGACAGCTGTATGTTTGTATATAAGTATGGTTTATTTTTCCATAAGCACTTTAATGGAAAAACAGCTTGAGGTAATTTCTCTCAAATCTGTTTATATTATTACAGATTTTACGTGGTCTCAACAGAAGAGCGCACTTGTGGCTCAGTTGGAGACTTCACTGAAAGCAGCATGAAGCACTGGTTTCTTATTGAACCATTTGTTTCCTACTCCCTGCATGTCCCTAACACTAGACTCGTGCCTCAGAGCGCAGAAGGTGCATTTTTGAGTTTTCGAGGCCTCACAGTCATCACATTATTTTATTGTAGACATTATCTCCATGATACGATTTTGTCATTAACTGATAGACTCCTCTGTCTTGTGTTATACAGTTTTGATCAAATAATGTTACTTTCAAGAACCGATAAACACTGAGTAGACAATATTAGATATTCAAAGGATCCGTCACATCTTATTTATTGTAGTAGCCATTAGAGCAAATCTTATGTCAGTTGAATGAAAGCCATCCATCTTAGGCTTTGAGAAGGCATTATTCAGTGGCAAAAATAAATGACACCACACATGAAATACGATTCTGCCCCTAAGATGTTTTCAGACTGTCAGGAGCTCTGTACGGAATGCCTTTTTGCATATTGTTATAATAAAAGTTTATTTTTGTGATGATAAATCTACTCCGCACACACACACATACACATAGGAGAGACTTTTGCTGCATACATCAGCCTGCACGCTTCTTTCCACAGGCCTATCGTCACTCCTGTTGTGGCTGAAGGCGTAGACTGTGAGACGCATCTGGCTGTTTACAGGAAGTCTTGAAAAGCATGTGCTTGGGGTTGAATATTAACCAAAATGAGTTATCAGTTATGAACATTGCGCAACACACAATAACTAAAGATCGATTGATGTGGGTGTTTTTCATGGACAATATCGATACCGATTCTTTATAGTACAAAGCAACTGATGGCCGATAAACTCTGCCGATATGTTTGGGCTAATATACAAGATTTATTTTTATTATTTTCCCCAAATTATGTCATTTAAATTTACTACAAACAATCCCAAGTCCTTTTTACCTGTATAATCGTGTTTTATGCAGCTATCTCTTAGTAGTAAAATGTTAAAATAAAGATTTTAGTATTTTTTTAGGCAGCACAGATTGACCAAAACAAAATATGCTGTAAAAGGCTGTGAGCCAATATGCTTAAAAAGTCCAAGTATCGGCCTTATATATCGGTCTATCTCTAACAATAATATACACATACTACCAGTAGCACACACCATCATATGTATTTGATTGTGGCAATTGATCTATCACACAGAAATGAGGACTATTACATTTATTTTGAATTTAACAAACACAAAACCAGTGATATTAATATGTTAAACAAGCAAAACTTGAAATTAAGTAAACATTTTTCAATGTATTCTATCTATTCTTAAGATATTGGCTTGGGACATGTCTCCTTCCAGCACAGTACAATATTCAGGCAAACAAAGAATGATATCTTCAAAAAAAAAAACTGCTTGATAAAAAGAAATGGTCTTCTCAACAGGGGAGGGGAATAATTTGGGTTAGAGCCAATGTTCATGAGACCTAATGCTTTTGTATTAAAGGCGGTTGAACAAAATCACAGAAATCACTGACGCATGGAGGAAAAGCAGACAGTTGGTGCATACACTGGGTTCAGAGATAAGCAGGAAAGAGGACAGAGCTGACACAGGCTCTGATACACTCCAGTCGAGAGGAGGATGTACAGATTAAATCATGCCAGGCTTTCTGTTGTGTAAGGCCAATTAACCACTTATATCTGAGAACCTAAACCAATCAGTTATTGCCTAAAATCTGTCGGAACTAAATGCAATTACCTGTAAGTTAATTAAACCGTAACTGCTGTGCTAAGACCAGAGGTGGAAGATAATGAAGTATAAGTACAATACAGTACAATCAAGAACAGTAAAAGTACAATACTTAAGTACAATTTTTAGGTACTGTACTTTACTTAAAAGTGCACTGCATAACATTTCTAGTGGAGGGTCCGCCACCTGCTTGTCTCTATGGAAATGTTATGGCTTTGTCTAGAATGTTCCACAGTATACAGTGAACTGTGACTACGAAATAGACTGTGGAACATTTTAGAGAAAGCAATAACAGTCTAGTCTAGTCTATACTCCCTTGTGACAGATAAGTTTAGTCTGCAGTATAGACTAAACTTAGCTATCACAAGGGAGAGCAGGGGACAGTACTACGCTACATTACAGTTCAGATCTGTGGAGAGTCACTCATTCACAGAAGGGATTATTGTATTTCTGAGCAATAGAAACAGCTGTAATGCATAAATGTTAGATGTGTATGTTTAATGTCATACCGTGAAACATTCCAGGCAAAGCAATAACATCTCCATGGATACAACTAGGTAGCAGACCCTCCGACAGAAAAGTTGCGCAGTGTGCCTTTACGTAAATTTTACAGTGGATACTTTTTACTTGTTCTTCACTACATTTGAGGACAGGTATCTGTACTTTCTGCTCCACTACATTTTAGATCTGGACTGAAAAGTAAAAAGTACTTTTCTTCTTCTGGTTTGAGACCTGCTGAAATGGCTGAGACTTCATTTTAGCAGATTTAATTTTGAGTTAACGTCCAAACTTTGAGCAAAGCAAATACACAAAAACAGCTAGAGAAAGTAAGAAATCAACTGAATCACATAAAAACATCTATTCAATTAATTACTTATCAAAATCATTAAATTTGATGCTTTAATTGTTCTAAAAATGTCTGCATAATAATTGTATATTCAATGCTTTAAGTACATTTTTGAACAGGTACTTCAATAGTTTTACTTTAGTTGATTTTTTCATGTGATACTTTTACTTTTACCTGAATAATCTTTTGTTCCTGTATCTGTACTTTTACTTAAGTAACAACATTAAGTACTTCATCCACCACTGGCTAAAACTTGTCCCATTTGAATCAATTTAACCACAGTTTTACACAAACATGCACCATTTATGAAACTATTGTATTTGAAGTTCATTTGCAAAAACAGATAAGTGTCATTGAAAAAGTCAGAGGAGGCTTGTAGGTTACTCTTAGTTTAGTAATAACATAACAAAGCCAAATATATTTTACAGCTATTAAAATATTACTCCACCCTCCTTGACAAAACCACTATACATTAATGCCATTGCAAATATATTAGAAAATGCTAACAAAAACAAAAAACAAAAATGGAGATATCTGTTTTTGCTATTGAACTCTTCATTTTAAAACCAGCACTGACTAAATGAATGAATTTTTCCCAACAATACTTCTCGGATAAATGACATACTCTGTAATTTTGTACTATCTGTTATTTGTAAGTCAAGTGTGGAATGCGTCACTACTATTAGCACTTTCACTAGTCTTCTTCACAGCTTTGAGTAGAATCACTATGATGTACCACGGATTGAAGCAATATTACAAGTACTATCAATGTCCAAGCAAAGGATGACCCAAACTGACTTATGTGGAGGCTATTTAAGTCATTACATTTCATTAAGATGCATGCAATATTGTGCCTTTTAAGCATCTCCTCACTAGCCCTGCATTGACTAGATTAGAAATGATTATCAAAATTGTCGTATAACACACACAGACAGATGATTTTAAACATATTTTCTGCTTTGGGAAAAATCTGAGCTGACAGTCACAAACAAAAAGTATATGCACATATCTACTGAGGTGGTTTGTCTCAAAGCAAAGTCTGGTATGTTCAAGGCCTGTCACGATAACACATTTTGAAGTGTGTAATATTGTTGAAGTAAATATAGACGATAAACGATAATACTGAAACTAATTGATGTGACCCAAGAGCAGATTCAAACCACAAAAAGTATTCTAGATGTACAATATTGTTAAGAATTCATGAGCTGCAATAAATAAACAGCAGAATGAAACACTTTAGTTCTGAGTTTCCATCTGTATTGAGTCATGAGAAGTCATTAACTAAACCTTCAACAGCTCAAATCTTATCAAAAAAGCAAAAAAAATAACCCCGAATTTCCCAGTAGTGCATTTCCCCGACCGTTTGGTGTACAATTATCCAGACCAAAATAATTATGATTAACGATAATATCATGATAATTATTAAAGTTGCTGAGAGTTAAAAATATTTTGGATATAAATCATTAAAATTAGTATTTTATGAACAGGTTCCATATTTAAACAACTGTTTTAATATTGTACTTTGTACTTTGCTCTAAGTGAAAACAAAAATGATCCAGCAGAGAACATTATGGATAGATGTGAATATCTTTTTTCTGCACATTCTGATGATATAAAGGGGATTATTTTTGTTGGCAATTATTACAGTAATAAGTAATATAAGATGTCCCATGAACGATTATTATTCAAACCTTTAATAATGATAAACAATATTATTTTATTTATTTATAGATAGTTATTGTCCCATCCCTCTTGAACGATAACTCATAATTAGTAATTATCGTGACAGGCCTAGTGTGTTCATGTTTTATGCACCTGCCTCTATCTTTGTACATTTCATGTGATGCTTCTATTCCAAGCACAACGGGAACTATTTGTGAGGAACTGTGACTTATTGTATCATTAAAAATAAATATTTTTACAAGCTTGTGTGGTTTGTTCACATTGGGGATACTCCCACATATACACGCAGACACCATTAATCTCCCACTCACATCGAGCAGGTTACTAAGAAAATCCCAGGTGTTCCTCGGGAGATCTGCTCTCGTCTGATCGTCTTATGTCAGATAAAGCTCAATGTTTTATGCTCATTTAAGAGGATTCTTCAGTGACCCCATGCTCTAATCCTGCTTAGTGTCACAGATATGATAATCCTCCAAAACAGAAATCAGCTAATGGAAAGACTAGAGGCGATTTAAAATAACACACTTTGGATTACAATATACAGTGTTTTCAATATAACCCCACTTAATATGCCCCGAGATTCATGCAATTTTTGTGCAACTGTTTAAAAGTGCATTGATCTGGTGGAGAGTCCATCAAATGCTTTTCTTCATGGAGATGTTATTGCTTTGTCTGGAAGGTTTCACAGTATGCCATTAAACCTTTCTATCTTCATGGACACCAAACCAGACCAAGTTACAAGTCAGATCTGTGGAGAGGCGACCCCGCTCACACTGAGAATGCTTGAGTTATAAAACCACCTGTAATTGAATAAATGTTGGTGGATCTGTTTAATGTCATATTGTGGAACATTCCAAGCAGAGCAGTTGCATATCCATAGAAACAAGAAGGTGACGGACCACCAATTGAAACATTACACAGTGCACCTTTAAGCTGTCATTGAGGCACTAATAAATGTTAAAAAAAAAAGTCAACACCACAGCTTCACAATTTCAGAAACAAAACATTAATTTAAATGCAAATCAGAACTCAACACAGAGTGATCTTTAACGCTATAGCTATCACATTTTCACTTCTCCCTGCATTTCATTGCCTTAGACTTGGATTTTTAAAAGTATTTTGTCTTTTATCAAATCTCAAAGTTAGTAGACATTTTTGGCCAATTTTCTTTTCCAGCTGCATTTATGAAGAGAATAATGAGATTGCTTAAGTTCCTTAGGGTCTGTTTAGCGTTTACTACACGGTGGTCCATCTTTGAACACGAACCATTTTATTGATGGCGCCAAGGGGCTTTAGTAAATAAGAAAGCATAATTTTTCCAGCTGTCTGCATCAGTGAGCAATATCTTATCACAGGTTGAGAAACAGGACACACTGGGAACATCTATTTAGTGTCATTGTTTCTTTATGTGAAAGAATACAGGATAACCATGTACAAAAGATACAAGATTAACACAATATGTACTGATGAGGCATTATTTTACAGTAAACATACACAAATACTTCAGCAGGCAGGGTAAGAACCCGACATATGAATGATGCACGATCAAAGGAATAAAAAGAGGCCCAAGAAATTATAGGTAAAATAAAATATTTTGAGAAAGAAAATATTATGGACGTGAAGTAGAATTATGAGTACATGTACTGTGCTTACATACATATATACTTAATTATACTTGTAATTTTGTACACACTTGGTCAATTTAAAGGTGCACTGCACACCTTTTCTGGTTGAGGGTCCGCTACCTACTTGTCTCCATGAAGAGGTTATTGCTTTATCAAGAATGTTCCACAGTAGAGATTAAACCTATCTATCTCAAGAGAGACAAATAACTTCAATCACATGGAGAATTATTGTATTTTTGAGCAATAGAAACCAGTAATGAATCACTGCTAGATAAATGTGTTTAAACATTCCAGGCAAAGCAATAACATCCCCATGGAGACAAGCAGGAGCAGGACCAGCCACTAAAAATGTTACGCAGTGTGCCTTTACAAAACAATCAAAAAGAAAAAAAAAAAAACAGAAACAGATTTATGGGCACGAGCCAGTATTATTCATAGTCTGGCTGCTACTGACCACGGCCTCCTGGACTCAGCATGTTGTTCTATCCGGTGGCAGTCATTTACACTGTTAAACAAAGTCAAGGTGACTCATGCTGGGGAGAGGTCCGCTCAAGTCCAATCTGTGCAAAGCAGTAGAGGAAGGCCAGCATGGGGGGTGCAATGTTGTACCAGCCTGAAATGAAGGAGAAAAAGTATAAAGTATATGTAAGTAAGTAAGTAAGTAAGTAAGTAACAGACATAAGGCACAAAGTGCTTCACAAACAAAAGGTAAAAACAGCATCAGTCATAGCAGAAGTTTGTTGAAACATATTGGCACAATAAATCTGTATACATTTGCAATAATCAGGTACATAAAAGAGAGAGAAGCATGAAACAATACTTAAAATCTCTCTGGTATATTATGCAAAAACAGTGTTACTCTGAGTTTCTATTTATAGCAACTTAGAGGGACTAGCAGGTAAGGACAGCTGTCTGCTCCTCTTCCTCAAATGGCTTGCCTCCAGATTATCTTGGGAACCTGCACCTGCACACACAATGCTTTTCAATGGACCATTCTTTTCTATTCATGTCAAAAATGAATTCACACATAGGCTCGTGCTGCCTCATGTACAGCAGTGTGTGATTTTCAATACATGCTGTAGTAGAGTGCTGAGCCAACACTAAAAAGCATATTTGCATACATCTATAGTCAACAAAAACACTTAACTGAACTAAACATAGCAATTTCTTTTGACAAACGCGTTCCTTATTCAAACTAAATGTTTAATAGTATGGCATATACAGTGTTCCATTAATATAAAAAGCCTGGACAATTCTGTGTACACTTTGAGGCTAGAAGTACTTTTGACATGCAAATTAATCATTTAAATCCTTTATGGCCCGAGGCACTGCATTAACTATGAGCAGTATTTGTGGTTGTGCCAAGCCATCACACTGTTAGCTCTTCCCTGGCATGTACGGTGCATTTCACAGAGTACATTTACAAGGCCAGTAAAAATCAAAAGTAAGTATTAGCCAATAAGATCTTGTGTCATGTTTTGCTAACTAGAATAATCAGGTAACACAGTAATCAGATTTTTGGTGTGTGCTTGCACTAGACTAACTAAAAACTAAAACATTTGTCATGATAATAAATTTTAAAGCACAATATATTGCTAAAGCAATATACTGCAATAAATGATAATATTAAAAATACTTGTACTAATAATATTGCAAAATAATCATAGTAAGATTTTTTTTAAATAGATGCACTTATTAGCCATAGTTAGCAAAGTTACTTTTTCAACCATCTACAGCTCAAATCTTTTCACATTATAACAAAAATAACAAAAAATCCCAATTATTGCCAAAAAACTGTACAAAGAATAAATGTTGAACCCCAAAAATGTGCCAGCTTTCATATATTGAATGATAAGTCGATATAGTAACTATTGTGTCAGGCCTAATTTGTACAAAAGACATCTGATCATCAAAAAGGCCTAGTGACATGTGTCAGTTAGTCAATGGATTGTTAGAGTAACTGTTGAATTTTAAAGACAAAAATCTCTGACTTTTCTCTTTCTTTTTGGTCTTTGACACATTAGTTTTCTCTTGCCCTATTTGGCATAATGTTCTGTGTCAAAACCTGTACAGGTTGACAATCAGAACAAAATCAAATATAACTATTGACATGTCATTTAAAAAATCTGATAACTTCAGAAACCAGATAATGATTTGGGGTGTGTAATCTAACATAGCCACTCACACCCTAAATTAATCTAAGTTAGAAGCTATTCCCATCCATATTTTTCTATAGACAAAAATATTAAATATACTCTGATCCCATTGTGAACCTCCCTATAAACTTCTATTTGAATTATAATATTCAAATGCAAGCAAAATATTCACCAAACATCAACAAACCCTGCATTCCTCAAAGCCGTGATATGCTACAGATATGCATCTTTTTCAAGATCTACATGGTGCTCAAGAGTCTGAGCCGCACATTACATTAGAGAGGTCAGAGTGCAGTTAAGATAACAGGCAGCTGATTTAAAGGCATTGATCTGATGGTAATGAAGCGGACCGCAACTCCCCTCAGTGCTTTATTACTCACACAGACATAAGTAACTGCATTAGACATTCACAGGAAATATATTTACTGTATGGCTTTAAATCTATGAATACAAGTTTTATTTGTGACAAGATTCTCAACAGGCTCCTACACCTCCGCTCAAGCAGAAAGAGATAGAAGACAACATTTAAACCATAATCCACAGAACTGTAAATCAACTCACCCTTATAGAATAGATAACCCTATGTCATGCCAATCACTGTTTTCTCCTTATGACTTCTTATATATAGCTGAATATATTTGTATTACTATTTTTTTGTTTACATGTATATATATACACATTTATACAATTATGCCTTATTTGATTCTGTTATTTTTGCTACTTATTTTGAATGTTATTACTATTTATATTTTTGCTCTTTGTAATTAATATTTTGTGATGTGTGAGCTACTGTGTCCAAATAATTTCCATAGTGGATCAATCAAGTTTGTCTAAGTCTAAGTCTAAGATTCAAGTGTTGTACAAAATTCCTTTAATATTTATAAGACTTTCCATTAAAAAAAAGCCATCTGCTCATTTTTTTTCTCCAGGATAATAAGTAGAGAGAAAGGATATTATACATTTTATAGTTAACTTTATGTATTTTTACACTTTTATTTATGTTTTTTCTGTTCATGAGTTACTCTCTTTTATTGTCTTAATTTATCTGTGCAGCACTTTGGTCATGTTTATAAAATGTGCTATAAAATTAAAGTAGATTGGATTGGCTATGTTCCTCTTTTTAGGTTACTGTAGCTCATATGTACACTTAAATAAACAAACATGCAGGTTTTACAATAATAAATGTTATGTCCTATTTATAGCGATTTAACATAGCCTTCTATAAAGTAAATAAACAAGACCCCGTCAAACACTTATTTTAATATTCAAGCTCAATTTCCTGCCAGATTTTGGACAGTACTGATTCACATCTCCCATTTCCAAACTGGACCCCCTGCTGAGTGCTGATTGGCTGAAATCCAGCCTCCCAATCGTGCACAGCTAAAATCGTGTGAATCTCAGGCCAATTTGTGCAGGATCTAAAGGACAAACATTTGGAGGCAGCATTTTTTTTTTAATCTAAGACAAAGCTTTTCTATAAAACTGAGAATATGTTCAAACTGAGATCAGATCAGAAACAGATTATATTACACTTTGCGCTTTGAGCCCTGACTGTCTCTATGGCCAGTGCTGAGTGTGCTGAGAGCAGCTCAGAGCCAGAGCTTATCAAGGATAAACAGGCTTCAGGAGGTCTGCTTTTTAGCTTTAGGAACCAAATGAGCCAAATAAAGACTGAGCAACACTAGTTGTGATGCAAACATCCTGGTCTCTCTGAGGCTAGCCTTCTAAATATATCTCTCATCAGTTATGTGTATAGGCATGTATGTTTAATTTAGTTTAGTTTAATTAAGGATCCCCATTAGTCTCTGCAAATGCAATCCACTTTCATAATAAAAACATTGACACACTGACCATATCATAAGGGAAATAGGCAGAAATTAAACAATTAAACATAAGTTAATCACATTGGTTGGTTAGGCTGGGTTCTTGAGATGTTTTTAAAGCATGTAAAACAGTGCACAGTAAAGAAAGTTTTCTTTAACTGCCAAAGTAAAACTTGTGACACGAATAATTCCATAGTAAAGCAAAAAGCAAACGATGCCTGAAACAATCCAGTGAAATAGGGGCTTACACAAATCCTATTGAATGAACTTGCTGGTGAGCACTTTACCTTGAATAAAAACTCGCTTCCAGAAGATTCTGCCAACGTGGGTCCCTCCGAGGAACACTAGATTGGACAGGATGAGCATGGCAGTGGAAAAGGCACACAGAAGCGCCACACCGCGTCTCCTCATGGCTGCGGAAAAATGCCGCTCCTGGGAAATCAGTGAATAAATAAGAAAACCACACAACCACCAGACATCATCACTGTCAAATTTGCTCTGGTTTTAGGGCCCTATGCAACATTTAACAAATTAAATGAAAATGTCATGAGACGTTATTAAAGTGTCCATATTACGCTATTTTCTGATCTCCATTATAATGCTGTTTTCCTCATCAAAAAGATTGCTTGATTTTTGATTTGTTTCATTCATGTTTAACACACAAATTCTGCAAATTTAGGCTGTGTTCTTCTCTCAAACGGAAAACACTCTGTTCCACCTTTTGATGTCATGTGGTAATACAGGAAGCACTCCACTGTGTTTTTAAACTCCACACACCTTCACTAGAATCATTTGAATGATTTCAGCACGGGAATTGCCCATCTCAACTGAAGTAAAGGTAAAAGGTAGCTCTTAACTTGAAAACTACCACTAGAAGACGTCACAAGGTGGAAAAGAGCATTTTGAGCTTTGAAGCTGTAGACAAACATTTAGTTTTTTAACATAAACATGTGTGAATGAAAACACAACACCTGGTATGTTTTTGAGGATGTAACAGTCTAGCATAATTTTGCATAATAGGACCTTTAAGTTTTCAACAAAGATCTTTTTCCTAAGTCAAACGACAAAACTGCCACATTAATCATACATTGGAACTAACCCTTTAAAAACATAAAATGGTGGCTCTTCATTGAAAATGTCAATAGCGTGACAGGCCAGTGGAGGAGGATAAAAGGTTACTGGGGCTTTATATAAAACAATGTACTGTATATAAAACTTACAATGAAAGAGTGAATTAGCGATGAGGATAAGAGTGTCTTCAATCCACTCTCCACCAGCACACCAGCCCAGTTCATCAAAGCCCAGTACTGCAAGTAGTCGTGACCACCGTGCCACAGACAGACAAATCCAAACGCCAAACCACTGGATAAGACTTTATAAAGGGGACCACAGTGAGAACCCCCCAGAGGGACATAGATGTATCTGGATAAGAAAGCATATACATATTTCAGTATTTCAACAGCTACAGGAATCACAATGGCTTGAATTCTTTCCATTCATTTGAGTAGTTTTAACTGTAGCATTTCATAATAACTACATTTCTAATAGTCGTAATAATGCATGGAAATACTTGATTCATTATGAAGAAATAATGCATTAAAATGATTCATGCTTTTAAACTAATTCCCAAGCCCTAAACCCTTTATAAGTAGTTACTAAGCATGATTCTGCTTGGACTTAGAAAAACTTTATTGATCCACAAGGGAAAATATGTGGACAAAGTATCTCACACATCACAATATAATTATAACAATATATAATATAACAAAGGGCAACAATATAAATGGTAATAATACATTCAAAATAAACAGCAAAAGAGCAAGAGACTGGTGTCAATAAGGCATAATTATATAAATGTATATGTACAAGTAAAAATAAAATATAGTAATATAAATATATCTCAGTTATATACAAGAGGTCGTAAGGAGAAACAGTGCAAAGATGAAATAATGAGAGGGTATTCTATTACATAAGGATGAGTTGTTGTACAGTTGTATGGAGTATGATATGAATGTAGTCCACCCTGAGCGCCTGAGAGAGTGGCAGCAGGGTACAGTAGCTCCTGAAGATTTTCCTGAAAACCACTACCTTTTAAAGTTATTTCAGGTATATCAGAGATGGACAGGAGCTGGAGTACAGAACACTGATTGCAAATTTTGTAGAGTGGTCCCAGGCAAAACCATCTGCTCCTGAACGTTGACAACATCGAGGAACTGGTGATTCACTTTAGGAGGAAGCGGACACCAGTTGAGCCTGTAACCATCCAAGCCTATGAAATTGTGGATTGCTACCTTGGCGTTTATGTGAACAACAGGCTGGACTGGAGAGACAACTGATTGCTGTGTACAAGAAGAGCATGAGTAGACTCTACTTCCTGAGAAAGCTCAGGTCTTTCTGTGTGTGAAACAAGTTACTGGAGATCTACCAGTCTGTGGTGACCAGCGCCCTGTACTTCACTGTGGTCTACACAGTGAATTACAGGAGCAGCACAAGTAAAAGGATATTGGGCGGATTGATAAAGTGGTCCCTAAAGCTGGTCAGGTGATCGGCTGTGAGCTCAAGATAGGAGGACACTGGACAAACTGCTCTCCATCATGGACACTCCTGCTCACCCACTGCACCAGACTATAGAGGGACAGAGGAGTTCATTCTCCAACAGGCTCCTACAGCTCCGCTCAAACAGTGAGAGATACAGGACTATATTCATACCAAACTCCACACAACTGTACAACAACTCACGCTTACGTAATAACCCCATGTTCTGTCAATCATCATATCATTTTTGCACTGTCTTCCTTATGACCTCTTTTTTATATAGCTGAGATTTTTAATTTTTTACTTATTTTTTTATTTTATTTTTACTTTATTTCACACCAGTCTCTTGCTATCTTTTTGCTACTTATTTAGAATTTATTATTACCATTTATATATTTTTTTCTCTTTGTTATTATATTAAATTGTGACTTGTGAGCTACTGTGTCCAAATAATTTCCTTTGTGGATCAATAAAGTTTGTCTAAGTCCTTAGTATTTTAATACTAAGTATTTTCTAAGTCCTTAGTATTTTTTTTTATTGTCCTTAGTATTTTATCTTGTCTATGTTAGAAGTAAGTTTTTTGTTTAGTTGAAGTACACATAACTGAAGTTTGGGTTCACAAACAGGTATTATAATTATTAGCGTAACATACATAGTCAATATCACTTAGAACTAGATCATTATTAGGAAATTACACCATTTTAACTAACGTAGATAATATTTTTGCAAGAGACAGGCTAATTAGGTTCAGCTACAGTAAATTTGATGGATCATACAAACAATGCCGACGTACAGCAAAACAAAAGGTCATAAAAGGAAAACAATGGACGGAATTACAAATAGCACCTGTCACAGTTATTACAATATGACCTCATTGGAGTTTTCATCAAATAAACATCGCTCTGACATTTAGCGCAAAAATAGAGCCACTTCAAGTAATTTACGTTCTCCCGTTTTCATTTATGCTGCAGCTGCACAAGTGAAGTGTGCAGTCCATCCTAAAGACTTGACATCCATTACAGACTCCCACTATGGACAATGGAGTCACTCGAGGCTACCCATCACTGAAACTACATTGTCCTGTTATGTTCATGGGCTGATGCTGAGAAGGAAATCTTGAACTTGTTTGTGGGAGGAAATAATTTTACATTGTGTGACATGATAAAAAACCTAGTCATTTGTATTATGCCATACTGCAGCATCAGACTTAACTGGCAAACACTGGTGCTGAGCTAGGGACTAATTATCTCAGCCACCCAGTTGCTAATCAATATTCCTGAAAGATGAGCCAGCATTTTCTAAGCTTGAAATAGAGTGGACAGCATGGCCATATTGGATGACCAAAGTGGGCAGAGAAACAGATGGAGCGATGTTTGCAAACCACATAAACATACAGAGTTTGTAAAGATCAAGGTGCAAATATGTTTTACAAAGATGGAAATGTTATGTTTTCAACTAAATCAAAGCAGTTTTTTTTTTTTTAAATTCAAATGTATGCTACACTATTGGATATTCACTGACTTAACTGGTAGTCTCATAACCAGAAGGTTGGTGGTTCTATCCCAGCTCCAACCACTGCATACTGTTATTGTGTGCTTGGGCAACATATTTCACTCAGGTTGATTAAGTGTGAATGTGTCAGCCCTGTCATTAGCATAAAAGCAGCTGCAGTAACAACAGCAGCTTATGTCCTGTGTGGGGGTGAATAATTAACCTAGTGACTGTGAGCACTGTAATAATCAGAATAATGCATATTATTAAAGGACCCATATTAGGGTATTTTCTGACCTTTTTTAATGTTGCTTCCTCATCAAAAACACCAACCTGGAGTTGAATTTTGTTTAATTCATTCATGTTTAAAACACAGACCCTGCATAATTTGTCTGAGTTCTTTTCTCAAACAAACAAACAAAAAAAACCACTCCATACACTTTCACTAGAATCATTTGGATGATTTCAGCCCTGGAATTGCGAATCTATACTGAATAAATGGTAAAAGGAGTTGTTAACTTGAAAAATATTGCTTCATTACATCATAAGGTGGAATAGATCATTTTGAGCTTTGGAGATGTAGACAGACAATTAATTCAGGATTACTTTAACATGTGTGAATGAAACAAAACACACCTCCAGGTATGTTTTGATGAGGTAACAGCATTATAACATGGCTAAATGCTAAAGAGTCAAGGTTGTGTAATACAGGGCCTTTAAGATGATGTTTTGTTCGGGCAATCAGACACTTAACATTGCATTATTCATTCACCTCATACTCAGTTGTGATAATACTGTAGCCACAGCTGCCCTGGGGCAGACTAACAGAAGTGAGCCAATATGCACCATCTGCCGGTCTAATCGCCACCAACACTCATGCACACACTGCATTCAGGCAAGAAGGCAAGGAGGATTAAGTGTTTTGCCTAAGCTTGTCATAAGAAATTTTGAGGCATGATATATTGCTATAGAGATAAATTGCAATTTTTTGCTATGGATACATTAAAATAAATCAAGACAGTCCCAATTAAACATTTTTAAATATACAGTGTCTTTAAAAGGCATGAGCTGCAATGAAGCAATAATTAGCCTTAGAAGTCAAATCATAGCATATCACAACAAATCCTCCCAATTTTGCAAATAAAAAATACCCATAATAAATACTGAGTCCCAAAAAATATTATTCCAGTTTTCATATACTGAACATTAAGTCGATATAGTCATTATTGTGCCAGGCCTAGTCTTGCCTAAGGACAGAAGGAGTGTGCACTAGAGCCACTGCTGCCCCACTGTGGCACCTTGTATTCTCACTAGTCTCCCATCCAAGCACTGACCATGCCCCCACCCTTAGCATCAGGCATAGAGAAGCAGATATGTTCACATGGACTCTACATATAAAACCATTATATTATTTTTAAACCAAAAACAGGAATTACTGAATGGTACTCTATCATCATATTTTGTGTCTTGTAAGGTTACATGTACACAGTGCAGTCGTAAACAAAGCAGTTGATCAATCTTGTGTGTGTGGGGAAAAAAAAAACAACTGGGAGAAAGTGCCACTGAGGCAATAAAGGCGTAATGGCATGGCAAAGACTGAGGTACTTAGCTGCCCTGGGAGACGTGGTGTCAGGCAGTTTTGTGGAGCACATCATTTAACACCTACGCACTCATCTAGTGCTCTTCAGACAATTTCAAAACTGCATTAAAACCTTTTTAAAAAACACTTCCACTGGTAGAGCACTGGGGTATTATGTCACGGCTATCGCTCAGCATCTGCACTCGGATAATTGCAAATGATGCCATTAAGAAAAATAAAACTATTTACAACGGACACAAGAGAGGATTAGAAACATTTGCAATTTAAATTCCAGATTCTCTAGTACACTACCTGCCATTTCGTTTTATTTGAAATCCACTCTTATGTAATCAAAGCATCCACGCACAATTTTAAACAAGTTAAAGGAAAGCACTATTAAGAACACAAATAAGCAGTTACATATGATAAATGACAATAAGCATAACAGTTTATAACGTGCATAACATTAGAAAACTGTATACTGTATGATAATATGACTGTCTAGGTCTGTCACAATGACACACTTTGAAGTACTAATTTATGCCACTGGCACAAAAACCCCTAGAGAGCAAGGTTATCCCCAAAAACTATTCTAAATAGACAATACAGTTACAAAAAATTAAACCACAGAATTAATCACTTCAGTAGTTAGTTTGTATCTATAATGAGCCACAAAATGTATGTATACATCCCTTCAGGCTCAAATGCGATCAGTACAAAAAAATACCAAAAAGTTCCTTGCTAGTACAAAGTAAAAGTCCCCAAAATAAATACTGACCCCCAAAATATATTTTTCCATCTAACATACAGTATATTGAATAAGTCGATACAGTGATGGTGACAGGCCTTCACATTACAACTGGCATAATGCCAATAAACACAGTCTCCCAATAGGCCAGAATCGGTCAAGTATGCACTATTTAACACAAACTACTAATCCATACAAGTAAGAATAACACTGATATTACATATGCACATGCTAAACCAGTGGGGATTTCCCTGGGGTCTAGAGACAATAGCGTAACACATAGTATTCGCCTTACAAACTGAAACCATGAGATAGACTACATGCAACTGCACCATCCATTAAGAGACATACACACCGGCAGCTGGAGAATGGCAAGCTTTTGTTCACTAATTCAACAATTAAGTTCAATGTCTGACATATAATGAGATCTAAAAAGGTGCAGAAGATATGTAAAACTAATTAATACTGGATGTAGTGTCTTTTAAATGATGGAGGCTTAGTTTTATATTTTTGTACCGTGTCTTTCTTCGAGTTAATTCTCTTACCTGATGAGCCATCGATACAGACCCTCATCAAAATGCCTAAGTGGGAAGAAAAAAAAGAAGCATGAAACCGATTTACATAATAATAAAATTCACTTAGAAGAACCTGCAGACTAGAGAATGCAGAAATGATCAGTTTGCAAAGAGCGCATGTTTGCTCTGGGTCTTTGTCATTTAGAAAATTAAAAAGAAGGTCTGTTTCCTGCAGCCTATAAAAATGAATACTGTTTTGCCAATGTTACTGGGAGACAGGTTTATGCATTCCATCAGTGTTGTCACCATTGCCCAGCTCAGCACACACAGCTCAGATTGGAGTGCATTGGCGTCAGCACATTGGTCAGTGTAATGAATTTTTACAACAGAACCCGCAAACAGGCTTCACATTAGATAGAATTTACCCTTTATAATTACAGTGAAAAGCAGATCAAAAATCTAGAGTGGAAAGTAGAAATTATGATGGAATTTAAGCTATTTTGTATCTTGTTTTGTTTTGGCTTGGTTGTTTCCTCATTAAAACATAAACATACTTGGAGTTGTGGTTTGTTTCATTCACACATGTTTAACACACAAATCCTACATATTTAGGCTGATTTCTTCTCTCAAACAGAAAAGACTTGGTTCCAACTTCTGATGTCATGTGGTAATATGGGAAGTGCTCCACTGTGTTTTTAAACTCCATACACCTTTACTAGAATCATTTGGATAATTTCAGACCCAGAATTTCCCATCTCTACTAAACAAAAGCTAAAAGACAGTTGTCAATTTGAGCATAACAAGGTGGCACAGAGCATTTTAAGCTTTGGCGATGTAGACAGACTAATAATGTTTTACTGGTTTACTCAATCGTGTGAATAAAACAAAACACAACTACAGGTATGTTTTTGAGGAGGTAACAACACTATAACATAACAAAGCACACAACAATCAATTTTGCTTAATATATGACCTTTAAACTTGAGGATCTGTATGCGTCTAAGTGGGCTGGGCCTATATAATATTTTGGGATAGCATTGTGTGATTGCATTTTCTAAATAAAAAGGACATTTGTGAATTTTACTAAAAAAAACAAAAAAAAACATATTGAGTTTATTTTGTAAATTTGTTGTGTTTTGGTGTGTGATCATGTAGAGAAGAATGTGCTACGTCAGTTTAGATTAAGTCCAGGAGAAGCTGTTGGTAGAGGTGACCTGTGCTTCTGATTGCTTGTAATAACAGAAGATGAGACAAATTTGCTGTGCTCAGTGTGATTGCCCACTGCCCACTAAGGCAGTGGTTCCCAAAGCAGGGGTTGCGAGGCACTGAGCAGGGGGTCTTGAGATTATTTTACTGTTATGACACGGTATTTAATACATATTTAAAAACTGTATATTTTAGTGAAATTGGGCCCAATAACACTAAACAGTTCACATTTATAGCATATTTTGGGGGGGTCCTTGCCTGAACTTAAAAATCAATCAATTAAAACTACAAATGCACAGACTCTAAAGCTTTAAGTATGTGATGATACCTTGTCTCAACCGATACCTGTGCAGAGACTGAAAAAAGCTTCATACAAAAACAAAATAAGATAGAATTTATCCAAATGTGTTGTAGCTGTTATTTATTGCTCAGGTAACTAAGGAAACAACCTTATATGAATAAAAGTTCAAACATTGTGAGACGAATATGTCCAGTAAATATTACAACATGTTACGTCAATTTATATGCCCAACCAGGATACCAGCTGAACCGATATTTGGGAGGCAATATCTGATTCCAAAAATGTTCAGTATCGGCGCAGATATCCGATACCAGTATCAGACTGGTGCATCCCTGAATACAGTTTTACTTCATGCATCTATTGTCAATTGTGCTTGCTTAGATTTGAATAGATTAGTTCAATGCTAAAATATTTCATGATCTCTTGCCTCCACATTCCAGTGAAAGTATGCATGATGCTGACACAGCGAGGGAGGTTTGGGGGAATCAGTCCATCCATCGTTGCCAGCATGGACGGCAAGCCGAAGAGGACCAAATATTTGACATAGAAGAACTGAACAAGGGCTAGTGCCAGACCACCTATGACAAAGGAATATTGGATTATTGGTTGTGAAAAGCTTGTGTCAACTATTTTACATTCACAACATAAAGTGAGAAATATAAATGACTACTTTCAAAATGGAGAATTATCCCAAAAGTCCCATCCAAAGACATAAAGCGGATGTCACAGAGAACATATTACAGTTAATTGCTATTCATTTTGATGAGAAAAACAACATAAAAGCGGATAGTGCTTTAATAGAGGCCAGGAAAAAGCCAGTAATCAGCAGAGTCAAGTTCCTATGGGAGTGATAAGACTTTGAATTTCTGCATCTTGTAAACACGTTCAGTATATGTTACAAAGCATTTTTACTATGCTCTACATACAGCATTTCCACATGTATGGACTTACCAAGGGCCCAAGGAGGAAGAATCTCTAAATAGGTCTCATTGCTCTGAATTGAGTGCATATACATTGCATGGACCATGTATTCAGCAATACCCCACCACAGTACAATTCTCAATGTTCGAAGAATCAGAAATTTATACACTGCCCCATCTCTGCCCAGGTCTTCTGCAGGTCTTTTTATCTGTGAAGTGCACAAAGTCAGCGTATTATTAAGAAAGCACACAAAAGGGTATAGTGAAGCTCAGATTAGAGCTGTGAAAGCTATCTGAATGCTGAAAGGGAACGAGTCACACTTGTTAACACCAATCATAGCCCCCCACAGCATCCAATGAGTGACCGACAGAGCACAGGCACAACTGGACCTGGCACAAGCTCCAAAAGTGATATCTCCAATAAAGGGTCGCATCTGTTTATCCACAGGTGGTCTTAACCAGCACCCTCCCAACTTTTAACAACAGGAAAAAGTATAATTCATGTTTGTAATATTTATGGAGAGAGAATATAAATAAATAATAATCATGTATAATATAAGTAATGAATATCTTACCTGTTGGATGTAATCTTTGTAAGCAATAATGGGTCCATTGTAGAAAAAGGGATGATAGAAAGTATACGAAAACAACCAACAGAGCTGCAATATGCGACCAGTTTCAGTGAGACACCAGCAATGCTCCAGGCTGTAGCTGATAAATCGCAGACCACACACAGCAACACTGAAAAGAAGGAGATAGTACTCCTCCTCGGTTTCATACCAGCCTCTCTGTGAAACAATAAGAAGGCCAATTATTTTTTAGCAATTGATGCAAACTGTCACAGAAATAGTGACATTTGGGTTGCCAAATTTAGATTTCATTAAAATAGAATGACCAGTAAGTGAAGTGGATATGTTTCATTAGGGGAACCAATCTAGCAGTGGAAAAATCACTAAATAGTTCCCCAGAATAATAGCAACCAGTGGAGTAGTACGACAGCTGCTAACGAGGAACACTGAACATCAGCCTTGTGTGAACACTCGTCTCAGGTGTGTGAGCACACAGCAGGAAAAGAGATGGACTGTCATTTCCAATATGAAGATAATAATCACCTATCAACTATAGCCTAAAAATACAACCCTTAGTTTGGGCTCCAACCAGGCTAGACCATGTTATTACAACAGTGAGGGAAAGTAGGACTGGATAACGTTTATGTATTGGTGAACATTGACCTATCTACCTAAATATCAAAGGATAAATAAATGCAGTTTTTTAAAATGCAGTAGTATACTCAAGATACTGGTTATCTGACGTCCATGCTAGTATGTGAAGATGTGTATGGAGAAGTGTGTATTTTAGTATGTAGTGCCATCTTGTGTTCATTTCCAGTGCAGGGGAAAAATAAAATACAGCGAAGAGCAGGTGGTAGCATAGCATGGTAACTACACCGTCTCACCTGGATCTCTTGCAATGGCTGAAAATGAAGCGTGCACAACAGGAGTAAACTAGAGGCCCAACATAATGCAGGTTTTCTTATTTGGGCAACTGAAAAAGTGATGCAAAGATGAAGCAAAAGTACAGAAACTCCTTTTATTCCCAGTACACTGTTGGCTGCTATGAAGCCATACACTGTAGATGCTGGCACTTTCAGCTGTGGGAGACACAGAGAACAGTGATTATTCAAACATCCAGTTGGTCATTCACAGAAAATATTAACAGAATGAATAAGTTTCCACCTTGGGGAAGAAAAGGCTTGTCAGTATTGTGATCATCCCATGTCCAAAAAAACTGTATAATAAAGATTTCTTTGCCCAGTCTGTCCAAAACGTCCACTCAAAGTCATTTGGGTCCTGAAATAAACAGTTTGTGATATGAATGCATTTCTAATTGGGTTATTTTTCCATTAAAAAGTAAGTGATTACATACTCTAAAATAACTTATAAAACCTTGCTCGAGTTGGAATTCCTTTTGCAGACTTATTTCATGTTCTGGAGTAAAAATAAATAACAATGTAAGCTATGTGAATTGTTAAGTTTGTACTGTTTGCTTGTACTTTTTCAACAACTTAATCATTCTCACCTTTGGAGAATCTGTATAACTGATAGAACGAATACAGATGAGAAGCAAAGGACAGCACCCAATATGCAAAAATTTCAGTCTGTGGCAGAGGTGCAATCTGGGCCTTTGATTTTGAGGTCATTGGACAAAATTAACCTGTACACAAAATACATTGTGTTAGTGGGTACAACAATGCTAATTTACTTAAAACACTATATTTTCTAATGATGATGGGATCATTAGAGCTGAGGCTGTATACAGTCTATGGATGCGAGTCCACGCGGGCATCACGGCAGCCCCGCTTAAGTTTAGTCGTTGCTAGGTAACAAAATACCGGAGGTTCCCTCGCGTGACTTCCTCACGTCAAGCGCTAAACTTTCTACCGCCGCCAAAACATCAGCCCAAGACACGACAAGGAGCTTCAAAGTGCAAACTATCGAGTAAGACAACCACGTTTGGTAAACATTACAAATATAATGTAACACATTTTAATAGAGTGATAGTTCATGTTAGTTACCTGTAAACATTTATAAGGCTCTCCATTCAGCCGTCAGCTACCTAACAAGCAGGATGGCAATTTTTGACATCTTTGACTCCCTGAGTTCAGCGTATTCATTTTGAACTTCTTCTGAAGATCCAAAAACTGAATCTGTTCATAGCGAGATGAAAAAGAGTCACCAGTCACAATAGTCTCCTGCTCCTGCTCCTGCTCCACGATCTTACTGGCCTCGAGCTGGGCTCCATGGGTGCTCTTAACGGTGCAATACTGCCACCATCTGGGCAGGAGGAAGAACTTGTGCTTTGTTTTGCTAAATTTATGCACAAAAGTTCCATATTTCTCAAAAGAGATAAAAAGACCTAAAACATTACTATTAAAAATATAACAGCTCTAACATATAACAATATATCAGCTGGAAGGATTCAGGGCATTAAAGGGGTTTATTGAGGATCCATGTACACATATGCCTACCTACTGCAATATAGTAGGTTATGAGAGGTGTGCATGTTATCAGATAACGTCCAGTGAAGCCTCAGTCATCAAGTAATAGTAAACAGTGACTATAAACAAAAAAAAAGCAAGTCCTGACATGTGCTCAAAAGCATAATGTTCTTTCATTATTTCCACAATAACACAATCTGACATTTCGTAATGGACAGCATTTTACTGACGTGAGTGATTTCATTTATCAATGTAATTAGAAAAATAAACATAGTGTTGTAACTCACTGTGTTATACAGACAAAGTAATGTAATTGTGTTTTATCTATAGGCTACTTATTCAACACATAAATATATATTTTTTTAAATTCTGCATGCACATTTTCAGTGTGTGTTTCTATGTAGACATTTGCTCTGTACACATTCTTTATTGGCATCATTGTATTTTGATTTTACAGCTCATCAGTTTCCCCGTCAAAAGGCACAGCATCTGTTTCCATATGAATGCTGCTGGGCTCACTGCTGCCCACCCAGCCAATGGGAGTGCGGTTGAAAGATGGCCGGCAGCCGATGTCATGCTGGTACACCACTGGAGGCTCAGGCTCCTGTTTGGTCGGCTCTGCTTCTGGCAGTTGGAATTTCAAAAACTGATTGGCCTTCTCGAACCCACCAAAGGGCATCGCACTCCTATTAATGCAAGAGACAAGAGGTAATAGAATCCTGCAAATCTTACCAACAGTTAAAAGATGAGAGCCATACCTGTTAAAGCATCTGTACTTCGGGAGGTCCTTGTGTTGAACAGGGCCAGGCATTTCAGGTTTGAGTGTGGCTATAAGATTTTCATCACCCTTCATTGCCTTTTCCCAAGGAGACACGTATGTTTTCACAATAAGAACATGCTTTTTCTCATCTTTTCCACCACCTTCATACAAATATGAAATTAATATTTGAGAGAATAATCTATGCAGATATAGCTGCTTTTGTTTTTACCAAAACAATACTGACCTTTCAGTGGAGACCACTCACTACTTTCTTCTCCACCTTTCCCATGTTCACCTCCTGCCCCTCCCATGCCTCCTGCTCCTCCTGCTCCTCCCGCTCCTCCCACACCACCTGCTCCTCCTGCTCCTGCTCCTTTGCTTCCGGGTTTCGGGGGAGGCACAGGGGCACTGCCTCCAAACTGCAGATTGCCCAAATTGATTGTTCCAGTTTGAGAACTGATAAGCTGTCCCCCAGCATTTATCATCTGCCCACCAAACTGCCCTCCAACAAACTTCTGCAGGTTGTCCTTAAGAAGATCCAGAAAAGTTCATGGTAAAAAGTGAATATGTGCATGATATATAGTTTCAGTAAAGGCAGTGTTTAGACAGAGAGAAGAATATCTTAATTTTCAATATAGCAAATTAGATAGCAGGTAAAATGACACCTTTTGTTGTTTCTGAAACTTACCATAGACTCACTGGTGAAGATGTCTGGGTTGTTTTCATAGATAAACCGTTCTACTCTCTGCTGTCTCATCTTGAACATCTTGGAACCTCGGTTTTTCATGAGTGAAAGCTCCTCCAGCATGATATCCTTGGGAGTCCTGACCTTAATACCCAGATCCAACTCTGAAGCGTCTGGTTCTGGTTCTGCGGATGAGCATACAAAATAAGGTAATGCATGTTATGATAGCATCGCATTAGTTCTGTGACAAAACTGTTAATGTTTTTAGTGCTGATTATTGTATGAAGTCTTACAATATAATGTGCTTACCATGCTGAGCAATATGTGACAAATCAGTGATGATCTTTGAGGGCTTTTTCCTTTTGGTCAGGGGTGCAGGTGTTCCCAGAGGCATGGCTTCTGATGCACAAAAGAAGCAATTTATCATTTGCTCTGTCGTACTTGTTTACTACTTAATAACACAGAGGCCACCACAGCTATAATAAATACATATTTGTATTGCCATTGTCAGAAATGTTCAACACACATTTAGAGTTAATGCCCTAACAGGGACCAGAATGTGCTGGCATATAAGCCAAGGGACTAACAGTATGGAGGACCCGTCTCTATTTTCAAGTTCAAGGGTGATGTCAGTGCCCTGAGATTCCCCACATTCTACAGCCACCAGATGACTGGTCCAAAGCAAACATATAGCTCACTTAGCTTTTCAGTTTTGTTTGGGAACATTAGACCTGTACACAGACAACATAAACACGAGCACAATGTGATTCACAGATTAGAGGCACCTTCTGCTGCTGCAGTTGTGGCTGCTGTTACAGTTAGTGGAGCAATCATAAAATAGCTTTTGGCATTATTAATTTCATCTGATCATATTCCCCAATCTGCAGTGTGCAGAAGAACTTGTGGTAAGGGGGTAGTGCAACATTACTGTGGCCCTCTATGTTGAGACACTATTCGCCTTAGTATGACATCACACTAATACCTAAAAGTAACTTGTAATGTATCTTCTTGGGTTTTAGAACATCATATTTTGGATTTAATACATTTATTTATTTAATATATATATATATATATATATATATATATATATATCTAAGGTCATAAAGTGGCAAAACACCACATCACTCTCTGTAAGTGATCCCACTGCAGCTATTTTTAAAATCCATTTCTAGCCAAGACATTTTAGCAACAACTAATGGCGTCATTGAACTATGAAATAAGATTTTCAAAAGTTATGTAGGCTGTGTAGATCAGCACACTACTGATCAAAATACACATAAAACACTGGAAATTTAAGAATGCAAAGTGCTTTAGTGACTAGGCATGTTCAAATCCATTTTATCCGCCATAAACCAGCTACACGCATAGGGATGCCTTGTGCTCAGGTTTCCCTCCCTCTTAAGTCAGGGCAGTGGCACCGTATAAAATATTTGCAGCACCAACAAAACTCAGTGTCAGCTATACTGCAATATTTAAGACATAACAATGAAGAAATGTCCCCCAATCGAAGATTAAACCAGATGAAACACTTTCAACAGCAATGTGCACTCATAATTCTGCAACTTAACTGAACTAGTGCGCTCTAGCTCAGTCACAAGAACTTGCTGTCTACTGGAGTCACGTTGATGCACCTGTCTGGTTAGAAGTTAAAAACACATGCTTCTCCACTCACCGGGTTTTTGTTGTAATCCTGGGAGGAGAGACAGCTATAAATACTGAGAGGGAGACCCGAGTCTCGACGCTGTGGTCTCAGTCACAAGTTTACAAATCCCTCAGTGCCTCTGACCCTACGTATGACTAGACCCGGGTCCCGGGAAGTGCAAAATCCCCCCTTCAATCTGATGGTAGATCTTCCAGGGGGCAGGGGGTGTGGGTAGCAGCACTGTTGGTGTCAAGAGGAGGAGTATAGAGTATGAATACTGTTTGGTTGGGCTTCATGGAGGTGGGGGCAGAACTCTCTGCTGGCCAGCTGAAAGTGCTGATGGGGATATAAACGGAACAAAATCATTCTCACAGATGGTTGAGAAGCCTATATTTAGTGTAGCGAAGGACCAAGGAGCATAACCAGGGGTAAGCTTGGTTATAATGTAACCTCAAAGGACTTCGTATAGGTTTAGGCTGCACTGACAAATAACATGAGGTCAAATGCTACATATACACTTTACAAAACATCTACAATGTCATGGCATTTGTGTCTCAAATTGCTTCTGTCACTTTTACCTTTTACCTAGCTGCAAAATCAACACAGATGCTATTCTTAGTACTTAGTATACATTTTCCTAATCGGATGTATGTTAATTTATGCATTTTTGTTAATGGCAGGTAAAAACAACTCACACCAGCCACACGCCAGTCTAACAGAAACAACAGGTGAAAACTGGCTCCACAGCACCATCTAAAGGTCAAAGGTTTAAAGAATTTAGTGTAGATAAAAATGATTCTGACCAAAGCACGTTACATTTTACATGTTGTAGCATGTTGATGCAGTCCCTTTCATCCATGAATGTTCCATAGTAACAAAAAATTAAATGATAGTCATCTGGATTAAATTTAAACCAACATCACTACGTTTGACACCTTTATTACAAAACTTAGTTGTACTTAGATTTTTCCATTTTCCTTAGGCCTATTTTATACATTTGAATACATTTATACAATACATTTATTCATACTGACACTAATTATCATCTTGCATAAAACTATTGTTATAGCGTAATTAATTGGACAGATCAAAAACATTTAACTTTAAATACTGAATACATATTTTAACATGTTCAACAACAGGGGGCAGTGTGAATTTAGAAATGACAAGCAGACGACTTGGAAGCATTTATTTTATTACTTTAAAAGCACTTACACCAATGTATAAATGGATGAACTCACATCAACACACAATTTAATTGCCAAATAATAACACAATGAACAGATACATCTACACATCAGGACATAAATGCACACACTTACTGAAAGATTACACTTAGACCTATTAAAATGCATATCACTTTCCCACAGAGACTCTACCATACCACTTTAAAACATGAAACATACATATTCCATTACATTCTAAACTTTCCTGATAATGCCTAATGTAAGACAAAACCCCATTATAGTTAGCTCATTAAAGTAAATAGCCACTTGAGTTACAGTGGCATATTTTTACTTCACTTCCTTCTTCTCTCAACAGCTATCATACGTGCACAAGTTGGTAACCCTTTCTATTTCCCATTTTCTCAAAAACCAAATGACAAATACAACCACAAATTAGCTTTGTTATTTGTTTAATTCAAGTTCTGAATAAACAGGTTTACACATTTAGTAACAATGCTATTGCACTAACTAAGCTCTGCACAAGTTGAACATGTAGGCAGTGATATCAAGTGACAAGGGTACATCTGGGCACTGCTTGAATGTGACCTATAGCGCTATGGAAGCAATTCTCACTGGCTATTGAGAGCACTGCTTCTTATTACTACCATACTAAAAGTTTTCACAAAATATTATTATGTGCTATATTTCTAGCTGATCATGCATGATGTGTGCTTCTTCAACATGTATCAAATATTGAAAGGGAACATAAATAAAACATAAATAACAAAAGTACAAAAAGCCCAGCAAAAGCTTTGTGACATTTCCAAATAAATTAAATAGATTATATATATATATATATATATATATATATATATATATATATATATATATATATATATATATATATATATATATATATATATATATATATATATATATAAAGCTAGTTTTTATTTTAATTCATTTAGGGCTCGGTGATATGATAATAAAATGAATAAATCATTTTTTCTCTTTCTCTCTCTCTCTATGAAATATTTCAATTCAGGTTTTTTGTCTTATTGAAAAGAAATGAAAATGCCTTTCACTGTTGATTTTCTGAACATAAACAATATAGATTTAATGCCATTTAGTCAAATCTCTTCCTTCAAAATCTAAACTCTGCCTAAGTGACAGAATCTTGATATCAATTAAAATTCAAATTGCACAGCCCTACATTCGTTACTACATTCATCATTTAAATATTAACCAGCAGACTTTCTCTTGTAACTGTTTACATTGCACCTGGCCTCCACACACGAGGCTGAACGCCACCCTTAGTAGCTACAAAACGTGGCTTTGGTGCTTGAACTGTAGTTGATTTAAGAGGGGGCAAAGAGGCCAAGATACTGAGCTCGGGGGCGCTCTGAAACTGCTTGGCTGCCTGGAGCCCGGTGGAGTATGACACTGGAGTATAAGGTGTGGGGACAGAGGGGGGCACTGGATTGGGGACACCAGGAGCCGTAAACGTTGGCAGCCTGGGCAGACCCACTGGTTGAGGGGGAGCTGCTGCCTGAGATGTTGCACTGCTTACCGGTGCTGAAAGGAGAGGTGCTTGAGGGTGTGAGAATGGGGCAACGTGAGGAGGAGAGGTGGTACCTGAAAGCGTTATGCGGTCTCCCAGTGTGGTGGCCGAGCGGGGTGCTATCACTTTTGGCGTCAAGGTGGGAGCAGACATGGGAGTCGGTGTGGAGAATCGTTTGATCTCATAAACTCGTGCGGTTTTGACTGGAATTTGTTTGGGTGTAGTTAAGGAACTGCCGACCATTCCATAATCACCTGCCTGCTGCTGCCTCTGAGCCTGATAAGAAGGTAAAGCTGACAGATTAGATACACTGCCACCGTAGTTGAACATGGCTGAATTGAGCTGGTATGGTTGTCTTCTCATAAAATCCAGAGCTTTGATTCCATCTCTCTGGGGGGGTGCTCTGCTTTGACCTTCAGTCCTAGTATCTCTCTGAGGGCCAGTAGGAATTGTGGGTGCCAAAAGAGGATTGTACCCAATTGGTGGTGGAGCTCGAACATTTGGGGTGTATTTCCATTGAGAAGAGATGTCAGGGTTCATTGAGGGATGACTAGATTGGACTGAACTGTGAAAAGACACCTCTTGCTGGTAAGGTGTCTCAGGTGGGGTATCAATCACATACATACCCATTCTACTTTGCCTTTTTGCAAATAATTGGGCCCCTTTACCTTCTGCTTGTAGGATTGGTGTTGTTTCGTGAATAACCTTAGGCTTAGGTGCTACAGGAGGAGGGAGCCTGTCAAAATCACCACCCTTCTGGTCTTCTGTTTCATCATTGTATGCTTCAGAGCTTTGGCCATATCTTTGTCTGGTTGATCTTTCATCAAGGTTCTGCACCATGGACAGAAGTTCAGGATTAGGTGAATGTTTTTTAACTTCAGGGACAGTAAACATTGGTTTGGGTTTTCCACCGCGTCGCAGTGAATCCAATAAGATTCCAGTGCGACCTGTAGATCCAGGAACAGGAGTGGGTGGAACCAGTTCTGGCTGAGAGACAACAGACACTGGTACCACAGGCGCAGAGAACTGCATGGGAGGGAGCTGGGGCACTGCTGCCTGCACAGGGGGCATCTGGGGCACTGCTGCCTGCACAGGGGGCATCTGGGGCACTGCTGCCTGCACGGGGGGCACTGGAGCACTAGGAACTGTTTGTGGCATTGCTGGAAGATTTGGTGGAGGCATAGGTACTTGTGGAGCTGAAGGAATTGTGGGCACAGGCAATGGGGGAATTGTGACCAGTTGAGCTTGATGGACTGCTGTTATTGGTGGTGCTGCCTGTAAAGTTTGTGCTGAGGTAGAGAAGACTGGCTGATAAGGTGCTGCAGGAATCTCTGAAGCCAAAGGCATGCTGGGTGGTCCATGTGGGGGAATTACTGATGGGGGTACAGTGGGTAACTGTGACATTAGCGGTGGAACATGAACACTTACTTCTGAGGTTGTTGGAAAAGGTGCCATCACAGCAGCTGAGGCTGGCCTCTGGCTTGTTTTGGTGACAGGTGGTCGGAAGGGTACTGGCGCAGTTGATGCTCGGATACTGATGAATCCTGGTGTAAACGGACGTGCCGTTCGATTTAGCACACTACTCACTGGTTGTTCTGGTAATGGGGTCTCACTGGGGGGTTCAGGAGTACCAAGAACAGTTACTGGAGCAGTGCTTGGTTTTGGTGCTACAGGGGGGGAAGCCATTATGTTTGCTGTATACACTGGAGATTTAGCTGGAGAGGCTACAGGTTGTGATACCTGCTGGACTACAAGTTGACCAGATGACATCACTGATGGACCAAATTGCGTCATTGGTGGACCAGACGACATCATTGGCTGTAGCTGATGTGAGTGGATTTGTGAAGGCATAACTGTACTTGTCTGATGCATTTCTGGCTGCTCCTGGGCCTGCAGCTGAGAAGATACCTGTTGATGTGCTGCTTCTATTTTCTTGGCATGCTCCACAGCTCTCTTTCTCTGTTGCTCAAACAGTTGTGCTCCCTTTCCTGCTGTATCACTCAACCCTGGACTTGGAGCATCTTCAGCCCCATCTCCACGTCCCTCTGTCCCCGCTGTGGCCCTTTTCTCTAACATATCTATATAATCACTGTCCCAAGTTGGATCAGGAACTGAGGAAAAACCATCTTCATCAAACTCTGACTCACTCCCGGGAAACACTCCATCTTCCTCCTGTGAGTCCTGACATCGATCCTCATCAACACTGCCAAAGCTGGTTAAGGTGTATTTTTTGGATCGCTGGCGTCTCTTTTTAAACATGAGCACCCCTTTTGAATGTGGGTTAGGGGCATCAGTCAGTAGAGATGCAATAGTTCGACACTTGCTTTTGGCTTCTTTAACATTTTTGTCTTGCATGGTGTCCCCTCTGTTCAGTTCTGCAGGGTGTAAAAGCCAAATGCATGATTAAAAATAATGCAGTTATATACAACATTCAATCAAATACAATGAAATATAGTTCATTAAACTGCTTGAATGCATTTATACATTTTAATTTTGACATCTTTTGGGAAAAAATATCTCCCAATAGTTTTAGTGTCAGATACATGAAATACTTTAACTGTCTATTTTGCAGCAAAATTTTGCTAAATAATTTGTTGATCTTGTGGTAATCTGCTTGTTAAAGCTGTTGACTGGTATAAGTCACTTCAAAGCATTGGGGTCTGCATATGCTCTAACTTGCTATGGTGTCAAGTATAACACTGGCAACCTAATGCTGTCCCCTAATAGACACAAGCATGTGAAGATGGCATTCATTTTGTCCAAGGCTGTCTGTAAACCCAACATAGAAAATTAAATATATTTATATGTGTCTGACTTTTTCCTTTTAGGTTATTTTAATTATTAGAAAACAGTTGCAATATCTGTTGTCAGTGATGTTTGCAATACATGTTTGAAAACTAAGGAGAGGAGAAATATATTCTCAAAATTACAAATGTGAGTAAATGTGCCCTTCTTTTCTAAGTTGTTAAAAGCAACTGTGCTTTTCCAAGATCTTGAATTCACCAGTGCAGCAATGCTCTTTTCTTTGCAATTTGTATTTTTATTCTTAAGCCATTCATTGGAAAATTATTATTATAATTAAGTAATTATAATTAATTACTTAATTATAATTACTTAGTAATTATAATTAAGTAATTTTATGTATTTGTTTAGGTAAAACTATGAATTGGACTTACTTGCTTGCTTAGCTTTTTCCATGTATGTTTTAGAAAGCTCTTCATCTACAGGTTTGTTCAGTGGCCCCACCATTGGCACAAGCTGACTCCTGGAGCCCAGCATCAGGGCCTCTTTGGCCCTCTCCGGAGACACTAATGGCACGTTTGCCGGCTCAATGAAACCACTGTCATCTTCTTGGACTCCATCCCGTGGTCCCTGGTCATCTGCTGAGGAGATAATGGACGACGTCTCGGTGGAAGTTTGAGAAGACCACATACCTGGCCCTGGAGGCTGATATATCACTTCCCTGCGTGCCACCCCCGGTAACCCACTTCCTCCATTTCCATTGCTTTTTCGTCCTTCTAATAATGGATGGTATATATGTGCATCAGGAGCACTGTCATAGCCACTCATCTCGGAGGTCTCCCCACCCTCAGGAGACGCTCGGCCTGTTGGCTTGCCAGGGACGGAATTGCTTGGACTTCGTCGTTTCTGGCGGCGTTGCCTTTCATAGCCAGCCACATCTGCATCACTGTCTGTCTCGCCATAATAAGCTTCGCTTCCAGGCGGAGATGTCAGCCCACTGGTCAGAGACGAGCGGCTCCTGTGCACCTCGCGGACAGGTGCATGCTGAGGAGGGGTAGGAGACATGGAGCGCAGGGCTGCTCTGTATTCTTTGTCAATGCGGGGAGATGGTGCACGTGTTACAAGTACTACTGACTGGAAACCTACTGGAACTCTGCAAAATAATATTAGGGCATAGTAATGAACTGTACAGAAAATATACTTCAAAAATTATATACTAGTTCACAGCTAACCTTTCTAAACCTTTCTATACTTTTGCCAAATACTACTTAACACTTTCTCACCTTTTGACACGAATATGAAGTATGCCTGGGGAGCTGTCGATGAGGTTCATGGCTTGAGCATGCGATAACATCCCACATGGCTGGTCATTGATTGATACCAACTCATCAGCTTCCTGAAGCCCAGCCCTGCAGGCTTTGCTACGCTTTCTCACCTGCAGCAGCAAATCAAGGTAGACAACATACATCATCAGACATCTACATTTCATATACTATATATATATATGTATAACTGTACAGGAAATTGCTTTATCAAACTGATATCAAGCAGCATTTATTTGTGCTACTAATGCTTCACATAACAAACTGACATGTACAAACTGTCACATGTATGTCATAATTTTTTATAAAATGATTATAATAACTACATGTTTATATCCATGCTGATTGATTATTGGACCAGGAGCATCTTCAAACGATGTCAACATTTGAGTCTCTATGGCTCCACCTGTTAGAGACATGCCCATACAAATGTGTCAGTATTACATTTCCCTGGCCTACAGGGTGAAAGAGCAGGCTGTTTTAGATAGTTAGACACAGCTGTCCACTGTCATACTGGTCATTTGTTTCAGGTGGACTGATATGGTATATGCACAAGTCCAAATAATTTATACTATGAAAATGGGGGATTCCAGTGTCTGCATCAGATCCCTAAAGTCCACCAAAATACTTAACATGCATATTCTATATCGCTGCTTTAGACATCTATTCGATATTCATTGTTCTATGTCACTGAGTCTCCTCTTTTCATCATAATAACAAATGTTTTACAGAAAATGTAGTAGTAGTAGATAGTAGCCTATGCATTGTATTATTTGAAAAATTACAAAAATGTCCAAATAAATTTCTAAGGCGATTAGTTAGTATTAACTGTACTAAAATTAGTGTATGAGGTTCTTTCTTGAATGTGCAGTTGAAACACACACCTTGGCTGACCCAGTGACCCATTGCTAAAGCCAAATATAGCTAACTTGAAAAGTTCTTTTGCTTGGTGAGCCAGCAGGCCTGCATTCAATTTAGTAGGAAATAAGCATGTTTATTTCACAGATGCACGTTTATTATGTGTATTTAGTATAGTAGTTAATACATTTGCATGGGTTACTTTAATTATATTAAACAATTAAAAAATCCTATGACTATGTGGGACTCTCCTTGAAGAAAAAGGTGAAACTACCAAAATCTGCAAGGCTTTTAATATTCCATAGCAACTTTTTTTCATATCTCCTTACTAAACCGGATTGTGCTACCTTAAGCCAGTCCTCATTTTCCTTCATCAAAGAGCTGCTTCGATCATTTCCTTCTGCTCTACAGCACACCTGACTTACCTTTGCCACCTGTAGAGGCTTCTGATGTTCAGCTCCTCCCTGGAGACGAAAGCCCCATGGCGCTCCACCTGATAAAGTAATTATGACTTCTTCTGCAACCATTGTTCACGTTTCTTTTTTTTTTTTAGACTTTTCTTTTTTGTTGCGTTGCTGGTGTCCTTGTCGTTTCTCTTTGCCGGGGGATCCTAATATGTTTTCTCCATGGTTAGCAGTCAGGGCCCCTTACAGAGCACTGACCTGCTTGATGCCTGCCACGCTGTCCGGCTGCCGACTCCTGTCTAACTCCAGCCTCAAGGCCAATGCTCACACCTGAACATTGGCCCACGTGTGCCCCCCACCCCCTCCCCATCTCTAAAGAGGAAAGGGCGGGAGTAGTGGAGGAAAATATTGTGGGGGGTCTGCGTCTACATGCACTGAGGAATGCTTCGACTAAACGAGCAAGGGGAGGGTCCAGTACAACACTTGTCCTGTCACTCACATCAATGGCATAAGGTTGCTGATATCCCATCCAAAAATAGGATCCAAGCACTGCTCTTTTACAGACCAAGGGAATGAGAGCTTTCATTTGCACTGTTTCATAGTATTCATATTGCTGCAGCAAACACCATCCAGAATGATGGCAAGGTTTTGTTTGAAATCATATTTGATATCTTTGAAATCTATTGATATCAGACAAAAGTGTAAAAAAACATCTATAAAAATCAAACACTTGAACAATAGACACTCTGAAATTGTTTTGTTTTTGTTCAGCATCAATGCAATCCTTTTTATTTATATGATCATTACCACGATAACTTGATCTTAAGACAGTCTGTGCTGTCTTTACAGAGCTTAGAATAAAGCCTCTGATGAATCACTTGCATGGCTATTGACACTTTCTGACATGCCAAAACCACTTGTTCACCATTTTAATCCAGAAATACAACCATTAAATCATAATGTCATTATAAAACATGTAGTATATAGTATACAGAATTTTAATGCATACACTAGCCCTTTAATCATTAACCAAAGTATTTTATTGATGTATGTACAACACCACTTATCTTATCATCAAACTATTTGGCATTGCCTGTCTGTCTGTATGGTTGTTGTGTTAGAAGAGCGATGTTGCTATTATCAATGCAGCTGGAGGTTACCAATGATAGCTGCTCCCTTTGGCAGCCAGTCCCTGCAGCTGTCTTCAGATCTCAGGATAGTAACTAAGATCTGTCCCTGTAAGGCCCCACTAAAGGTCTTGGCCTGTCTTTTTGAAGATACGCATTAAAGCTAGACTGATATTACTTTATTCTTTTAATATAGTTCTAAATCAAATTCATATAACAAATAATGAATTGCATTCATTTAAGCTGACTGACAAATTTATGAGTACATGTCACTTTTATTTTGTAACAGTGTGCCCTCAAGTGGTGAAATGTTGAGTAGCATTGATTTTCAGTTTCAGTTGTGTTTACAACTGTTATACACTCTCTTACAACAAGTATTACTACTTATTGGTTGCTGTTCAAAAAGACTTTTATGTTCCATATCCTATTTAAAGTAATTTGAATAATTAATTGAAATGTATTTGTAGTTGTACCAAGACTGGCAAATAGCTGGTGATTAATCTTAACCAGACTGTCTATGTGATTTGTTTGAAATATAAACAGTAGTAGCATCATACCAGCTTTTACATTTATGTAAGGGTGAAAAATGATGAATAAGTGTCTAATGTACATTATAATAACCCTGTATTTTTATGTACACTTGTGTCTCTTATTTGACCTGAGAGCTCACTTGCCTTTGCTTTGAAGTCTCCATCTTGTATTCCCTTAGACACAGTGAACCTCTGACCTCAGTTTGTGACAGTCCTGGGAGGGATGAGTGCTGTGTCATCTGCTTCATAACACAGGGCGGCAGGTTGCCAGGTGGCCCTTCATAACCTCTGTGCGCTGTCACCACTGACTCATTTATGTGCTCACCTGCAAACAATCACACACACCATCTGTCCCAAAAAATGATACCCAGGCTCCTTTCCTATTTCAGTATTTCTGACGTGATCACTGTCTGAAAGTGCTTTACGTTTTAATAATAGGATTCTTTTCAGAGTTCACATTTTAAAAGTGCTAAAACTGAAATATGAACTGACAAGAATCACAGTTCATAACATATTTGTGCAGATATAAAATGCAGGCTTTTATCCAGAATAAGACAGGATATACTGGTAATGGAGAAATTGTTAGTACTTCAAGAACTGCAGCCTCTGTGGTTTGTTTATTGCATCCAAATTGTGATTTTGATTACGGTAAATACTGTTTAATCTTCCAGCCACTGTGTACTTAATCGTTGTTTGTAAACTTTGGTCTGCATGTGTTGTTTTATCCCTCATGATGGCACCCTCTACTGGCAGCATCTTGACATTGGTAATAACCCCCATTAATATAATGCTGAATATATTTTTTTGTCTTATTGAACTAATAATATTTGTTTCTCTGCAGTGGGATCGCAGTGAATCACTTGCCCCGGTCACTTTATTTCTAAGGTGATTGGAATGGATCACCAGCTTGATTCCCTTCTAAACAGTGACAATAGGCCAAAACAAAAGTCTCTATTTAATATACATATAGGTACACGTACAAAGTACCACATATATTTTCCTGATATTATGATATGCCCATATGACAATTCTTAGTATTTTTAACTGTATATTATATATGGTATATATATGGTATACTAGCAATTTAGAGCATTTAGAGCAAAAAAAAAAAAATTGGCTGTGAATGTAATTCTAACCTCACTTTCATTGTTTTGTGTTTTCTGTATTTGTATTTTTCCTAACCCTGCATCTCTGTTACCATGGGCCAAAGTCTGCTTAATTTCCCACAGGATAAAGCAACATGAGTTTGCCTCTACAACTTAGGAAATGGACTTGTATCTGGGGTATTGATTTCCTCTCAGTATTATGGGAATGAGATGGCCTGTGAGGTGAGGGCTAAGTGCCTGCCGATCAATACACATTCTCATCACAGCACCGGATGTTCATTCATGTGCTCACAGCACACACTGGATTTATTAATTGAGCTGTATGTATAAAACAACTAGATGAATAGTTACATGTATTGTGGTATAATTTGAGATTTATTGATTATCATTTAGTGAGTGTATAATAATGGTGTTAAAAACAGCAGTTTCACATAGGTGAAATTCCTCCCAGGCATGTTTCATAATAATAATGTTTTAAAAAGTTGGCAGTTGGACAGGGTTTTACTCTCCTTTTCACTTATTTAGACTCACAAAGTTTATTGATTTACAGGAAATTACTTGGTCACAGCAGTTCACACACAGATAAAATAGTAGTAATAATAGTAACAGTAGCAAAATAAAGTAACAAAGATAGTAAAAGATGCTTGACAAATAAGGCATCAAATATAAATCATATGGGCTATATACAAGGTGGGTTTAGAAGATACAATCTCAAACACTCGTGATTTTTGTTTTCACACACGCTGATCGTGAAGTTTGGAATATGTAAGCCATTAATGATCATTTGCTTTGGAGTTTGGGATTCTATTTGAATCTTTTTAGTGAAAATTTAACATTTAAACAAGCTAACCAAACATTTATAGTAAATCCTTTTCTCTCAATTTAGACCAATAATAAATTGACTTTCTGTGATAATAAAAATATAAAAAATTAAAATAAAAAATAAAATCTAGAATTTTATCTAGGTTTCTATATTCTATTATCATTTATTTTATAGATGCACATTATAACTTTTCAGGTGTGAGGTCCATCACCTGCATGTGTATGGAGACTTTATCGCATGGCCTAGAATGTTCCATTCAAAGGATTTGAAATTATATTTGCATTTGTTCAATTACAGGTGTTTTGATTTCTCAAACACGTTAAAAATCTGAGTGGGCTCATCCCACCATGGAGATAAACACATTTAATTCCATATTGTTGAACATTTTAGGAAAAGCAATAACATCTCCATGGAGACAAAGAAGGTGACTGACACTCCACCAGAAATGTTACAATGTCCACCTTGAAACTAAATTATAAAACTATAGACACATCTTTCAAAATCTCCTTACTGGTCTCTGCGAATTGTTTTGTGAATACTGCCATTATTAATCCATGTGTATGTTACACATGACCTGTAAATCCTCGGAGGCGCCTGCACGGATCGAGGAATGTCGCGGATCACTGCAAGAAGTAAAAGTTTGCTTGTGCCAGCAAGACACACATAGAATCTCCTCCCAGAACTGCCGCTCATCAAATCTGCACCAGCTCAAGACAAAACGATGATGCTCACATAGAGCCTTGGAAGTATAGATTTTACATCAAGATCTTTTTGGCAGTGATTATGGGAATAAAGTTATTTTTATTCTTTGTGTTTGGAGTGCCCTTGCTTGGTCACTTCAGCTGCTTTGGTAAAACATTTGAAGACATGCCCAAGCGTCCCCACCTCATCTTTATCATGGTGGATGACCAGGGCTATGGAGATATTGGATACCATGGTTCTGACATCCACACTCCTATGTTGGACCAGCTGGCAAGAGAGGGGGTCATTCTTGAAAATTATTATGTCCAACCCATTTGCTTCACCCTCACGCAGTCAGTTGATGACGGGACGGTAAGGTTGTTTTAAAGGTGCTTTTATACTTTTATAAAAGATTTTACTTTCAATCAACAGTTACTTCAAATAGTAACAGTAATGCCCTAAAAACTACCATGCTATATAGGAATAGGAATAAACTATTGCCTATTTAGCTAAGCATTAGCACAGGGTGCTAATAGATTTTTGTTGATGTTTTCAATGTTTTTTTCTTTTTTTTAACTAAGTCAGTGTTATTTATCCTCTTATGACCAGCTATCAAATTCACACTGGCCTTCAGCATTCAATCATCCGTCCACGTCAGCCCTTGTGCCTGCCCCTGGACATCCCCACTTTACCAGAGCGTCTGAAAGAAGCTGGTTATGCTACTCACATGGTGGGCAAATGGCACCTTGGCTTTTGCAAACACAGTTGTCTGCCAACAGGACGTGGGTTTCAAAGTTTTTTGGGAACACTGACCGGCAGCGGAGACCACTTCTCCTATCAAAGCTGTGATGGCGCTGAAGCATGTGGATTTGATCTACATGAGGGAGACAGACCTGCCTGGGACAAAAGTGGTAACTACTCCACTCTTCTCTACATCGAGAGGTAAGCATCTTATGGTTTTCCAAACATATTTTGAATGTTTTGGTACAATGGCAACATATTGACTTTTATTCTAAACAGAGCTAAGGAGATACTAAGGAACCACAATGGACATAAACCACTCTTCTTATACCTGTCCCTCCAGGCGGCCCACACACCTTTGCAGGTACCAGAGCACTATTTGCATCTCTATGATTCTCAAAGTAATCGTCCCAGACGTCATTATTCTGCAATGCTTAGCTGTTTGGACCATGGGGTTGGACAGGTGGTCCAAGAATTAAAGAAATATGGGCTCTATAAAAACTCTGTATTGATCTACTCATCTGATAATGGAGGACAGCCACTGTCTGGAGCCAGCAACTGGCCACTGAGAGGTGGTAAAGGTACTTACTGGGAAGGAGGGATACGTGCTGTGGGCTTTGTTCATAGTCCACTCTTGAAAAGCAAAGGGGTGGTCAGTCATGCTCTCATACATGTCTCTGACTGGTTTCCAACCTTTTTGGGCCTGGCTGGTGCAATGCAGTCCCAGCATGTTCTGGATGGTCATGATGTTTGGAAGACCATTAGTAAAGGCATTCCCTCTCCTCGTACTGAAATCCTTTTTAATATTGACCCAGTCTCCAGGAGGCCTGAAGAGCCATATAACAAGGCCTTACTACAAAATGGTTTTGGAATTTGGGACACCGGCGTTAAAGCAGCAATCAGAGCTGGAGATTGGAAGCTATTGACTGGTAATATTGGCAGTGGGGAGTGGATACCCCCACATTACTTTCCCAGTGCAGCACAACAGTGGCAGGGACTGGAGAAGCGACGTAATGCATTAGGGAAGTCCGTGTGGCTATTTAACATTAGCAGTGACCCATATGAGAGATCAGACCAAGCAGAAAGTCATCCCGACATTGTCAAATATCTCCTGAGACGACTGGCACATTATAACCAAACGGCTGTGGTGGCTCAGAACCCACCAGATGACCCTCTGGCTGACCCAGGACTTCATGGAGGAGTTTGGGGGCCTTGGATGGATGTAGAAGTGGGCCATGAAGGGGATACTTACCAGGAACATGGGAGAGGAGAAAGACAAATGAACATCAAGCACTGCAGGGTCTGTAAGCTTAAAGCACTCTTTAAAAAGGTGGGCTCACGACTTCAAAGAAACATTTTATTCCGCTAAATTCTAAATAAAAATAAAAACAAAACAAGTTTCACAAAAAATAGATCAGATACCATAGGTGGAAAAGCAGAAAGACATTTTGCCTGATAGGCCAAGCAGACAAGGCTGAGGCTGTCGGAGCATGACTCACTCACTGTCCTCTGGCCAAACTGCAGAAGGGTGATGGCGGGTCTGTATGTGAATGTATATGCTCAAAATGACACCAAGGATAACCTATGCCTCGTCCTTTTTTCGATTAATAGAGCCTTAAAGGGGAGACAAATGTTCCCACTGCGGAGGTTGTGGTTGAGCTTGATTTAATTTTATTTGTGCTGATGCCTCAGATTAGTCACAGACACATTTTTAGCACAATTTTATCTGACTGATACACTTACTGAAAGACATAATTTCTCTTACAAAATTAATTCTGATGACAACTGATGATTTTATTTTTTTTTTGCTATTGACATTAACAGATTCCTTCTTTCCCTTTTTGTTTGTTTGTTTGCCTTAACAATGGGTGCATTGTTCATTGTATTGTTAAGTTAATAACAACTATAACATTTGACATTAAGGTTTTACCCTAAAGTACTATGCCAAGACAGCCACCGATCTTTTGGATAGTCCCAAGCAAAACCCTAAATGTTGCTGATCAGTGATGTCACAGAGCAGCAGTGCCCCAGAGATACATAACGCAGCCGCGACTCAAAATGAAAACATTCCTCTTGGATGAGTCATTCTCTTTCTGTCTCAAATGCTCCACAATAACTGTGTCTGTAATAGTCTTAACCTGGATGCATTTTTATTGAGAATTCTAATAGTTTGGATAATTCAGTGGATGTTTTTCCTAATAAATTTACAATGAAATGTGTCTCTTGAAGTTTGTGCCCCAGTGAAAAGGGAATAGAAAGTTAAGCTATACAAATGTGTTTGTGTGATTAGTGTAGACTACACCTTCACACTTCTTAAAACATATCTCATTAATGTGTCCTTTCCTTCATTATGCGTAAAAACTTGTACATGCCAGTAGCAAAATATATATAGCAACGTTTGATTTGGCAAAGTGGCAGAACAGTTTTCTATTAATAGATAACTGTAGCACTTAAGTGAGTCATGATACAGCAGATCTGTGTTATGGTTTGATTTCTGTCTCCTTTCAGGTGTATATACAAACGTTATTCAGCTCATCTCACGTACACACACAAATATATATATATATGTGTAAATGTCCTTCCTCCTGCCAACTGTTACTCATTCTTAAGCTCTTATTTGATCAGCTGCGTGGATGTTTGACCCTTATTCTAGAGATGTTTTCCCAGAAAATGATCGCGCATTGCTACATCCCACTACTCTATTCCAAAGCTTCATTCACTGTGCGCGCTGAGCCTGGAGCTCTCACTCTTGCAGTGGTGTGTGCAGACAGTGCTTAGAAAGTAGGTTGTTACTACTTACACGTTTTTCTTCTGCATTGCCTTAATGTGCATATCATTAGCACAAATTACTAACAAAATTGAAAGGAAACAAAACTGAAACCATAAAAACAATACAGGTAATGATAAAAATGTTACATTTGATACACGTCTACCGCCCATCCCGTGCTGCTGTGACAGAGTGCGCGCTCTCGCGCATAGGGGATCTGTTGTACTCCAGCTCCAGCTCTGCCTCTCCTCCTCCTCCTCCTCCTCCCACTCTCCTCTCCTCCTCCCACTCGCCTCTGCTCCTCTAAGCTCTTCCCTCTGCTGCCTTCACGCGTTCTCCCGAAACCTGCGCGGACAGGAGGCGATACACCCCTTTCCCCTCCTCGACTCATCATGGCTACAGTTGTAACCTCGACCAGATTTACAGACGAGTATCAGCTCTACGAGGAACTCGGAAAGTAAGCGACCGTTCCCATCTCCCCTTCGCGCCTGTTTTCACTTGTGTACGTGTAGCGTGTGTCCTGCACGTTTTCGTATATTCGCTGCTGCCATTGTGAGCCTTCACTTTGCGTTGACAGGGCATGAGAGGCTGTCAGAAACAGAGAAGGGTAGGGTACATCTAAACCCCGTGTCCGCTAGAGGAGCGTGTATTCTAACCTTTCGGGGGCTTCCGCAGTATAGTATTCGCTCTTACGGCAAGAAACACGAAACACCCGCTTGTACTAGCAGCTTGTTTGTCAGTGTATCCTGGTACTAGCACACGTCAGTAAGCAGCGTGTGGGAACCTATTGGCTGGTGGGATCCTCTGTCTCTCGTTCTGCTTGTGCATATTTGAGCAGGCTGCAGAGCTGCCCGGGCTATGTTCGTGTTCGTGAGGCACCAAAACGAGGACCAGACAGGTCCAAGCGTGGTTAATTTTTTTGCATTATTGCGTAATTTACGTGCAACAAACGTATTGTCATATGGGTGCATAATGACGACCGCATAAATTCTCCGAAGGATGTTGTAAAATGTTATCTTTGAATGTGGCAGCTGTTTCACAAACAAATGGCCTTGTCTGACTTTGAATGATGATTATGAAGATTGACAGAGTTAAATGTTATAAGGCCATTTCTGGATCTAACTCCTAACTCGATCCCTGCTCACATTTCCTCCTTTGAGCTAATGACTAGGTCCTTTGACAATGCAACAAGCCCCTCTCCCCTGTCACGCACTAGTAACCAGGACTTCTTCTCACATCTCAAAGACACTATGTCAGACATTATTAATTATGCATTAACTTCCTTTACCCTTTTTTGTGTGGGATTCTTGCATGGTGGCAGCTTGTTAAATCTTAACACTTCATAACGGAGAACTTTGATAAGATCTGTAACATCAGTGTTTAATTGATTTGTTTTGCCTTGCAGGGGTGCCTTCTCTGTTGTCAGGCGATGTGTCAAGAAATCCACTGGACAGGAGTATGCTGCTAAAATAATTAACACAAAGAAACTTTCAGCCAGAGGTAAGGAGTCCAGCTACTCCCAGTACCATTATAGTCGACCGAGCTGCCAACAGTACGCCATGTGACTGTTAAAAGTAATCAGATCTTCCATAGACTTATTATATTTCCCCAGCCACCAAGATTATTTCAGTGTGGATTTCTGAAAAATTATAGGCTGCTGATTAATCAGTACTTTGCATGGTATACTGCATTTAATAACATACTATAATGTATTATGACTTATTCTACAAAAGCGATGCTGTACTGGAGTGTAACAAGTGTTGCCTTATTTATTTCAATGCTATATCTCTATTTTTCCAAAGCCACCTTTTGTAGCTTGTCTATGACCTCTGTGTCTGTCTTGAGCTTGTTGCAGCCTGGCCCTTGCTGAGTCTGTCTTCTGCAGTGTCAGCCCTAGTAGCCACCAAAGGTTGAATGATGTGTGTTGCACATCAGGGGCCAGTTCTGGACTGATGCATCTGTTTTTCACCCTGAAGGATGCAGAGTGAAATGCTTCTTTTGCTTTATGAAGCTCATGTTCTCTCATTATGATGTTTTCATCTTTGTCCTTGTTATGCTAACAAAATGATAATTTAAGCAATATTCCTTATTTAGAGATCTAGTTAACTGCCTGACAAGCTGGGGCAGGGGTCTGAAAGCACTCACCTCTAATACTAGACTTAGACAAACTTTATTGATCCACAAGGGAAATTACTTGGACAGAGTAGCTTACACATCGTAGTATATTATAATAACAAAGAGCAAAAATACTGCAGAGGTGGAGCTTATTATATGTAAAATATGTATGTATAAAATATGTCCAACCATATTTTGTGCAATATAAAAATATGTGCAGCCATTTTAAAATTGTATGCATTTTGTGACCCACTGTACATGCAAAAGCAGTGGTCATGCACTTGTGTCATCTCCAGCTCGCTCAGCCCTTCACAACTGAAGCACTTTAGTTTTTCCAATGTGTGTTTTTCACAAACATCAAGACCATATTCCCCAGCCTCAGCCATCCTCCTCATGCCTGCTGAGCTGAGACAAAGCAGCGAGTGGGGGGGACTGTGCCAGAATGCACTCATCATAACACACTAGTAACAGAAAGCAAGCCTTCCTACCAGTCACTATGTTCATTACGTAAACTTGCTCTTTTTCTGCATCCAACTTTAGATGCACGCTAATATAACCATGTTGGAGTTGTGTCTTATATCTTATGCACATTGTTTGTAAACGTAGGACACAACAGAAGCTCCTGGGTGGATTAACGTCAGGGGAACTTTAGAGAGAGAGTGCACTTGCGTAGGCGGGCTTAATCTCTGCTCTGTGACTCAGGGAGGGCACATTGGCTGACGGTGAGGTCAGCTCCTATGGCTCCATAGCTCATGTGGCTTCACATGTACTGGGTGCTTCTATTCAAACATGAACTGTCAGATTCACTGACAACCACAATTAATTAGTTATAGAAATTGAACAGAAAGTCTGTCTGTTATATTCCAGACTGTAAATATTGGATCCAATGATTGTAACTACAGAACTACAGAAACAGAAGTACAGAATACAATAGCCTGTGTATTCTAGGGAAAGTTATGATTTTTCCATTCTAAGCTTCATACTTTGAGGCCATCATAGCCATAGGCAGTCATTTGTTTTCATTCAGTTGCATTAGGTGGCTCTTCAGCTTATGTAAGCATTTTAAGCAAAATGTCTTTGAATCACACCTTCCCTATTTGGATTAGATGCTTTGAGAAAGTATGTCAGAAAATATGTGACGTCAGCTGTCTACTATAATGCCAGTAGTATTTTTATCTACAATTATGAGTCATCCACTTAGGCAGTGTATTTTTATTCAAGTATCAGGTAAGGTCACATCAAAAAAGAAGGAGAGGGAAGAAGAGAGAGAGCTTGGCGGCATTTGTCCTGCTATTGAATTATTGAGAAACGTGGCTGCTTTACCCTTAGTGAAAATGTTGAAAGGTTGAAATGTTGCCCTCTACTGCTATTCCCTCACACAATGGGCCTTGCCTTGCCATGCTCTTTTACTGCCTCCTTGTCAGGTCATGCAGACAGAAAATGTATGTGGTTTATGTAGGTTTTGTTTTGTTTTTAGTCCTTCCCAGGGCTCTAGTACACTCGCTGGAGGCTGATTGGCGGAGGGCAGATACACGTAGCAGTGCTGTGTGGTGAATGTTTAATGGAACCAACAGTGAATATTTGATGAAGGAGAGAGAGTCTTATAAAGCACATAGATGTGGATATAGAAAAGAAAGTGAGAGTGTTAGATGTTTGAAAGATCTACGCACATTGTTTTTAAAAGGTTGTACATATTAAAGAGTTGGATTTGTGAGTCTTTAGGTTTATGTCTAGATAATGTACATTGACCTCCTTTTTTACTCTTTATCCCTCCATTCTCAGCATATGGTATAGTATGGCAGCCAAAGTGAATAAAACTTTAATTTGCCTTATAGTGCTGGATAAGAGTTGGTATGTCTTTTTAAAGAGAGGATATTTTCTGTGGGGTATTAACTGCTAGCACTTAACACATTTAGATCACTATGTTCCCATTTATTGTTTTGAAAATGCGTAAAAACATATTAACATGTTAATAATTCCCCTTCATTTTTCAAGCTCCGAGACTTCCCTCCATTTGTTCTCCATCCTAAGTTACTCCTTCAGAGCTCTATCAGAACACAATGAAACTACTGCACATCGCATCAGGTGTCAAGTTGTTGTGTACATGCTTTTCTGTATTTATGGAGAATTATCATGTGAAAGCATGAATGGCATAGGCTTGTGGGCTAAGCTTATAGTTTAGATTCCACTCTAAATGCTACCTATCGGTATGTTGTTCAGCTCCCTGGTAAGCTTTGGCTGTTTTAACTGTGGTTTACAAATAAGTTTTGATTGACTGAAAAACGGTTTGAATATGGTCTGGGAAAGATTGCTAAATTAATGAAACATGCATGGGTGACATCTAAAGCCACTTCAGGCATGCATTTAATGAGGAAACATTATAATATGGTATAAAGCAAAAAAAATGATTTTGCATGATACTCCCTTTTTATATATAGAATAATTTGTAAAAGGATGTATTCTTGGTCTGGAGTTTTTTTTTCCTTTATAGATGCAATTCTTTCCACCATGATTAAGGGTGTGTTTTGGAGTGAGTCTTGCAAAGGTGGGATGTTAAAAAAAAAAAAAGAATCTAAATTAATTGGCTGATGCAGTGAAGATATGAGTCAGAGATAGTTTGTATGTGGGAGGAAACTAGCTACACCACATTATTTTAAGTTGTCTGTACAAGTTTAAAGGCAATGAATTATTTGCAGTAGTAATGTTTGTTTTGTCAGTGATTTCACACAGACTGTCACACCAAGATGTTATACTTTTACTACTACTATATAATGGACACTCATTAAAAAAGAAAAGCTTAGTAACTGCATCTTGCTATACTCAGTATAGTCAAAGTTGTATGGATACTGCTCCGGTTGTGAAAAGGCAAAAATAAGACGTCACTGTAATTTAATTCCATGGGTTTCCAAACCTTGTTGACAATAATGAGCTTTCTTTTTATTTATGTTTCAATCCAGTGGTGCATTGATTCTAATACAGAAGAAGTAATTACATTTTACAGGTAAAGCAAGCTACAGAGAGTAAAATAATACTTGTAATGGAGAGGCTTTTATGGAGTGACTTTATTGGAACAGTTGAAAAGGCAATAAAGATGGCTCATCACATGGGAGCGGCCTAGGCAATAACGCATGCATGTGTTATGACGGCGTTTTCATTGTTTACCATTTGGACCAGAGTGAAAAGAAAAGCCAGTCTTTGTCAGGAAACTGTCATTACATCGTCAGTGTTGGTAACATCCCTGGGGTTAATGTGTCCAAGTGTTATTGCACTCTTGATCATTTTACATTGCTGCCAATCAAGTCCCTCCTCACTACAGTGATCCATTAAACTTCTCCTTCCTCAAGAGCTCTGCACACATTGTACAGTAAAAGATTGATTATTCAGTTTATAGGTAGACTTTGTGCCAGATGCCTTTCCTGATGCCACCCTCATTCATTTGAATATTGTATGTGACACTTAAACATTCTGTTTGTGTAAAATAACCTCCTTATTGCACACCATTACAATTCTAGGTACTATTTATTTTATATTTTTTATTTATTTATTTATTTTTATTTTTAGCGAGAATTACTTTTTTAATGCAGAGGGAATTTAACGATTCACTGAGTAGATGGTTGTCCACACATATTGCCCTTTGCTCATGTTGATGTGGGCCTTGAATGAGCCTTTATATGTGTCAGGTGGGATTAGATGAAGCTGTAGCACCAGTTAAAACTAATGTATGAGGTAAATTTCATACAAAAGCCGGAGCATTGAGCAGAGCGAACTACAGAGTCTAGTGTAAATATTGATTTACCTTTTGTTGTCATTATCTCATTTACACTAGGACCTCTTTTCACAAGGCTGCTGTTTTCCCAAGAGCAGGATGTTTAGCCAGTCACACACCCCAAATCACAATTTTTGTTCATTAATCACTGCTTCTTTTCTTTTATAAGCCTTTTAATGTAACAATCAGCACCTGCTCCAAAGCACTTGAGCAGGCTAATATCATGTTTAATCTTGGTTCAATGACGCTTCAGTCATTTGGCCTATGACCAGTTTTCTCTCTCAAACCAAACCAGTCATATCAGACTTTAAAATGCAACTAGATCATTTGGTTAAAGTAAGCACTCCTGTTGCCTGGCATGCCACCAGCACAGTGGGTCCGTTTGTGTGCACGCTTCCAAGGTTACTATCAAAACAGTTTCTCATAATAAAAAGGCAGCACACAATAAAACTCCTTTTCAGGCTTTGCTCAAAAACATTCAGGTGTTTGTGATGCAGCTGGAGCCTTTTAGTGTCGACTTGAGGTATGCTTATATATCTCTATCATGTCCCATATATTTGTCTAGTCTGTACATTTTTACACTGTTCCATTTTTACTGACATTGTGAATATTAGTTTATGTTGTGAAAATTTAAAATAAATAAATACATAAAATCATGTGTTGATATTATGGTATTAAAAGGTGAATCAAGTAATTACTTGGTTGTATTAATTAAAAATATATTTTAGTACCACTTTTAGTAGGGCTAATAGTTGCACCTTAATAATACATATTGTGCTTTTTTCTTATATTTAGTGTCAAATTTTAACAAATGTAAATAATTTTACATTTTAATTTTGAACTGCAACATTGATCTAAACGGCTAAATGACAGAGACAGGCTCAGTGACATTTTTAGAACCTCGGGGACCTCTTCAAAGTGACATTTTAGTCAAGCCTAAAAGGCAGGAGAATAAAGTATTACACAAACGTGCATGACTCAATCAATGTACAATATTGTGTAATCTAATGGTAAGGGAACCATTATAACACTACTAAAAGTTAATGAAATCTGATTTTACAAAATGTGTGCCCTTTAAAAGTGGCATTTGAATAGCAAGCCTATTACCATGTATATTTCAGAGACTGCATAAACATCATGTTGATCAGTGACATGATGAGTCTCATATCTAATTCTTTAGCAGAAGCCTCTGATTCTGTGTCTGTAGGAGTGAGTATGCCTCAGCTTTAGCCCACTGACACTCTGCTGACCTCGTGCTAACAACACTTCTGATGGGACTGTTAGTTTGGGGAAGTCTAAAAAGCTGAATAGAGATTTCTTTGCTCTTCCCTTTTAATAGCTTTTGTATGTGATGTGTATCTCAGTGTCAGTTTTGGTCTCTCTCTGCCTAGACTGTGTGATGGAGGGTGGTCCAGGGCACTGCTATAAGCCAGTGGAGGATTGGATCTATTAATAGACATGTCTGCTAGGGGCAACACTTTCCTGAAATCTCTAAGTGTGTTTGGGTCTGTCTGGCTCCCTCTGTCAGGCTGTCACTTATCTCCGAGCCTTTCTTATTACCTTTCCTTTTTGTGATTGATCCCATTCAACAAATGCACAGCTGGCCAAAAATATGAAGTTTAGGTTTGTGTTGGCAAACTGTGGACTGCAGTAACTATTTCTGTTGTTGTCTTTTGTTGATGGGCAAAGTGCTGCAGTCTGGTAATAAAGATCCCAGACTGACACCCTTCTGAATTACACCTGAAAGCCTCGCTTTAGCTTTTCCTTGCAGTGCTGTTTAGACTGACTTGTTGCTAAAGGATTAATCACTAGGTTTTCTAATAGTGTTTATGAATGATAAACCATCCTAATGCACATATGCATCCCTCAAGCAGGCCGGCAGCGTACTAGCTTAAAGATTATCTGAGTGACATTTCAATATGTCAAGCTATTTGGTAACCCATAGGAGCCCAGATGTCTGTCTTACCTAACAGCAAAGCCCTGCAAACTAAAACATGTCAGTATGATGCTCTTCTACGTCTCTTAAAGGCGACATAGACATGTATAATTATATGTTTTTACATCCATATATTTTTAAAGTGGATGTTGTGTATAATGTTCATTTTGCTGCATATGGGCTATCCAATTTAATACAGTAAATATAATGTCAGATCTTTCCTTTCCTTAAAAGCAACCTTTCAGACAGAAATGTGAATGCGTACGACTCCTGGCATATTATATTGAAGTTAACTGATGAACAATGAACGTATTGCATTTCAAACCGTGGCTTAAGTAAAGTCATACATCCATATCCTTCCTTTGCTTAGCCTGTTTATGGCTGTGGGATCTTAGCAGGGGGACATCTAGATGGACAAATGAATGATGATATGAGTTGCTGTCAGTGAACAGTCAATCCAATTGAACTAAGTGCTGTTGTGAGACAAGGACTCACAGCATCACTGGACAGTTTGTGAAGAGGCAGAGCAATATGTTTTATCCACTTATCAGCTGGACTTTCATCTTTTGATTTTGCTTAGAATAGATGTATGTCTGAACGTTAATTCTGTGAATTGAACTCCTTTCGTCGGCCCATAGCCTTGCTAATAGCGAACTGCCAAGTCTGCTGCCATCATAAAGAAGCTGTCGTCCCTATTGCATAAAAAAAGATTTATTTTGAAAGGATGTCCAACATAAAAATTAAAGCATCCAAAATGGTCTATTAAAGCTATTAGAAGAGGGTGAGAAATATCTTTAGTATTCCTTTCCTATTTGTATGCTTTATTACCATACATTCCATGCTTATTTTGAATACAAATCATTGCAGCAAAAGTACATTCATTCTTTGCACAAACCAAATATTTACTTGTAACTCTGACTTTCCACCATCTTAATGACTTGAGACTCAGAGGAAGGAAGTGTTTCCTGTTCACTTTCCTGTTTCCTTAAGTCAGTGTGACTTTTGACATTTAGACAACCTCCACCCAATTAACAGCACTGGGTGGGCTCAGTGCGGCTACATTTCTTTAAATGACATGAATGTCTTTGGTCTTTGTGACCGAATTAAGAAACGTCCAGTGCTCTGTCACATGTACCAAGGCCAAAATAAGCTCTGAGGGGCTGGTCTCATAATGCTCCATCTGTCCCTCGAGGCTAGCATCTGGCCGACTGGCTGGTTTGGTCTGCGCGAACTTGACCTCTGACCTTTTAGCAAACAAAGACGCCATGCTCTTGTATCAAGCTCTGGATCTGCCCCACAGCTCTTGGTCAGTCCTACACATATGGATGGACATCCTGCCCATGCCATTAAAATCATTAACTGCACTGATTAAATTAAGACTAGGCCCACAAGTCTAATTTCACTAAGTGCAAAAAGCTTGTGCTGAATCCTCGCTCTGTCCATCTCTATGAGCTCATGTTAGTTGACAGCAGCTGTTGGCTACTGTTCAGCTCTGCTATGAAGCTATTACCATGTTTTAATGATAGATGTGAACAGGATGACATTTCACACTATAAATATTAATGTCTAGATGAGATAAAATTACTCAAATTCCAAATATTTATTTAACTACTCAACAAGTACTGAAATTTAAGATGTATTTGGGCTTATATTGATTTTCTTTCTATTACTTCCTATTCAGAGCCATATTGGTTCCATTTGCATAATTGCCAAATGCAGACCAGATAGCAGGACAAGATGGATTTTCATGAGTTTATGAACTCACAAATATCACAGATATTCATCTTGCTGTGCAAGGCAGAGACAATCTTACAATCAAGTTATCTTGCTGGAAGAGGTCAGCAGTGTCTACAATCAAGTGAAATATTCTATGCCTCTTAGCATTTACCTCTAGCATAGACCTTACTACACAAATTTTAAGTGAGGCCAGATTATATATTTTTTCTGTAAATTTGCTAATCAGCCCTTTTCATCTTTTTTCAGATCACCAGAAACTTGAACGAGAGGCAAGAATCTGTCGGCTGCTCAAACACCCAAACATAGGTATGTTTTTCTCTGATGGTCCATGAATACAGTATTGGGGACTTTAAGAGGGAAGTTTTTCTTGACTTAAAGACTTTCGGAGACACTTTTCCTGAACATTGTTTCCATTTGACCTTTTCAAGGGGACAGAAAGAACAGCATCAGTGTTTCAGCATCAAGTTTCTTGGGCTTTCTATTAGACCCCATATAGGGGTGCTCCATAACCTGTCTAGAAAGTAAAACTACCTTGCTGCAATATGAAACAGCACCTTGTTTGACTTGGAAGTGGTTGAAATTTAATTTACTTGACATTTTCCCTCTGATAGTTGTAGAATGTGGTATTAGTGTTCAAAGCTTTAGTACTTCATGTATTTTTGAAAAAACATTTTATTAACAAATGAGTTGTCTTCAAAGTCAATGTTAACCATGTTTTTGATACTAATCATTTCCACAGTTGTTAAGCATTTATCGCTTCTTTTCATGTTTCTTTTGGTCAGTCACAACACTGGTGGAGGTTGGTTTAAAACATGATTTTCTTGTTTCTTCTCGATAGTTCGCCTTCATGACAGTATCTCAGAAGAAGGCTTTCACTATTTGGTGTTTGACCTGTGAGTGTCTCATCCTATTTTTTTTACATTTTTCAAGTTTTAATAAAGTACTTTTACAACAGAGATATGTGTATAGTGCATCTGTACAATTATTATGTTTCAACCTCTTAATAATTTAAAATAATCTAATTTAAATAATACTTACTGTTAATTTGTCAGTTTTAAACCAGAATGAACATCAAAGCTGTATATTCAACTGCCTGTACCAACCACTGCCATGCTTATAACATGTAGTCTTAACATTTACTGTGTGCCCTTTTTAAAATGAAACATTTCTTAATTTCTTTCTTTCAGTGTGACTGGAGGAGAGCTCTTTGAGGACATTGTTGCCAGAGAGTATTACAGTGAAGCAGATGCCAGGTAAAGTATGTCGTCATAAGAGCCAAAATCATTTCAGACATTTCAGTGTTTTTGAAAAGGCACACTCACTTTGAAGTACCACTTAACTTTTTTACTACACACGACTTTGCTGGAGACTGTAAATTCAAGTACATTAATAAATTAAACCAAACTGCCCTCATTCCTGACATTGCCTTTAGTTTTGCGGTGTTTTAGTGCAAAGTTGTGCCTCAAAAATGTGTGTATGTAGTTGCAAATTTACTCTTGTTTCTTTGTTTCATTCACACAAAAATCAAAATGCTCTGTTCCACCTTGTGATGTCATGTAGTGGTAGCTTTCAAGTTAATAGCTACCTTTTAACTTTTTGTTCAATAGAGACTGGCAATTCCAGGTCTGAAATCATCCAAATGATTGACAAATGACAGTGTGTTAATGATTGAAAACACTACTCCAGATATGCTTTCGATGAGAAAATAACATTATTACATAGGTAAGAAAACAACATAATATGGGCCCTTTTAAACTATGAAATCATGGAAATCTTGAAGTGTGCTGATTTGGGTATAGGATTGAAATCTGTTAGTGCTGTCCATTTTGTCCTTGTGCATCAGTTTGACCTTCACTCACTGGGACCAATACAAACTGCAGTCGAATGCTTTGTGTAGCTTTCTGTAGATTCATGAATACTTAAAACTTATAGCAGTCAAAGTTAAACATGACTTTCCTTTGTCTTTCAGCCACTGCATTAATCAGATCTTGGAGAGTGTCAGTCACATCCACCAACATGACATTGTGCACAGGGACCTGAAGGTGAGTTAGTTTGTTTCCTCACAGATCAAATCAAATCCAGCGGCGATCACAAAAGCACCTCGAAATATGCCCCCCGAAGCCTGCACTTTTCCGCTGTGAGGGAAAGCGCTGAGTGGTTGCTCCCGTAGGCCCATCTAGTCAGACGTCATGCGGTGACGTTCACACCAACTTGGAGATCAGCATCACTCATTTCCACCTGCGTCTGTCTGTCCTCGTGTAGCGGTCCCCTTTTTTTCACACTCACCTCAGTGGCTCCATCCACCCTCACCCCTCCACCCCCCTGTCCCTCCGCCCTCCTTTTCTCTCAGCTTTTTGAGGAGTGACGAAAGCAGTCGGATGCTATTTATAGCTGGTCGGTGGGTGAGATGAGGGCCGGTGACGATTCTCCCTGCAGCAGGATTTGCTCACCCCTGGCACAAATTGCAGCACTTTGACCTCTTCATTATTGTTTATGCAAATAATAATAAATAATAATAATACATGTAAAAATGTGAGCCTGTTTAAACATTAGAACACTTGCAGAGGTGTGAAATGTATAGCACCTTTTAGAGGAATGTGGCTGCACTAGTCTGTCACAAACTTAAAGAGAAAGACGACATTTATCAGTTTTAATATCTGGTAGTTTAATTGATAAGGTAATTGGCCAAATTTCTTCCAATGCTATTATATTTTTTTGGGAAGTTTGTTTCATTTCTTTGTTTCATTTCAGTCAAGTGAAAAGGAATATGGATGTAAAAAAAAAAAGGTTTTAGATTAAATTCAACAAAATGCCTCTCATGCATCTAAAATAAGTCATGTCTGATTGCAACTGAAAGCGACTCATGTTCTATACCTTACCACTATATTTCCTGTGGGAATAACACACTAAAAGCTACTTGTGTGTTAAAAAGGAAAAAAAAACTAATAACAGCCACAAAGTGTACCTTGGAGAGCTTTGACCTCTCTGTCATCTTGGGAGGGCCACTCGCTGGAGGGGGAGACAAAGGCTGGTGGCAGGCGGCGTTGCCATGGCAACTGTGGGGTGAGGTCACCCGGCTGCTGCGCCAGTGTAGGGACTCATTATGCCACCTCCAATCTATCTATCGCTATCTGTCTATGCGTTCTGCCATAGCCCAGTACTATCAGCACAAGAGGACAGGGGTCACAGCTAAATAAGAATCACACAAAGAAAATTACAATGAGCAAGGATCCCCAGGATGAAGCAACAGATGTCTGTTAAACTATGGATAATTAATCCATTTTAATTTTACGGTGTCATCTACATTCCGGTACTACAATTTTAAGTGTGAAGTTTTGACTGCTTCTATATCAAAAGTGAAGTGTGAAATTGGGACATTCCCATTAAAACATAAAAAAATTACTCAGACTCTAAAAATTAGTTTGATTTTGTGTTTTTCAGCATCAAGAAAATATCTCAATTTAGACAAATATGCAGGATGGAATGCCAGAGGAGAACAACCTGTCAAATGTTGGACTGCCACATTTTTAGTAAAACAGCTGTCCTTCTGTCCTTAGGGTCATGTGCCTTCAAATCCGAAAGACCCTATACAGTGAAGACATTTTTCTGTGATGTGGTCAAACACATTAGTGGAAGTTTGAAATCTTCATGTAAGGATGCACTGATACTGATACCAGTACCGAAGGGATATTAACGCCGATCCAGGAAATTTTGCCGTATCGCATATCTGTCTCTTGATATCAGTTCAGCCAGTATTCTGGTTGGACCTTTTGATTTGAGGTAAAAGGACTAATTACTAGCTGATGTGGGCTGATATAGACTTAGGATGTCACATTTTTATTCATACAAAGCTTCAAGTTTCAATCAAAACTTTTATTCATACAAAGCTGTTCAGTAATTATTTTCAGGAAAAATAACAATTACATAACTTAACAAAACTGGATCAGTTTTGTATCAAATTAACTGTGTTTTTTGGAGGAAATTGCCAGTTCCTACACTGGTATCGGTTAATATTAGGTATCATCAGATACTTAAACCTTACTTATTGGTATCAGAACTGAAAAAGCTGGATTGCTGCCTCCCTAATCTTCATGCATAACTCTTTTTAACACCTTTGCCTAATGAACTTAACATTGAAGGAGTACATACTTCATTATCTAGTCTAATTCTGACAGCAGATATGATCTAGTGCCATGTCCTCTTGAGCCCGTCTGACTAAATACCAGATGACATTCTCGCCTGTGGCTTGTCCACTCAAGCAAAACATAGGACATTTCTTCCAGGGTTCATGGTCAACACTTATTTAATGAAACATTTTGGCTCATTGTTTAGGGGTTGCACAACAGCAAATATACATGTTATAAATACTGAATGTTACTATATATGTTTTTTATCATAATTTCTATTTTCATTTTAGTTTAAACTTAATTAACAAAACAAGTATCAACAAACAGACATAACTGTACAATAATGATATATAAAAACATAATAATAATAATTAAAAAGATAAAATAAGATAAAATATATAAAATATAGGAGGTGGTTGGAGGGATCTCAAAGCACAAAAGACAAGATTATATACAGTTCTTTTAATAGGGTAGAGGAAAGACGAATGTTGCTATTTTGACCCCAAATTGACACCTGCAATGCTGATTTTATAATATATTATAATATTTAACTTGCCTGGAAATCCAGCAATGAGTCTGGATTCTTCCAGGCAAATATTTAACTCCAAAATTCGTATAATTTGAGAAATGAGTCTTTATTCCCCTCTGAATATTTTCCGTGTTTTGTACTGCAGCCGGAGAACTTGCTGTTGGCCAGTAAGATGAAGGGAGCAGCAGTGAAACTTGCAGACTTTGGTCTTGCCATTGAGGTGCAGGGTGACCAACAGGCATGGTTTGGTAAGGGATAAATGTGAAATGTGCGTTGGTTTAAATTTCCCACCAGTCCTCTCATATTGTATTCATATTTTTGTAGGTTTTGCTGGAACTCCGGGTTACCTCTCACCAGAAGTATTGAGGAAGGACCCTTATGGCAAACCAGTGGACATATGGGCCTGTGGTGAGTGTTACTTTGCACTGCATGTTGTTTATTACTTAACACAAACTTACAATACACTGGTTTATTTGTTTTAGGGGTGATCCTATACATTTTGCTGGTGGGCTACCCTCCTTTCTGGGACGAGGACCAACACAAACTCTATCAACAAATTAAAGCTGGTGCATATGATGTAAGCACTTTTCCAATGTGTAATTTATTTGTAACATTGTGTATATAAGTGACTGTCTTTGGTAACAGCAAGTGTATAAATCTATATCGGGGTAGAGTGTTTGTCCACTGATCTGAAGGTCAGAGGTTCGAATCCTGCTCTCGACATAACATCATCAGTAGCCTTGTCAGATCCACTGACCCACAGGTTGGTGGTCCGATTTCAGCTCCTAACAGAATGTTGTTGCTGTGTCCTTCGGCAAGACACTTAACCCACCTCGCCACCAGTATCTGCGTACACTAGTGTTTGAATGTGTGTTTGAATGGGTGAGTGGTTCCTAGATGTAAAGGGCTTTGAGTGCATTGAAGGTGGAAAAGCGCCATATAAAAATGTGACTATTTACTATTTAGACAGGAAACTCTCGGTCTACCAGGGGAGTAGTTATATAAGTTCAGTAAAGCACCTCAAATTAAGTGTGGTTAAAACAATAATTAATAGCACATAATTAGATAAAATAATTTTCTCTTGTTTCCTTGTGTATATTATATAAAGAAAGAGAAGAGCCCTGTCTATAAGCCTATTTATCACATCCTGTCATTGTCCTTTGGGATAGGGGAATTTATTATCCGTATTAATTTCCATAATACAAAGCAGTCACATCTAATGAATGTGCATAATATGAGCACTGATGTGAAGTCATGGTGACAAACACTTGTAATAATGTGCACCTCTTCAATGTCATCAGTGTCAGGGAGAGACTTATTCTCTTCACTCAAAGAAATGTCTTAAAGGTCCTATATTACGCCAGATTTACTTTTGTGAGTTTTAAGCCATATTATAATGCTGTTACTTCTGCAAAAAACATAACTGGAGTTGTTTTTTGTTCATTAATTTCATGTCAATGTCTACCTTTCACCTTTTGTTCAGTAGAAATTGGCAATTCCAGAGCTGAAATTATCCAAATGATTCTAGTGAAGGCGTATAAAGATTAAAAACACAGTGGAGCACTTCTGTACATCACAAGGTGGAACAGTGTTTTCTGTTCTGGAGAAGAACTTGGCCTAAATATGCAGGGTTTGTATGTTAAACATGTGTGAATGAAACAACTCCAGGTATGTTTGTAATGAGGAAACATTATCACATAGTTCAGAAAATATTGCAGTGACAACAATGCAATGAGGGGCAATAGGGTTTGGATTTGAAACAATGAAGACCTGTGAATTTCCTAAAAATGCATTATCGTATATATTTGTAAAAGAAAATTAAATAATTTTAAGAGCAGCTTCTTCAGTTCTGACAGGATTCTGTAAGTCACTGCCTTAAATACATGTCTGAAGGTAGAAGCTACAGTGAAACTAACGCATCGTAGTTGTTTACAGAAAGGAGTATCTGCTGTTAAGTCCACTGAACTACCCTGTGGTGAGGTGTGAACTGTCAGCTGAGTCATATTTTACATAATAATTTCTGCCCCCAGTGGGTGAGCTAACTCCTATTAGCATCACTCATTAGGGACAGAAACACATATTAGGTCCTATATTACACAAAACAGATGCTTGTGAGCTTTAAGTCGTGTTATAATGTTTTTACCTCTTCTAAAAACATACCTGGAGTTGTATTTTGTTTTGTTCACACAACCCATCTGTTTCACCTTGTGATGTCATTAAGTGGTAGTTTTCAAGTGAACAGTTCCTTTTGTATTTAGTTCAGTAGAAATAGGCAATTTCAGGGCTGCTGCTGCTGATGTATTGAGTATTAAAACACAGTGGAGCACTTCCTGTATTACCACATAACATGACATGAGTGTTTTCTGTTTGAGAGAAGAACTCAACCTAAATATGCAGGGTTTGTGTGTTAAACATGTATGAATGAAACAAAACACAACTCCAGGTATGTGTATGATGACTAAACAACATTATAACATAGATCAGAATGTAGTATAATATGAGACCTTTAAGCAGATGACTTGCATATTTCTGCCAAAACTCAAGAAGCTACATATTCATTCCTATAAACTTTTACCCAGTACTGTACACATAATTCTATTTTCTATTTACAATAAAACCTACCTGGACAACTGGACGAAACAGACATTATCATATATTGCCAGAAACTAAATAGTGGCCCCATCTTTATCCTTTCCATTTAGTTTCCATCTCCAGAGTGGGACACCGTGACCCCTGAAGCCAAGAATCTGATCAACCAGATGCTAACGATCAACCCTGCCAAAAGGATCACCGCGGACCAGGCTCTCAAGCACCCCTGGGTCTGCGTAAGTCATGCTCCTTTGCTGTTTGCACTTCAGAGACGATCAGAACTGCTGCCAAATGCTGCTACTCGAGGTTTTCAAAGCTTTATTAAATTTCCTCATTTTAACTGCAAACTCCTACTCTCTCATTGTCTCCTGTAAAGCTTCTTTTACAGGCACACATACAGTATGATTATTAGAGCGCATATTATTAAACTTTTTTTTTCTCCACATATGTTATTAAGAACACTGGCAAAAAATATACAATGAAATATACAGTTAAATTGTCCCTATTTTCTTTTTCTCCAAATGTACACGCACAGTGTGATAAAACTGTATAAAATACAAGCACTTAGATATGGAAATATAATTATAAAGTTTTTGATGAAATTGAGTTATTCATATATTCTGCAAATTATTTTAAAGATTTTGTAGAGTATGGTTGCCTGGAAATTCCGAATGATAACGATAGTTACGACTGTAACTGCGGTTCTGTGAATCCAGGATGACCGGGCGGTGCGGTGCTTCAAGCACTGTATGATCCTTGTGCATGCGCAGGTTGAGAATTTAGTAACAACAAAGTCATCCTTGACCTCCAGCGGCTCAGGTGAATCTATATAATCACGTGACACCGGAAGCTCTGTCCCTCAAACCTTCAACCTCAAACCTCTCGTGAAAGCACAAGGATTCCAAGGGACCGGGCACTCTGGCGGTCATCCGGGATTCATAGAACCGCAGTTAGTCGTAACTATCATTCCATTTGATACCTACTGATGGAGGATGGAGGAGCCCGTAGGGCCTCAAGTACCAGAGAAAGATCCCACATCGGGACAACAGGGCAGTTGGGTGGATGCAAGCTGCAAGCACCCTTCAGACACACCAAAATATCCTGGTTACGGCCAACATTAGAGCCATTCCACCCTGCATGCCAGCAGTTAATGGCAGCAACATATACCTTTAGGCTAGATGGCGTACGTCCCTGATTCAGCAACCCCTGCAGGAAAGAAAGACCCATAGGGCACCCGCATTGGTCATTTTGTCCCCTATGTCTCTAGCGTATTCCAAGAAGACTAGGCTGGGCCTTGCATGGGCCACACCCAGAGTTTCAGGTGGCTGGGGTTGGGATGCAGAATCTGACCCCCCAGTTGCGACAGGAGATGCCTCCTGGAGGGAACACACAATGTGGGTCCGCTGCAAAGCCTGAGCAGCAGAGGAAACCAGGTCCTCGCTGGCCAGAAGGGAGCCACCAGAAGGAGACTATGGCCTTCCGGAAGGACCCGGAGCAGTGTCTGAAAAATCAGAGGAAATGGTGGGAACGCATAAAGAAGGGTTCTGGGCCAGTCGTGAGCCAGTGCATCCTGACCCAGAGGGCTGGCGCAATCTGCCAATGAAAACCAAAGGGGGCAGTGAGTCGTCTTCTGAGATGTTCGCCCTGCCGAACAACTCCAAAATGTACTCCACCACCTCTGGGTGAAGCCACCATTCTCCTGGCAACGGCCCTTGTCAAGACAGGAAGTCCACTGACGTGTTCTGAACCCCTGGAATGTGCACAGCTCTCAGACTGGCGAAGTACGGCGCAGCCCAAGTCAGGAGGAGTTGTGCCATCCTCAGCAAGCTCTCTGACTGGGTGCCCACCTCGTGGCTTATGTGAAAAACCACACTGGTGTTATCGGACCTCACTACCGCATGTCGTCCCCGCAGATATGGCAGAAAATGATGCAGAGCAAACCATACAACCATGAACTCCAAAACGTTGATATGGAGCCTGCTCTGGCGTAAGGACCATAACCCTTGTGCTGCCCATCCCTGCCACATTGTGTCCCTGCCACATTGCACCCCTACCCACTAGGGATGCATCCGTGTGTACAACTTCCCTCCTGGAGGGAAGGGGACCCAAAGGAATGCCTCGCAACATGAATTCCTTGTTCCTCCATTGAGACAGAGATGCCATGCATTGAGAGGTGACAAGCAGTCGTCGCCTTCTGTGGGCATGAAACGCGGGGTCCAGGTGTAGGCCATTGAGCCTTTGAAGTGGGTGCAAGGAAAGGAGCCCCAGGGGAGCCACAGCTGAGGCAGCTGTCAGTTTGCCAAGGAGGCTGAGGAACTTTACGTAAGGGAGTGTCCACTGAAATTCCGAGAGCGTTTCCAGAATGTCCCTGTGCCTTTACTGTGTCTCAGATAATCGTGATCTTGACTTGACTGGGAACAGACGGCCGGCGGCAGAACTGTAGTTGATATCCCCTGGACAAAGTGGCCACAACCCAAGTATCCGGGCTGTGTGCGGCCCAGTAGTCAAGTTGTTCCGGGGCAAAATGTCCCACTGCCGCTATCACAGCTTCACCTAGTTGCCCTCTGACTCTTGAATCTCGGGTCTGGGCCCGTGGAGGAGCCCCAGTATCCGAGCCACGAGGTACAGCAATGGAGTGGGGCTGCATTGGATACCTCCAAGAAGGAGGAGGAGGGGCAACTGGGGTTGTCCAATGAGGTGCTCGTCTATGAAGCCCTGCCAACTGCTGTCTTGTGCAGCTAGCCTGGGCCGTATGTTCCAAGGCTTCCAGGGCAGCTGAACCAAACAGCTCTCCAGGGAGAACCGGAACACTCCGCAGTGTCCGCCGAATGACTTCCGAGAGAGGGGACTGTGCCAACCAGACCTGACGCCAGGCTTGAATTAATGTTGATAGTAGACGCCCAAGTTCCCGCGACATGAGGGCGAAAGCTTGCAAGGATGCATTGAGCAATCCTTGCTTAGGCTGGTCCACCGGAACAGCCTCCAATGAAACAGACAGGCCAAGCAGCAGATGGGACAGAGAATTCCTAATTCGACCCATGTGGGCTCCCATATCTTACCTTACAAAGCACATCGTCTATAACACGGCATTGCGGTCGCGGACACCGGGTATTAGTCCGCAGTGTCTCTTCAGGGGGAACAATAAGTGAGGCGATGGCCAGCTTCACTGCTGGCATGTGTCCCAGACCAAACTTATGCGGATCCTCCATCGCTGCCAATGCCCGACCGAAGTAGGCTTTGATAATGCCTTGGTATCTGTCCAACAGGCATTAAGTTCCTTTACATATTCAGTCAAGGGTGGAACTGCAAAGTGAAAAGTAGGAGACTGCCGGTGAATGAAGACACTAAGGGAGCCATTTCAGCCAATGGCACATCCAGTTTTAAACGGCCAAGAGCTATGTGTATCACTGCAGTGACAGACTCATCGCTCCCAGCTTGAGAACAGTTAGAGCATAGGGACCCTGAGTCTGAGACTTTAGAACTCAGGTCATCACACCCCAGTTGAAAATGGGTGTCAGAGGCCGCTACAGACATGGCATCATCACATACAGAGGCCACATCCTGCTGTTGTTGGGGAGCCACCACACGGCTGGCATCCGCTTGAAGGTCCTGAATTAAGGCCCGCATTTGGGCCAAATCAGATGACAGTGTATCCACCTTAGTAGACAGCTTCCCCGGAACCCCCTTCTTGGGCTTCTTACGTGGAACACATTCCACCCCAGTAGAATGTTGCTTGCGATTAATAGGCTGGCCAGCAGGTAAAAGGTCCAAAGGTCCCGCGGACATCCAAGAATCCAGCCAAACGGGCTAAACGCACAGACCGGGGCAAAATACTGCAGTTAGAACATGCATCCTCAGTGACGGCCTCCTGCAGATGTTCTTCCCCTAGGCAGGCGGGACACAGGTCATTCCCATCATCAGGCTGTAGTGGAGCCAGACAGGACTGACAACATAAGGACTCTAGCATTAACGCAGCCCAATATAAGGTAGAAGTCCAAAAGTCTGTACGTTCCGAGTTGTGTCGAGCAGAAAACGCCAGTAGCGACTCAGCAATAAACCAGCGTGTACCAATGAAGACGAGGCCAGCTCAGGTCGAGCAGGGAACGTGACTAGTGGCCTGCCAACAACACCGTATCCTAAACCGGATACTCCGTAATAGGGTCAGATCGAGCAGGGAACGCAACTAGAGACCCACGCTGATCAATGGTACTAGCAATAATCACGAAGAATAAACCGCACTTGTACAGCCCCATGAGGGCGCGGGAACTCGCAGCGCCGACTCTTGTACAGTCACGGGGCTACAGGCGACAAGCAGCGATAACAAAACAGTGGAAATAGCAAAAAGGTTTTGCAACACATCCACCATGCAACCTGCGTGTGAGAAGGTGAAAAGGGACTGAGCTTCCGGTGTCGCATGATTATATAGGTTCACCTGAGCCACCAGAGGTCAAGGGTGACTTTGTTGTTACTAAATTCTCGACCTGCGTATGTGCAAGGATGATCATCTAGTGCTTGAAGCACCACCTCTGGTGGTCAGTAGGGATGAAATAGAACTGTATTTTTTTAGACCAATCAGTATCAGTCTGGTCCCACGCTCTTCACTGAATCTCAAACCCGGTCAAACGTGATTGTGTTTTTCAGTGATGCATGTGAAACAAAGGAGCTCATTGGTCACATATCATTTACAAATAAAATCTAATTATCTCACTTCAGAGATCAGGGCTTTGCTCATTGATTTTGCAGAAACCCACGATGTATTTCAGTCCTTTGTGATATTTTTGTGCTTTATTTTTTTGACATGGGTCTGTGTGTGCCCCTAATCCACCTGTCAGTCATGCCCATTTGAAAACGGTGAGATTTACTAGTGACCAGACTCACATCTTCATAAAGTATTGACAAAGAGTTTGGTATTTTATCAGGTTCCAGCAAAATCCTATTTCCTGGTTCTATTATTTTTCATGACTTCATATTTACCCAGAACACAGGTCCTTTTCTTCTATGAGCAAATTTTTAGACCTTTTTAACATAATTTTTTTATTCACAGCAACGTTCCACTGTGGCTTCCATGATGCACCGTCAAGAGACTGTGGAGTGTTTGCGCAAATTCAATGCGAGGCGGAAATTAAAGGTAAGTGTATGGAAAGTTGAAAAAGTATACATGTGGTATTTGAAAGAAGATAATTTTAAGTGTTTCTTCTCTAGGGAGCAATTCTCACTACAATGCTGGTATCCAGAAACTTTTCAGGTGAGTAATTATTTAGGATCCATCCACTATTTGGTACACTCACAAATAAAATGAGAATATAGGTGTTGTTAGAAACAGGAAAAAACTAATTTAGAAGAAGTTATATATTTGGTATGAGAAAAGAGGAAGCAGATATGTGTGATAAGCGTTGAAAGGAAGCAGCCGTGATGGTAATTTCAAATAGTGGAAAAAATCCACAATACTTAACAGTAGTTTATAAATCACTTAACAAGTTATTAGAACACATTTCCGTCCAAGTTCACATTACATTGTCTGTGCTGTCTTCAGTTAAGTTTTTCCCTCTTAGTGACTTTGGCTTGGATTTCCATCTTGTAAGCAGTTTGATCACCTAAATGGAGTGCATGTTGATTGAACACCCAATTTGTGGGCTGGCCCCTGTCCTAGCAGTCTAATGAAATAATGTTATTGGCCTTATGTGTGTGTACTTTGAGTAAGGCTGAGTGGCTCCTGTGGTCAGAATGGATTTAGACTAGAGATGGAAGACAAGCTCTGAACAACATTAGAGTCTGTAGGAAGGTTTAGTGAGTTATCAGGTTGTTAATAATGTGTTACATTTGCTTAACTTCATGGTCGCTCTGCATTTTCAGCAAAGTAAGAATCATTTCCTCTGATTTCACTCCAAATGGGTTAGCTTTTGTGAATGTAATGGATTGACTGAAAAAAGAACTAAACAAAAACAAAAAAAAGATTCAACCAGCAAATAAGAATATCTAGCCAGGGTTAAAGAGTGCAGTTAAAGTGCCTATGACAGGTTAGACTACGCATTTTACTAAAAGACATCTAAGATCATTACATTTAAGATTTAGCTAAGAAAAATATATCGCATTTTCTTTCCTAGTTTAGCCATTTTCTTAGAGTTCAAATTTAACTTCCTGGTAAGAAATCACCCTAACAACAATCTGGTACACAAAGCCAAAACTCCTGTAATGTGCACATGAACATGAACAAGAAAACACCTTACTTTGTCATGTTTAAATTATCAGAAAAAAATGTGTTTAAGTTTTAACTTTTGGACAGTCTCCCCAGGGTGATACCATCAATATGGAACCCTCGAAAATAAAACTCTACTTCCTGTAATTTTCAATATATTTTTTTGCTTTTCTTCACAAATTGCTTCTTGATTGGTGTAAAACTATAATTTATATTTTAGGGCCGGGCACGTTAACGCATTAACTTTGCGTTAACTAATTAAGTCATTAACGCCGAAAATTATTTAACGCCGTTAACGCAGTTTTTATTATTTATGTATTTATTTTCTTGTAAACGTCTGTTTCTCACTGGCTTTTATTTTGAAAAAGTCCACCGCGAGCGTTTCTTTAAGTTTGACGTCTTTTCTTGACACTTTTTTCACTTTTTTCTGACCACGTGAGATGCAACGTACCCGAGCATCCGCGAACTGCGGGCCCGGCCGCGGGTTCGGCCGCAGGCTCCGACTCCCATCGCGACTCCGGCCGCGAGTTCGGGCGGGGGCTCTGGTCGCGGGCTCTGTTCGCGGACTCCGGCTCCGACCGTGAAGCCGCGGGCTCCGGCTCTGGCCGGACCAGCCGTGCGCTCTGAGCTGAGCTTATTTCTTTAGTTCAGTGCTGGAGTAACTGATTTACCCAGATACCATTGGAAGAAAAAATGTGATTGGTCCATTTCCATTCCATTATATTAACCCTTTGTTTCCTAAGAAATATCAGTCCAAGTTTATAACAATGATTTAGAAATTATTACTAGTGTAGTGTTCATTACTCAAAGCATAAAAAATATTCAATAAATATATTAGTAGTACAAACATCCATTCAATATTTTTGCTTGAGCCTTCCCTGAATAGCTTGAAGGCTCTGAGGATTCCCCTGTGAAAGAAATGCTGTTTGCACAACAAATGTATGGCTTTCATTTACATTTCCAATAAAAGAGCGCTATACTCTACTTTTTAATTCATTAATTGGTTTTGCATATAACATGCGATTAATCGCGATTAAAAAAAATATTTTTGCCCAGCCCTATTATATTTACAATAGGTTTTGACCCATCAAATTAAGTCAAAATTAGAGATTCATCAAAACCTGTCATACGCACGATCATTGAGGGCTTTAGGCTGTAGAGTCTCTGGTCCCAGTTAAGCATACACATCCAATCCCTCTCTGTCCATTAGTGGGACGGCAGCACACCAGCCCTGCCGCTACCACCAGCACTGCCGCTATGGCTCAGGAAGGTACGTCTGCTACAGGAGGGTGGAGCCTCGCACCGCCAACCTCATACTGGGGGCTGCGGAGCTTAACTGTCCCACCCATATTAAACCTTTTCGGGTCTGAAAGAAAATCTCCCATTAATTTATTTCCATAGACTTTTTGAAAAAGTGAAATATTGGGAGTTTAAAGGTACAACAGAGGCAAGTTATGCATTAACGAAATTCCATGGCCTAATTAGTCCAAAAAAGATATTAAAAACCTAAATGTCTTTCTAACATTGCTGTCTATAATGTGTCTGAAATATACTCTAAATTAAATATGGCATGAATCCTGAAAGCTTTGAACCTTATATGTTTGGAAAGTCTGTGAGAAAGATATATGGGAATTCTTCTTCCAGAGCACTCAAGGGGGAGCGGGACTGTTGAGCTCCATTGGCACGTGCCCAGCTAAACCCTGTAGCCCCTCCATAAGCCTGCTGCCTGCCGCCCCAAACGTAGAAATCCCATTGATATAAAACAGTAACTGCACAATCTTTCCGCTCTTGATCTTTTGATTACAGCTGCGTGAGTCAGTACTTAAAGATGCACTGTGTAACATTTCTGGTGATGGGTCCACTTTCTGCTCGTCTACATGGAGATGTTGTTGCTTGCTCTGGAATGTCCCAATGTACCCATCTTGTATTTACTAAATGACATGGGTTTTTGTTTGACTTAAAAACTGCTATTCTCACTGTGAGTGGGCTCACCTCTCCAAAGATTTGACATGTAACGTGTCCTGGTGATATCACCTGCAGTATCCGTAGCGATAAATAAGTGTAATGCCATACTCATGCAACATCTCCATGGAGAGGAGCTGTGAGGACCCTCCACCAGAAATGTTACACACTGCACCTTTAAATGAGAGCTGCTCTTGAGAACGACCTGTTTAATTTTCAGCGTCCAACACCAGGGACATTTAGCCGACACATAGCATGACCCCGTGACCTCTTTGCTAACGTAGTGCAGCTGCCACCTGGCCCACTCGCCCTGTTTACTCCAGTGCTCTAATGCCAGCCTGCATATCATCACTGCGGATAATAGCCTTAACCTTTAATTCGACTAAACAAACACAGCAGTATCCAGACAGTGTCGCACTCGGAAATGCATCCCCCTGAGTTTGATTTCTTTTCAAGTCTGCCTGTGCTAACTGCTACTGTTAATACAGCTACTGTTAGTGATCCAAGCGTTAGGCCTGTCATGATAACAAACCTTGAAGTGCGTTATATTGCTGAAATAAATGTAGACGATAAATGATAATGCTGTATTGCAACTAATTTATGCCATTGACACAAAAACTTAAAGTGGTTTTAAACCACAAAAACTATTCTAAATCTACAGTAGTGTTAAAAATCATGAGTTGCAATAAATAAACAGCAGAATGAAACACTTAAGTACTTAGTTTGCATCTGTAATTAGTCATAAAAGGCATTAATTCAACTTTTTACAACTTAAATCTTATTGCATATCCAAAAAATATTCAAAAATTTCCCAGTAGTGCAAGGAAAATGTACACACCATAAACACTGACCCCAAAAACTATTATTCCATTTTTTATATATTGAACGATAAGTGGATATAGTAATTATCCTGGCAGGCCTACCAAGCATGTCTACAAGGTGTATGTACTGTATAGTGCATGGGAAGCTGAATGCACAGGGTGGATTTTACTATGTGCCTGATCTGTTGTTTTGGTTTGACTAATGACATTTTCAATAAAGAGCCAGTGTGGTGAAATCTAGCGTCACATTACTGAGTCACTAAATATGTACGATATTTCCCCAAAATAGTTTTTCTTCTCAAAAGTGCATTATGTATCTTTTCCCGTGGGGGGCCTGCACCTTGTTTCCATGAAAATGTTATTGCTTTGTCTGGAATATTCCGCACAATGACATTAAACTTATCTATCTTGCATTTATTCAATTACAAGTGTTTTTATTGCTTACAAACACATACTTGCGCTGAGTGGACTCGCTTCTCCACAGATCTGATGTGTAACTTGGCCTTTTTACATTACTTGTTTGTCTCCATGAAGATATGTTCAATGTCATACTGTGGAACATTTCAGGTAAAGCAGTAACCTCTCTAGACAAAGGTAGTGGGCCCTCCACCAGAAAAGTTAACATAGTGCAACTGAAAAAAAAAAAAAATGAACAAAAAGTCTTGCAAATTATGTTGTCAAGCCTCAAAGTGGATGCTGCATGCTGGACATGTAAATGAGATCTGGTCATTGCATGATACCAGCAGTTACTGAAATGATTTTGGTAATAATAAATATTTCTTATTGTCTTTCACTGTCCTGCTGTCTGCTTTTAATTGGCAGGTAAGATGTCCAACAATGCTCAATACATTTATTACAGTACAAATGAGAAAAAGTACCTGAATTTGAGCAGTGCATTTTTTTTTAATTGTTGAAAGGAAATATTTATTTTACTTTTTATGGGTTGAGTAATCTGTTTTTGACAAGAAATTCATATATTGTAACTTGTTTTATTCATCCTAATTTTTTACCTTACTAATTTCGTATCTTGTTACAGCTTGCAAAACTTTACTAAACAAAAAGTCAGATGGGGTGAAGGTAAGTCTTTCTTTTCTTGCCTTTTTAGTCTGTCCTCTTCTCTCCTGTCTAATCTGTCATCTTTAAAATCTCTCTTAACAACTATTCCCTTTTTAACATTCAACATAAACAACAGTGAAATACAGCCACAGATGTCTTTGTAGACCCCAAAATTCAAAACAGTTGCTGCAAAAATAATGGTTTCAAATTATTAAAAATACAATATATGTAATATATTTGGTTTGCCCTTTGCTTTTTTAGTATATGCAATGTCTGTGCATGCAGTGATTAGACATTTCAAGCACTTCCAAAAAAGCACTCATGTCTCTTTTGATAGCAATATTAGAAAAAAACAATACAAGAATATAGTACAAAAAATTACCATCTTACAGTGTAGCTCCAAAATATTTGCCCCTTTTTCTGTTCAACGCATGTGCAGTTTTTATTATTTATTTATTTTATAGGGTTTCAAGCACTACCAAATGTAAGACTATTTTAAGAAATAAATTCAGTAGTAGTTAAAACATTTAATTCCTTATCTGGACTTGTAGGGCTGATTTTTCCACGTGCTTGGAACCCACAGAACACTGCTTGCACTTTTACCTACACTTTTGATCAGTTCCTTGTTTTTTCTATGATTATTTTTCCTCCTCCTCTTCATTGGCGTCTGTCAGAAAAGGAAATCCAGCTCAAGTGTTTGTTTAATGGTGAGATCAGCTGACGTTTCTTTCGCTCGTCTTTTTCCCCCTTGTTTTTCTCCTGTTACTCAGTTGGCAGAAGTGCTTTTACACATCATCTATTTCAGTTTCCCCCAACTCCATCCAACATCTCCAGTATCTCCTTATGCCCTGAAAGCCAATCATTTATTTTATACCCAAACTAATCTCCTCCAGTCATATCATATTTATCATTGCTCATTCTCAGGAGGTGACATTTGGTCTGGCGTTCAAGGCTAAATAAACAGTAGATGGATAGATAAGATAAGATAGATAAAATAGATTAGATAGCATTTGGATATATGTATGTAGTACTCACATGTTGAATTTTAATTGTTAATTTATATCATTTTATTGGAGCATCTTGCTGTTGAAGTCTGTCTTGGTCACCTGCTCAACCAACTTTCCATCCAGTTTAACTCCCAAGTTTTCCAGCTATGGCTTGCTCACATTAACCACTTTGTGTAGTTATAATTAAATTAAAGGCTTAAGAGGCTGTTTGATATGGGAGATCCACAGTTGAACTCAGCACTTTTGTTAAGCTGCGAAAGTGGTTTGGTCCACCACATACAACACATACTGTACATAGCTCTTAAAGCCACACCACCAGCCACACTAGGCTCAGTGCTTTGCTACCTAGTTTAGAAAATTTGCTCCATTCGTCCTCTTTCTAACATATTAGAAGAGCTTAAGCCATGATCCTTTTGTTATTTTAGTCATTGCACAGATCGTCTTTGCGTTGTGTAGATCTGGTTTCACATCAGTTGGTCAGTCTATTTTTGCTGCTTCATTTTAAGAAATGGTTAACAAATATGGAATTATGTACTTATTTGTACAGTCAGGGTTTAGCCATAAACTATAAAGAAGTGGACTGAAGGACAGCTTTTAGCTCCAGTCAAATGAAGCTCATGATATTGTCAGATGTCAGTTATAAGAGTGAATTTGGAGCCAGATTCACATTAGGAATAGGAATTTATTTATGTACAAAATAGCAAAATAAAAACATCAGGATTATGTAGAGCAGGTTGATAGAAACATTTTCAGACCATAATGACGAGGCTCACTGCAGTAGTTACAGAAAATGGGCTGACCATTTTTCAATGTGAAGTCAGCTGGAGCCAGAGTCGATGGAACCCGATGTGCCCCGATGTGCCCCGATGCTCACTTCCTATTTAGCATGTGGCTAGCAGATTAGCTATGTCCATTTATATATACAGTGTATGAGGTTTAGCACACTAAAGAATATACTTCTTCTGTGTAAAAATATATTGCCTCTTTTTAATATGACATTGCAATTCAATTTGGCTAACATACTAGTATATTTTTTGTTGGCAGCATGTATAGACTTTGAAATGAGAAACCATAAAATTATTTTGAATTTTAAGCATACCCAGGATATCTTTTCAGCCCAGACTGTCGCACTGCAAGTAGCAGCGTTGTTCCTGTTATGTTTTTTTGTTTTTCAATTGCATATAGGCAATAAAATGGATTCTCACTGCATGCACTGACTTAAGACAGAGAGTTAAGTTAGCTCTAGTGGTTTCTTAATTACTGTTGTCATTTACTGAACCATTACACTTAAACAACTATAGTATAATTTAGTATATTTAGTATATTCTATTTTTATATGTACACTAGTCCCAGCACAGTCCAATTTGAATGTGGCCCCTCAGATTTGCATTGGTCCGCTGACTCCCTTGCCTCGTGGGGCAGCGGGGGTCCTGTTTTATGTTGTGTTTCTTTGCCCCAGTCGCAGGGAAACAGTAAAAACAGTGTAGTAAGCAGCAGCAGCACCAAAGACAGCAGCATGTCATCTACAGCTCCAATGGTACCTCATCTTTATTTGGTTTCTATCACATTGCTTTAACCAAGCTCCATTTCACCTACTTCTCTCACCCTCTTGACCTTTTTGACCATTTTTTTCAGTTTGTGAGTTTATCTTTTTTTTAGTCTGTGCTTTGTGACACCACCACACTATCCATTCTCTGCCTATCTGCTTCTGTTTTAACACAACTGTAATATGCTGGAGGTGTTTCTATTGACAACTTGTTAAATGATGTAGCAGTGAGTGGTTTTGGCGATCTCTGTGTGGGCTTGTGTTTTACCCAGACCTCTTGTTGACATGTGTACGTTTTTGCTGACAGACAGAGGAATTGCTTTCATTTGCACTTTGCCGGCAGACATCTCAATCACATCTTGGTGACTCCTCGCTCCACTGAGCTATACGCTGTTAAAGGGTCTATATTACGCCATTTTCTGATCCATATTATAATGTTGTTTCCTCATCACAAACATACCTGGAGTTTTGTTTTGCTTCATTCACACATGTTTAACACACAAATACTGCATATTTAGGCCAAGTTCTTCTCTTAGACTGAAAACACTCTGTTCCACCTTGTGATGTCATGTGGCAATACAGGAACAGCTCCATTGTGTTTTTAAACCCCATACAGCTTCACTAGAATCATTTGGATAATTTTAGCCCTCTAAGTGTTGGTCCCTACTGAACTAAAGGTAAAAGTTAGCTGATATTTGACATGTTACTCTTAAAATGTGTGAATGAAACAAAACACAACTCCAGGTTTGTTTTTGAGGAGTTAACTACATGGCTTAAAGCCTCCAAAAGTTAAATTCATGTAATATGGGACCTTTAAGGTGGACCGGTTTGCGCTAGATATCCATGGGTTTCAGAAAGATGCAAAATTAGCAGCATTGCCAAAGTGATAAACAATGGTAATGGTATAATGTGCTCTCTGCTCCCACTCCCCTCCGCCGACATGCACACCATTACAGACTATTGCCTGTTAGGATTCAAGCTCAAACCTTATCTATTCAGTCTGGCTTTTCAACACTTTAATGCAGTGACACTGTACAATTTGTTTTATTTCATTGTTTCATATTTTGCATATTTTTATATTGTGTTGATGTTATTGGGAAGTACTTTGATGAACTTATGATCCTAAATGGCTCTATAAATAAAGATTGACTGATCTGAACAATGTAAGTGAAACCCATGAATGCACTGCAAAGAATCACTAAAAATAACATTATTAAATGATCTTTCAAGTCAAATGATTCCTGGGTAAAGCATAAGCTATAATGAGACTGTCAATGTGGAAGTGATTTTTTGAGCATGCGGCCTGTAACAGTTTACTAAATTAAAATGGGGGATTAAAAAAAACAAACCCAAAACATATTTTTTAAGATATACAAAAATCGCCTACGTACATTCAAACATATAACTAGAATAGTGGTTCAAATGACAGGCTGCATACTCCTTCAGTATTCACTTGTTGGCTGTGCTTTGAATCAGATGAACACTGGTGGGATGTGGACAGCTGCTAGTGCCTCTTGGAGCTGTACTGTGCCAAAATCTGTTTTGACAGACTCATGACTGAGGAAGAGCAATGACAACAAGTCTGCCATGATTTCTAATACAGCTCTAGAATAGAAAAATACACATGATAATGCAATGTCCCAGGAACTGCAATGTCCAATGTCAGTAACTTGAAGGTGCACGGTCCATAGTATGAAATGTTGCACAATGCACCTTTATTAATATGCTAGGGACATTTGATAGAGGATTTAGTTGCATAAAAGTATGGCCTTAAAAGCTGGACTATGTAACTTTATGGTGGAGGGTATGTCCCTTACTTGTCTGCGTAGATGTTGTTTTGCCTGGAATATTGGTTGGGCATTGAAACTTCTTCCTGCATGGAGACAAGCAGGTGATGCCATCAGGTTTAATGCCACACTCTGAAACATTCCAGGCCAAGCAATAACGCATAGTATACCTTTAAATACTTGACTAAGTGAATCCATCTATAACCTGATTGCTCGTCCTCAGTCTGGTTTGCAATTCAGCTGTGTGTGTTCATGTGCGAGTGTGTGGAGACATTATAGTACCCGACCTTATAATCGTCAGCCTAAAGACACCACTCGTCAGTTACATTTGCTCCGTGTTTTCGTATTGTGCGTGCATTGTCCTGGTGAAGTCAGGGAATACTATAGCTGGTATTTCCTGGCCTATTCCCTGTGTTTGCATCCCTTCCCTGCATGGTAAAGTGTCTCCTGCCTCCCCTCCCCAGGAAGCCCAGACAACTGTTGTGCACAACCCAGCTGACGGCACCAAGGTAAGCCCCTCCCTCATTGTCACAACAGCCAAGGCTCACACCTGCAGGGGGCGCTAGAGGCCAGAATCATAGTTTATTTAGTATATAGCCAAGTATTAAGCAGATTTTAATTGTTATCCTGTCTTGTATTATTGGAATTCTATTTGATTTATTGATCTTTGTATATTTTTATTAAAAATATTTTACAAAGCATACACCCACAAGACAACTTCAAGTATTAAGGCTGTTAGTGTCTTGCCAAATGTATACAGCTTTTGCGTTTAGAAAATAAAACAAGTTAAAGGTCCCATATTACGCTATTTTCTGAATATACCATTGTTTCATTCACACATTTTTAACACACAGAAAACACTCTGTTCCACCTTGTGGTGTCATATGGTAATACAGGAATTACTCCACTGTGTTTTTAAACTCCATTCACCTTAACTATAATCTATTCGATAATTTCAGCCCTGGAATTGCCAATCTGTAATGAAAGATAAAAGGACGGTGTTAATTTGAAAACTACTGCTTCATCACATCACAAGGTGGAACAGAGCATTTTGAGCATTGGAGATGTAAACAGACTAATAGTAAAGGCTTACTCATACATGAATGAAATTCATGTGAATGAAACAAAGCACAACTCTTGGTATGTTTTTGATGAGGTAACAACATTCTAACGTGCTTAAAGCTTACAAGAGTCAATTTTGCGTAATGTAGGACCTTTAAATAGACTTCTTTACATTGGTGATTAGTATAGTTTAAAATAGTCCCCACACTCTTAATTAAAATTTACAATACACTTAAATCAGTTTGCTTTGTCACTCTTGGCTCTCTGTGTGTCCTTCTGTTGCTGTGTGAGCTGGTTGTGTTCATGGGTGTCCTTGTTCACGTATTCATCCATCTGAACATCTGAGGAGAGGAAACATGACCTTTTTAGTATTTCCAAAACTTTTTAATAAGTTATTATGTTCGTTTTGTTTTGTCTGTGTGTGACTTTTGACAGGGCTCAACGGAGAGCTGCAACAATGCAGAAGAGGAGGAGATGAAAGGTAGGAAAGGTACTTGTCAAACTTTCACCTTCTCTGCACGACTCCTGGTCTTCACTTTTAGAAAACGCATGCTTTTTGTCTTGATACCTTGCAGCTGATGTCAACATTCCCTGGGGTGTGTGAAACTAACTGTAGACACTGCTCTGTTTGAAACTACTGAAACTGTTACTCAAATTAGACTTTAATCTGAGCTTTGTTTTAACACGATCTGACCATAAAGAACTGCTTTAGCTAGAACTACAAGCTGATTTTATGCTGTTAAACAAGTCACCCATAAATAACATTACTGTCACTAGCTGGCGTGAATGCTCATATTGATGACTATCATAAAATTTTTTTGCTGTGTTTGTAAATGCGTGCGTTGTGTCACCATGGTACTACAGAAACATTTTACCATAGAAAGGTGATAGATGACACCCCCAGCGTGATGTCACTGCAGATTATCAATACTATAGTTCCTCTGTGTATTTTGTGTGTTTGTGTGCGTGAGTGCGTGCGTGCAAACTTTAAAGCTCTTAATTAGATGAGTTCAGCACAGAGTTGAAACATGGGACAGATCAGACCAGCAGAGCTCCAGAAAACAGTTAATCCAGTTAGTGAATGCAGCTCTTCATTGGTTTAAGGGCCACAACTGACATGCAACCTGTGTTGTAACTAAGCTAGTTTGTGGTGTAGTTTTTTCCAGTTGCTGTGTTAATTTTGTGTGAGATAATTTGGTTTACTTAATCATATGACTAGGGATGTCACGATTAAGCAGTTCATTAAAACTTATTTTAATTGTGACAATTTTATAAGTAATATTATGAAGTAAAGCTCAGAAAAGTAAACCTAAATTTGTAGCGTTTTTGTCTCCCACCATTCTCCCACCGTTTATGTTGTTAACTTTATCATGCAAAATGATGATCTGTTAGACTTTGTGAGTGAAAATTAATTCAAGATTTCACTGTTTGGTTATTTTGTCAATGATCATATCTATAATCAAAGTATGACGTTTCATCTCTCAATGATTGTAACAGTGAAATTTTAATATTGTGACATCCCGATGTAAGAGGGCAGGGACGATCCACAAGATCCACGAAATTTGGATGATAATTTATAATAAGTAGTGTGTTCCAGTTAACACATTTGCCCTTTACAGTGTTTGATTCAGTTTTTTTTATTATTGAATAGTGTTTTGCATTCATTGCAGCACTGCTTTTTGGAAGTACGACTTTTCAAAATGTAACTCACCAGAGTTTAACCCTTTTTGAAAATCCACTTCACATGTAAAAACATGGAGGGAAAAAATCTCATGAGATAATATTTATTATGTGTGCACAAGCTTGTGTGAATTCTGTCTTACACGATCTTGTCCCATCTCTACTACGTACATATAACTTTGTAGCTTGTTTTAAAAGTCTAGAAGTAAAAGTTAAGCATTGCAGAATATTTTTGAATTGTGATAGAGATCTGCAGGGGTTGTGTGCAGTTTGTGTGTGGTTGTAATGTTGTCTAGCATTAGTGTGTGACAGTACCAGTGCAGACAGTGCAGTGTTGAGTCAATACAACACTATTGAAGAGCGCCCTCAGAGCCCTGCCAAAGACACAGCCCCGTCCACTGCTGCTGTAGCCCCTCCCACCTGTAAGTTCCACAAATGACCCTTACGTGTGTCCTTCCTCTTTCAAATTCAGTGTTAATCTAGTAAATCAGCTTTAAGCTATACTTCTCTTTTCCCTACAGTCTTATTATAGCTCCCTATGCTACCATCTAGTGGCCATTATAACAACATACATGTTTTATATCAGTGGTTCTCAATTTTATCACACTCAAGAAAATATTTTGCAGTCAGAGTACCAATAGATCTAAACCAGTTCTATAACAGGACTATTCCAGATCATAACTAGGACAGAACCAGGTCTAAAAAAGCCCAACACCATTGCCACAGTACCTCAAAAATGTGTCTCTAAATTAAACATTTAGAATTGCAGAGGAATGCGCTCACACACCACATGAGAACCACAGTTTAATAGGTACATTTTATCCACTATAGGCACATGATGTATGTATGTAATGTACAAGACTTGAGGAGGGTTCCATGCCGACCAGTTTAAGGTGCTCTCCCCTTTGTGCAGCGGTCCCAGAGCAGGAGGGTCCCCGCTCTGTCCCTGTAATTAACAGAGCAACAGAGCTCCAGCCCAACACCAGTATGTGCCCTGTGTGTTTGTGAGTGTGTGTGTGTGTGTGTGTGTGTGTGTGTGTGTGTGTGTGTGTGTGTGTGTGACTTTTTCACATCTGTAGAGATTAAGATGTGGAGTTTGGTCTCTTTCTGTCTTGGCTAAAGTTGGATCTTTGAAGGGTTGATGTGTAGACTGTTGAGATGCAGTATAAATGGAGTGCTTTGTTGATTTTTCTTTGAATTCTGCTTTTGTCAGTACTGCTTCTTTTTATGTGTGATGTTGATAAGTACTATTTTATGCTGTGATGACATGGACAGATGCATATTTTCATTGTTGTCCTGCACGAACATAAATTACTTTTATTTCTACCCTATTGTGTCCAGCTCGTAAACAGGAAATCATAAAGATGACAGAGCAACTGATTGAAGCAATCAACAATGGGGATTTTGAGGCATACACGTAAGTTATTACTTGAATGGATTTTTAAGAGCTTGTAACTGTGTTTAAATAGTCTTTCCCATAAACTTAGTCAGAGCTGTATTTTTAGTTATTCTTGCATGGTCATGTGGACCTCAACCAAGACCTTTACATTTTGGTATTTTTTAGATGGACTCCTGAAATATTCCCATTGAGATTATCCCAAAGAATTTCAAAATTCGTTTTTGTGATCGGCCAACATAATCTGGACTTTGGCCCTTTGTTGTGATGATGCTCAGCATCGTGTAGCGTTACTGTTAAATTACTGTAATTATTTACTTTTTTTGTTCATTCTTCATTCATCAGGAGAATATGTGACCCTGGCTTGACCTCCTTTGAACCAGAGGCTCTTGGAAACCTTGTAGAAGGAATGGATTTCCACAAGTTCTACTTTGAAAACTGTAAGTTATTTTTAAATATATAAATATATTAATATAACTGAGTCAAATGCACATGTATGTGACCTAATGTTTTTCTCCCTAGTGCTTAGTAAAAACAGTAAGCCGGTGCACACCACGATCCTGAACCCTCACGTGCACCTGATTGGTGAAGACGCTGCCTGTATCGCATACATCCGCCTGACGCAGTACATGGACAGTCAGGGCCGGCCTCGCTCCTGTCAGTCCGAGGAGACCCGAGTGTGGCATCGCCGTGAAGCCAAGTGGCTCAACGTGCACTTCCACTGCTCAGGGGCACCAGCCGCACCACTGCAGTGAACAACGGGCACAGGTAAGTCACAGGGCTGAACAGTCGCTCATTTAATCCAGTATAACTGTTTATAACGGTATAAAATTATTTATTTGCAGCTTTGCCTGAATGCTAAAGCTATTTGGAGAATTTATTCTCCGTGGTCAGATTGGTGCCTGGATCCTGGATAACGGATGGGGCCTCTTGGAAAGTTGTATAATTTACAAAAAAACAAAAGAGGGACATTTATTATTTTTTTCAATCCAAAAATAGTCTACAAGACCTAAAGGTCTGTTTCAAAAGGCTTGTTTGAGTGACTGACCACAGTGAGAACACAGATCCAGTCCAACTCCAGTAGAAGACTTCATGGCTGAAGATCTTCAGCCTGGACAGCCTGCAGATGGTGCATGTTTCAAACGGCCACACGGGGGCACCGTTGTTCTGTTTTCCCATGCCCTTCTTCTTTTTCACCCACTTTTCTTAAAGTATTACCTATATCTATATAAACACACAAAAATATAGATTTTATTGCCAGACACACCACATTTACTGTAGTAGTGCGATGGACTGTGGCTGGGTTTGTGTGGGCTACACACAAAGGCACAGTTGAAGTATTGTTTTACACTTTGAGGTGGGTTCTTTGAGAAATAGCTTGACATAACCATATCATTTGTTATAACAGGAAATAGTTGTAATGAGTTCCTGGAAACACCTTTTTTTTTATTTTTTACTCTTATGTGTTTTTGTCTACTTCTGTATGATGTACGGTATTGAGTGTCATTTTTTAAAAAGAGGGTTTTATTTAAAAGCACTGTGTCATTGTAAATGCATATTTATAGAGAAGACTATGGAAAGGGAAGTGTCCGTAAAGGGAGCATGCAAGTGTGGCTGTGGAGGCGTTTTTTTGTTAGTCTGAGTGTCCAAGTGTAAATACAGAAATGCATGCACACTCTTAACCGCACACTATCCCACTGTCCACATTTTAAGGGGAGACTCTGAGATAAACGTTAGACTGTATACAAGCCTTGACTAATCTGAAGTTGCAGAAGAGACTCCCGCTCTCACCGACAGGAGGCGCATCTAGCGCTCAGTTTCTCCTTTCTGGACAATTCTCCTTATTTGGTTGTGTGTATTTTTAAGTGGGGCATGTTGTCTTTTGATTATGGCTTGTACTGTTTTAGATACTTGGGGCTGGATGCAGTTGTGTCTTGAAGAGATGGACTTTTCTGCAGCTTCAGATGTCGCTTGTCAACACCCTACCCCCGTTCCCCCTCTCCTCCCCTCCTACCTCCTTTTACAGTCCCCCAAATTCTGCCTCAATGACCTCTACATTGTTCTGTCCAGTGTCTTGACTCTGATGTCACCTGTATGCCTGTCCGTTGTTCTGACTGTGTTCTTAGACGTATAAATGTCCGTCTGTTGGCTTGCTGTACCGCGTCACGTCTTGGCACTTCTTGAGCATGTTTTTCAACAAGGAATGCAGTACAAACGAGAATTTGGATTTAAAAGGCACATTTTGAGACTGAGTGGGCTCTCGGCAATCTAATGGCAATCAAAAAGTCACTGTTTCTGTTATATGATGATGTATGGTGTGAACTGAAAGGAACTGTATTCCACATGCGTTTTATACTCTGCTTAACGTCATTACACTCTAAATGTAGATGTAAAACTACTTTTGTCGCGTTAAGTCATGAAAGCACACGTGATCAACATTTTCCCTTTAAAACAAATTGAACATATCTGCGTAAGTGCGTGGATTTTCACCGTGTAGTTGGTAGAAACGTGTGCGTGTGGATTTTTATTGGAACTGGGGCTTGCTGTGCGTCTTCTGCTCCACAGTAATAAAACTCTACTTAACTATGCGCATGGTCACCGAAAAAATAAATATTCATTGTGGAACGTCACGAGTCACTGACACACAAAGGAATAAAAAATATCCATGTTATACACGTACTGTGCTCAGTACTGTGCAATGTGCCCTGTCACGCGTTTTACGCACCGCGATGGCGATGTTCGGAACCAAAACATTGTGATGTTTTATAAGACTTTGAAATGAGGTGTGTTTTCGTGTTGTGGGCGCAGTCGTTTGTCGATGTGTAGAACAAATGTGCAAGTTTGTTTTTTCATTACTTGTCCACAGTCTTTTGGAGTACAACGCAGTCTGCGTTCTTTTAATAGGATTTTTAACGGGAGGTCAAGACGAGATCCGAGGGAATCAAACATGTGCACTGTGGGTTTGCCAAAGTATTCGGACAAAGGGGGACCAAGAAAAACGATGCTCATAAAAACCTATTTTCTACGGATTAAACCTAAGATTTGGGATTTTTCAAATTGTATTTAACTTGTAGCTCATTTTTACAAACCCATTTAGCATTGGCCTCTTCAGATTATTTTTCATTCTACAAATAGCAATTTTGCTTTGATCACAATTTTGCACTGTCATTTGATGTTACAGGGTATGCGCTATGTCGCAATTGTATATAAGATGTGTGACCAAATCTCCGATTTCTAAATGAGAATTACCTCACCATTTCTAAATTTTATACGGTCCAAATACTTTGGCAAGTGTAAATTAAGCAAATGGGGGACCCGACGCAATGATTTACAAATGATCATTGGTAAAATGTTATCAAATGTTATGCAGTTTTACAAACGGGAAAGGATTATGCATGTCTTTTTCACTGTTTACTTGATGAAGTGGAAAATCTATGTTATTTGCATCCTGAAATGGCTCTGTTTGAGATATCAAAAAGCAAAGTATTTCACGTGAAAATGCATAAAGAAAAGCAAAAGCCTTAGCTTGTGTGTCCCCCTGTATCTTGGTATCATGGGGTGACTTACTCATGTCTGAGTTAAAAATTGGATGCTGGATTTTTGCATGACCATACAGTTAAATAAAGTCATATTTAAAACAAGTGATTGAGAGGTTGTTCTTCATGGCTTTATTTTTGGAAAAATAATAGCACCAGTATTCAAATGTTTTTGATAAGTTCCGGCCTCCAACAGACTGCATCTTAAAAGACGAAATCAGACAGATTTTACAATTGATGATTTTAATAACATCAAGAGATTTTTGTAAAATTGAAACAGAAAAAACATGTCAGCACTGGACAGGCTGTCACCCAGTCTATAGTAACAATAATCTGTGCTTTTATTTAAGACTGGCTGAGCCTGTTTAATGAATAATGATTAAGCAGAAAGACAAGGACTTTAAGATATAATGTAAATATGTAGTGTGTGTCCATTGAGTTTCTTGCCTCGTATCAATCACAAGCCATGGCTTTCCTTCCAAGGATTCTCTGTGATGTCCTTGAGTCTGGGTATGTGGTTTTGATTGCTCCATGCAGTCTGATTGTTCATTTGAGCAAAGGTTTGTGCCAACATGCTTTTAAAATGTACACGCCAAACTGGATTGCTATAGTCTATGGCTTAAGAGCAGGACAGAAGTGCTGCTTCCCAGGTTCCAGTCACAAAGTCCATGTGAAGATCCAGGGGCATTTCAGAGTCCTCCTTTTGGCTGTGGTGAGTATTGGCACTATAAACCTTTAGTGCATGTCAAATACAGTGGCAAGACAATCTGCCTCAACTTTACAAAACAGTCACCATGATTTTCTTCAGCGCCTTTCCACAGTTTCCTTGATTCAAGGAAAAAACAAAAACTGAACAGAGAAGGAAGTACTTTTCTCTACTGAAATGTTTACATACAAAACCCGGACATATACAATCTTCTTACTGGAGTCTTAAGTCTATAAATCTTCAACACACAGCTCCAAGGCCACCTTTGTCTTTAGATTCCAGGCAGGCCAGAAAGAGAAAAGAAAGAAGAGGAATAAAACAGGAAGAAAAAATAAGCAGAGTTAGAAAAGTAGAGCAATGTTACATCTTAGATGAAGGGACAGAGGCCTGGAGTTACATGCAGTGCCAAAGGATTTAGCCAGAGGGCCAAAGCCATGCAGGAAGGAAGCAGCCTGAAGCACAAAGGAGCGACTTGTGTTTTCACTGTTAAAAACACAGGGGAATGTCACCTTGTGGAGCAGCGGGAGGGTCTGAGACAGCAGCTGAGATTTAAGGGGTATTTAGAGGCAAAGGGTTTGACCAATCAGAGAAGGTGGTGCAAGGGGCCCATATGCCCTGTTGGACAGTCCCATCAGGCTCTGGACAGGAACTCCGTGTGGTAGAAGGCGACAGACAGGGACAGTGAGGGGCACGCGGTTTACAGAAGCAGGATGGATGACATCTGTTACACCATGTTTAAGGTTCCCATGGAGACAGGACACCCCCAAACCCACACCCGTTTGCTCCGCTGGCCCCTCCCACTGGGCACACACTCACCACACGCGCTCAGCATGTGAGCGCACACACTCGACCACGGGGCGGGGTTAGCGGCCTGACTGGGGCTCCCCGCTCCTGCTTTTAGACTTTCTGCCCTCGACATCTGCGGGACAAAGGCAACGGTCACGTTACATCTGTATGACCCAAATTAAAGTAAGTAAAAATAAAAAGAACCAAAGAAGCTGAAATAATAATAAAATAAATAAACAAACTGAAAGTACTTCTAGCATTGACACGCAGAGCAGTGTTCGTCATATGAATATAATATAAATAAATGTTTACAATAATCTGTACAAGAGCAATCTCAAATATAAGCACTTTTCCCATCACTGATGCATTGGTTTAAGTTATTTTTCCAGTGATGCTTCATTCCCAAAATTTTTTTTCCAATCAAAATTTGATGTTTTTCCAAAATGACCATCTCAGATTTCGGGACATTGTGAATGAAGTCTTGGAATTTTTCATGATCCAATGAAACATCCACCACAAAGAAAAATACAAAAAAAGTGTCACATTGACAAAATAAAAACAACAACTTTGAACCCCATTTTGATTGAAAAATCAAAATGACTTTTCAACAGTTCATAACAAAGCCATGCAGTTTAGTAAGAAACAAAAGCAGTGAGTGTGAGTTAAAACAAACAAACAAACACAAAATGACCACATTTTGCTTTGTCTTTGCCAGACTCTTTCTGGGATAAAATGCAACAAACTGAAGTGACACCTCACAAAACACTTACATAAAACCAGAGAAAGCCCTTTACATCATGCTCGTCTGTGAACCAGTTTAAAGAGGGAAACACAATGGTAAAAGCTGGACACAACATTATTTCCAACTGAAGTGAACAAAAGAGGGAAGTGACAGTCCCTACTCCACACCAACAGAAGCCCCCACAGTGACAGTGTCGGACCATCATGCATCAGTGTTTCTGAGTGTTACACACAGCCGTACTCGTACCACAGCGACTGATCCTCTGGGCTCACAGGCTCGTCTGGACTACTGCTCTGCTCAAACCCCCGAGTGTGGGACAGAGGGGCAGTGCTGGGTTGCGCTTTAGGGGGGCCACTGATGTTACTGACTAAACTGGGATTCAGGGACAGGAAGGGCAGGTTTTTAGCAGAGGACTCACTAAAGATAGAGTCCATGAACACAGACTCCACAGTGAAGGAGGGGCCCAGGAGGGACTCTAGATTGGAGAGCTCAGGGTCGTCCAGGCTGTGGCAGGGTAAGCTCAGGGACTTGGGCAATGGGGCGGTGCTGCTGTTGGGGTGGTACTCACTGGGGGTGGGCTGGGAGCGCAGTCCCGCCTTAGTGGGTGCTGTTGGAGGAGATGAGTCCACAGACACAGGCTGTCTGTTGTCCTTGGAGAGCATGTCGTGGATACTGGTGCGGCGTGTGGTGCCCTCTGCTGTGGAGATGACACTGCTGGCCCGGGGCAGGGTGGAGGAGGTGGAGTCCAGGCGGTCGGAGACAGACAAGGCTTTGGTCTGAGTGGACAGGCGCGGGACAGTGCCCTTCACACGGGTGCTCTCAGCTTTACGGAGAGCAGGGCGTCCAGGCTGCATGGAGGACCTGGGAGGGCGCTCAGAGCTGACAGGAGCCGCTCGACCACTGGAGGAGCGCAAGATCCCTCTGCCTTTTGTGGCGGGACGCTCCTTCATTCCATGATCAGAGGACGTGGAGAGGCGAGGAGAGTCCACTGTGAGGTTCTCCTGACTGCCAGACTGCTGATGGACAAATGTACAGGTCAGAGTTAATATATAATCTGCAGATATAAGCTCTCTTGACATCCTCTCAAAGTGTCTGTTAATGTGAGTCTTGTTTAGCACTCACCTCTGTAGGGTCTATCCCCTCATCAAGGAACTGCTGCAGGGACACCACCTCACTGCCGGGGGAGCCGTTCTTCCTGATCTGGGTCTGTCCCAGGACTGTTGTGGATGGGTCCACAGACCGCCGCAACTGCAGAGGGCTCTGGTGAGAGGTGCGTGACATGGAGGGCTGTTGCACTGGGCTGCTGCCGCTGCTGGACCACACGTCCTGGTCCAGGCTCAGGCTGAATTCTCCACTGCTCTCACTGTGGGGCCGGCTCAGGCTGCCATTTAATGTGCCTACAAGACAATATACATACATATGTAAAACGTATATATACATGCATATTACATATGTAATACACCACATTGTTAGAATATAAGGACAAGAGAGGAAATACAATTTTGGGTTGGGAATAATTTCCATTGCATATAAAGATCGGCTCATTCATGCGGTATACGTTCAGGTGAAAAAAGGCAAAGGAGGGGGTAGGTGCAGGTGTTAGTGTATGAGGAGCATACCTTTGGGCTCCAGGGGAGAGGTGAGGTGCGAGTTATTGTTACTATTACTACTGGTCCTGTTGCTATGGAGACTGGAGGGTCTGGAGGCTGACGACACACACACACACAGTGTTATATACAGTTTACAGTTAGAGGTATTCACACAATAACATGCACCAACACAAAGCGGGGCAGTTTGAAGTGACGCCACCCGCTGGGGCAGCAGATGGCTCAGGACAGACAGAGGGACAGGGACAGTGGCTCAGAGCCAGCCTCAGCCCGAAGAGTGCAAAGAACAAGAACAGTGCCAGCAGAGACATTCAGGAGACTCTTAAAGCAAATGTAACTAGTAAATCAAGTGAAAATCTGAATCTTGACAACTGTGGCAATGAAATATATACAGCATAAAATTAAGAAAAGTTGCTGAAAAAATGACCCCCGTGAAGTTTAGTGCCAAGCAAGCAGTGATCACTTACTGCAGATGCTACAGGGCACTTTGCACACCACACTCAAGTCTAAAGAAAACACAAAGTACACGGGCAAAATAATATAACTTTACATAAACCTAAACCACAAGAGTCCACACGGTGTCCTTAGTAACAGACAAGAACCTCACCAGTATGTATACATATCTACATTCAGAATTGGAGCTGCATCTGTCTGCTGGGGACAGAATCGATGTGCACCTGAGCCTTTCTGACACTGCAAAAAGCACAGGACCTGACCTCACGTCTGCTGCTAAGTGCTAGAGAGACGAGACATTTCCTCTGGGCATCACAGAGGAGCAGCCGTGATGGGCTCTGATGGACAATGTATTGGATTCATTGTGCATTCTGGGAACTCATTAGTAATATACAGACAGATAATTTCAAAAGCAACATTGAAATGTTGTTGCCGGAGCCTAACCTGATATATCTACAAGAAGAATTTTCATGTGAGAAGCAATGAATGGACATACAGTATCTGGGTCATTTATGCTCCAGTGGCAAATAGCTGGTGAACTGATTCAGAGCCACTGTCCTCAATATCGTAAAGCCTAGAATAGAGTCAATCCTACTTTCACTCAAGGCAGATCACCAAAAATAGCGTTTTCACACAAGATCAAATTAAACAAAAGAGCAAGATGATAAGCAGTGAGTTTATGGTGAATAAAGCAGAAGACATTTTTGGGAGGGGAGATTTCAGCTCTGTCATTCACGCTTTCCAAAGGTCATCGAATTCTGAGTTGACTCAAACAAAGTGTTTCAATTATCTATGCAGATCCATGCTAATGTTCTACCTTGACTCTTAGGATCATCAGTGGAGCCAGCCACATCCTCACAGGAAGCACCGTCTGTTATAAAAAAAAAATAAAAAATAAAAAAATCATTATTACAGTGCAAGTGTAACTATCTCGTAAACATTCTGGGCACATCTCATTTCTCTTTCCTCGCTTCCTTCCCTTTGATTCCTCTCCTTAATTTTGCAGGAAATGGGTCCCAGCCACAGAGGAGACACAGGGAGAAGACATAAGCTGAGCATGAATGGGACAACCTTTTCTAGTTCCTTAGTTTTAATATCAAATTCAGGATTGTTTTACATGTCAAACATCCGTTGCTGCTGCGCCTGTACTTCATTTGCCTCCTCTGAGCTTTGAGATACCATTTAATAGTGTGCATTTGATTGACAGATGAAAATTGAAGGACCAGGGAGAGGAATCAAGGAAAAAGAATTGAGATGGCCTCTATGTTTGCTACTCTTGCCACCTTTGACCCTGATCCGGAGTTTGTTCCTGCCGTGGCCTGAAGAGGGCAGTGTAAGAGCCTCACAGTCAATAGCGTTGGATGATAAAGCAAGCTCTTTCAGTCTCTGTCCATTGCGTCGTGTGGACCCTGTAGAGTCCAGCGATTCTCCTCCATCCAGGTTGTCAATGCTGAGCGCCCACTGTGCCTCAGGTCCCCCTGCCACCGCCATGGTCTGCAGCAGGTCATTCATGGCTAAACGAAACAAAGGGATAAACAACACGGGGCATTTCAGGGGCATCTCACAGCATCAGAATAGATTGAAATATTTCAGTACTTCAATTAAATTACTTCTTTATGTACATGATAACCCAGTATAATAACTTCTTATTATACTGTATACAATCTTATTCTGATTATGAAATAAAATTATCAACTGAAAAAAAACTAATTGTCTGAATTGTACCTGTATACAGTATTATACTTTTGATCTTATGCTGTAATTATCATCAACTTATTTTTTACATTATCTATTTTAAGCACACATTGAATACAAGTTTATTAGACAAAGTGCAATGGGAGTTGCAGTCAAATACACAATGCCTAAGAAACTGTGAGCCATGAAAATGTAACAGCGAAGCATGAACGCATGCAGACCCACTTCAGGCAGCAGCAGCACAGTCTACAACCAGAGCAGAAGAGAACTCAATATGAGCAGAATAATAAGATGTGAAATGCAGCTGGCTGACAGGGGAGACAAAAAATACACAAGAGAAGATCCGGGCTCATTTGAAGTCGTCCGTGGAGAGTGCAGCCTGGCAGTGATCAATGTTGATATGATTTTAAGAAGTCATGCTTTGTCCAAGATGAGTACGCGCACACACACAGTGCAGCAGGCTCATGAAAGGCAGACCCATTCGCACTCACTGTCAAACCACACACACAGCCTTTCATTCACAACTGGACCACAGAAAACACTACACACTGTGAGTAAAACACGCCTTATTAGCTAAGGTGGAAAAGGAAGCTTAACTAAATCTTAAAAACTGTCACAAGCACAAAGCTATGAGGGGAGAGTCTGGCTAGGTCATTTATGAGTCAGTGACACTTATTCAGGTCTTATCTAAGTGAAGGCAGCAGGCGTAACTCACAAAAGTGATTTTCCTAGGAAGAAATGTTAAGAATTGGTCACTGAAGGGATCACCGTCGACAATGAGTCAAATGCAATTTTTAATGTACAAGTAATATAATGATGGATAGTGTTTCTCACAAGTTTATACTGAGACTATGGTGGCACAAGCAATCCATATTTATTTCATTTTATTCAATAATAATAATAATATTAATAATAATAAATAATAGAATAAATGCAACTTTTTGGCTCTGCTGATTAAAAAAATACTAAATACAGATAAAATAAAGTTAGTTTTAAATGTTTAGAACAGTAGCTCAATTTGTAGTGGTTGTCTAGAACAGGATTGGAACCGCCAACCTTCAGTCCCTTCATATCAGTAGACAAACGTCACAGATGAATACTGTCATTGGGCAAGACACCGAATCCACCTTGCCCCAGGTGTGTGCGTACACTGGTGATGTGTGTGTGAATGGGTGAGTGATTCCTTGATGTGAAGGACTTTGAGTGCGTAATATAAAAATGACACCATTTACAGCAGGCTTAAATTTAATTAGTTTTACCAAGTACAGGTTAATTTTAGACTATGGGGGGCCACCATACTCTCCTCCACTGACAGAAGCAAAATTTGTTCTAAGATGGTTGTACCCTGTCACACCTCTCCGGATTCAATGACCATTCCTTTTTTGTTTCTCCTAGAGTGATAGTGAACGAGGAAAAGCGGCGGAGATAACTAGCTTAGCGGCTAATGAAGGTCTTACACATGGAGCGCCGGTAGATGGCCTTGGCCTTGTCTTTCTCCTTCGATCTGTTCCTCATGAAAGGCAACCTTTTTAGAGCTGTCAACGTGAAGCAGGAGACACACAGGAGATGTGATACAAACAGGGTGTAGGGAGAGAGCGTGTGGAAGGAGGAGGAAGGAAAAGAAAATAAAAGAAAAAAAGGGCAGAACAGAAGGATATGGTTAACGTTATCACACAGAGTCCAGGGAGAGGAACAGGGACAGATCTGAATCCACAAATCAACAGACAATTATCACTAAAATATCTAAAATCTCCATATACTGTACATAATCATATATAGACACAAACATTTTCATTGGGATCATTACTCTATCATTCTATCAACACAGGAGAAAATCTAAACCTGTTCTCATTGCACACTCAAGCACACACTGACGGTCCAATGGGAGTGAACCATGGGTGATGGTTTTTATATTATTGTTTTTGTACACAACACAACTACACACATTTGCACCACATCTGGATGAAACACAGAGGATGCTGAGTATTAAAGGGTGCAATAAAAAACTACAAGACCAAATGCTTTCATGCAGGCATATTTCACAGCCGCTTGATCAATGATTTTAATTTTCTGAAGACTATTTTATCCATAAAACTAAATTAATGTGCAATAAATTAAAAAATGAAACTGAAAAATTAAAAATAAAAGAAAGAAAACACACTGAATTGCACCTTTTAATATATATGATTCTATGTACAATGTAGTTCTTTTATGTTGTATGTTTGTACAGGTGAACTGCACAGATTAACAAGTTGACACAATGAAGCCCTGAATCTGAACTATTCATGGAAACACATCTGAAGCAGGTCAACCTTGGGTCACTGTGCAGTGCAAAGCAAAACTCTAAAACCACTGACGATGGCCATGGACTCACGAAAACATGCCCCGAAAGATTGGAAATTTGGGTCAGAAGCCCCATCCAAACTCATCATACCATTGGTCGAACCCTGCCCTTGGGCATGAGGCTGCTGCCCTCTCCTCCCTTATGAGAGAGATAGAGAAGCACAGGAGTAGTTAAGAAGTGTCCACTGCATTATATGCTATATGATAGGGCCAAGCAATCAGATTTAAAACAGTTATTGTTCTATTCAATTACAAAAACTGTTGCAATTGAAAATATAATTACCTTCTGCTCAGAATTATTCTACCCTGGAGCAAAGTCACTCTAATCTACTGTCTCAGAAAACTTCTATATATTGATAAATCATATTAGGTCTATACCATAGACTGTATATATGAATGGACATGGCTAACCAGCTAGCCGCTGCATTCCAAATAGGAAGTGATCACGGGTGCGCTTCCGTCTCCATCGACACTGGCTCCAATTCAGAAAACATCACCCCTCTTCCCATTAACTGCAGCTGTCAAACTCATTATTTTGCTCTTAAAATGTTCCTACTAACTTGCTCCACAGGATCTTGGATTTTCTTCACTATATTGTCTGTAAATCAATTCCTATTCCTAATATGGAACTTGCTTCAAATTCGCCCCTATAACAGCTAGCCTACGTGAGCTTCATTTGACTGGAGCCAAATGCTATGGGTGATGTCACACTCCCATAGTTCACTTCTTTATGCAGTCTATGGTCTATACTTATATAAAGGTTCAATCTGACAATATACTGTAGAAATAATAGTTTGAAATATTTATTATTTCAGTTATGAGTCAAATAATTGTGAATCGAGCAGTCCTTCTATAGGACGCTCCAAAAATCTGTTCACTATATTATTTTCTTGCTCAGTCTATAGCTGTATGTTAGATGAGTAATTAAGGTCCACTCACTGTTACTCCTCTTGTGAGTGAGTGTGTCATCCAGAGAGTTGGAGCCTGAGCCGATAGAGGAGCTGTCCTGACTGTCCAGGGGCAGAGCCAGACCGTCTCCAGACTCTGAGCGGGACGGGGTCAAGGTGAGCGAGCGCATCCTTTCCCTCTTTGGCTTTATCAGCTTCCTCATTTGCGAAGTGATCCAGTTTCCACGCCTGTGAAGAGGAAGGACAAGAAAATCTGCAGTCTCAATTCAGTTCAATCTCAATTAAAATGTCTTTACACAAATCACAAATTTCAGAAAGTGAGTCTTGTCATAATACTAAAATTTCAAACTCCATGTTGAAATAGGCTTGACAATAGTTATTTTTAATGCTAAATAATAGTTATAATAATCTATAAAAATCTAAATAATCCAAAGCTCAGAAACTGTTTAGAAAAGGTGAAATTTTATTCTGTTTATGTGATTTTGTTAAAGTACTGATACCTGCTCAAATAAACAATCTAGCCTATAAACATTTTATTATCGATTAGGATCTGATTTTTGATCATTTTGACAACCCTAAAAAAAGTCACACATATAATAATATTTTCACTTAACAATTTCAATATTGTTGTCAAAACCTATATTCCACACAGACGGACATCCGTACCTGCGTGGAGGTGAAGGGTCATAAAACTTATATTGGTCCATTATCTTCTCCTCAAGTTTTTCTTTCTGTCTCCTCAGCTCATTTAGCTTGTCTCTGAGATAAACGAAGTAAATATCAGATTAGTGTTTGAATCCAACTTTGTAAAGGTATAATACTGAGGTCAAAGGTCAAAGCAGCAGTCACATGTATTGTCTTTGCTCTACGTGGAAGAGGTCCTTGCTCTCCATGGTCTGCTCCAGGAGAGTGCGGTTCTGTAGCATCAGAGTCTGGATCTGGTCCAACAGGTGACGGTTCTCCTCCTCCAGGTTTCCTTTGAGCTGACTCAACAGCTGAAGATCAGAACACACAATAAAGGCTCTCTCAAGTCTCCGCAACACAGCTGACTACAGAAGTCCAACGTCAAATCTCAAGGGTCATAATTAAGGCAGCTGCTTGTGGAAATGAATAAGCTGTGATTAAGCAGGGATGGGTGGAGAAGCCAAACTTTACTCTCAGGTAAGAGTAAGTTTACTTTAAGGTACTGTAGGAGCCATTTTTCTTTCATTTAGGCTGGGGTTAGTTTGGGTCACTGTTTGTCTGGGCACAGGGTGACCTATATTCGGCTTGGCCACAAGGGGGCAGGGTGGAGTCAAGCCCTATATAAATGCACAGGTGCCAGTGCACTGGGTGTATGGGTGACAGGAGGTCACACGGTTTTTACCGCTCTCTTTACGGCCGGTGGTCTAGTTTTCACTACTCAACTCTGTAATATTATCGAACATCTTTTATCCATTCTACTTCCTACTCCTTTCTGCTTTACGATCCAATCTGCCAATCGGGTAGCGCGTTAGGCCTGGATCCCCTGCACCCAGAGACGACAAAAGGTTAGGACTAAAATTGTCGTTACAGGTACACTGTGTAACTTTTCTAATTGAGGTCTGTCACCTGCTTGTCTCCATGGAAATATGAACACGTTGTCTGAAATGTTACACAGCATTGCATTTAAGTTATTTATAGCACTTATTTCATTATGGGTATTCATAACATTCATTCCAACTGTGAGTAAGGTCACATCTCCACAGATCTAACCTATAAGTTGGCTTAGCAGCTTCACCAGCTTGTCTACATAGAGATAAATGTCACACTGTGGTAAATTCTGGGAATACTGCCCTCTCTGTCCCAGGTCTCTTTGATCTCTTACCTCACACTGGTTGGTGAGTTTAGTAGATGTAATGTCCAGTTGTTGATACTGCTCCTTCAGTTTGGAGAACTCTGCCTCCAGTTTGGTCTGGTCCAACTTGGCACTGTTCAGTTGGCTTTTTATGTTTTTATGGTCAAGCTGCAGAGTCTCATTGTCCTTCATGAGCTGTTGATATGTTGTGTTAAGTCTGAAATAAGAGCAAACAAAAGCAAAAAAAAAAAAAAAAAATCAGATAGATAGATATATTTTTGCTCTTTGTTATTACTGTGATGTGTGAGTTACTATATAATTTCTCTTGAGAATCAATAAAGTTTATATGCCCCAGTATAGATGTACTGTAAAATCAGCTCAGGTCAAAATGAATGCTCTGTGCTGTCTGCATCTAATTTTAAAGTGTTTTCTGGTCTCTGAAAGTTGTGAAATGAGCTCATAAACTAATCACACTGAATAATAAGGATTTCTAGTAGAAATGTGTTAACAAAGTGAGGAATACACAGCTTAAAATGAACTAGTTCTGTTTTTCATAGTTTTTAAAGAGAGTAAAACTCAGGTACAACGCCTTTAAAATAACTAAAGAGTAACTATTATAAATCTGATAATGACCTGTCATTTTCTTCTTTGAGCAGTCTGCACTTGTCAGCTGTAGCCTGATGAGCCTCATTTTCGGATGCCATTTTTTCTTGCTGCTCCTTCAGATTTGTTTCTAAATGCTCTAGATCTGCCTTCCTCTGTAACAGCTGCTTGTACCTGCAAATAAAACACAGTATGGAGACAATGTAATGAAGATTACACCCCTGTTATCCATATAAGTTGCATTTTACTTGTCCTCCAGGTCCCTGTGCTGTTGCTCCAGATTTTTGTGTGAGCTCTTCAATCCTCCATGTTTACCGATGAGAGCCTCATACTCAGCAGCTTGTCTCTCGTGGAGGGCAGCCAGTTTCTCATGGTCCCGTAGCAACAGTTCATATGTGGACCGGATCTCCTCCTTCTCCCTCAAAGCCCCCTCCCTCTCCCCCTCTAGCCCACTCTGCTGACTCTGCAGCTGGGCATTCTGGGCCATCAGGGACGCACTCTGGGAGCTCAGCGTGGAGTTCTCAACCTGGAGAAGACAGAAGAAAAAGTCATGACTAGATTTGTTACAAAATAATGTTCTAATTTGTATAGAGAGGTTCCATACAAGACACACAGTCTCTCATTTTATTTTCAATTTTTTGTCTTTGTATTTTTTGTTTTTTATGTTAAAAAAACTTCAGATTTCAATTGTGAATAATTTATCAGTGAGGATTGTCTCTATACCTTCAGTAGTGCTTCCACCCCTGGTATGCTACTAACGCCTACACACAAATTGCTGTGCTCAAACTCAATATCTTGTCTTTTGGATGTTGCTTATCTGAAAGGTTTGCAGCATCTAAGGTCATTACCTGAAGCTTTGCATTTTGGGTTTGCAGTGTTGTGTTGTTCTCCTGGAGAGAGGCGGTTTGTCTCTGTAGAGCCACAATCTGAGCCTGGAGGTTGGAGCTCTGAGTTTCTAGTTGTTTGAGTTGGCTCCTCAGAGCAGCTTTCTCTGCCTGCAGTGTAGCATTCTGCACAGAGATTTAGACATCGTTATATTGATTTAAAAAACATGCTATCTAGTATCTAGTATCTAGTACAATGTACTAAATGTGAGAGATGTAACTTACATTCCTTTCGACCTCAATAAGCCGGTCTTTGACTTTCAGCAGTTCTCGTGTGGCCTCATGGCTCTCCTTCTCCCATTTATTTACAGACTTTTGGTCCTCCCCCCCTTTAGGGGGCGAGCTCTGGACCATCCTTTCCTCCTCTTCCCTTTGTCGCAGAGCTTCATAGTTTTTCTTCACCTTTGAAAGATATGCATAACTATATAAACTACAAAACTACAAGGCTTCACCAAACCTGAGAGTACATAGTAATAATGCTGACAGGTTAATGAGCAGCCCACTCAAAGCCGGAGCTACGTTTGAGTGTGTACCCCCTGAAGGGAAGCACAAAGTCTCGCCTCCATCTCAGCCTTTGACAGACTCCTGCCGCCTCATGAATAGATAAAGTGGCGATAGAAGTGCACTGAGTGAATTAATAATGCATTCGCCTCAAGAACACTCAACATTTTCAAATACAGCGAATGATTTCAGCACAGCTTGCTGTTGGCAGTTGGCTGTAAAAAGAGGTTTTGTTATTTAGAGTAGCTGTTAACGCTTAAGTGGATTCTAGCAGCTTTGCCTTTGTTATGTAGACATATTCGACACTGAGTTTACAGTAAAAAAAAAGAAGCATATATGGATTGTATGATACTGACTGTCTTGAGCTCTTGTCGAAGCTGCTGGTTAAGGTTTGAAGACTCCTGTAATCTGGCCTCCAGAGCAGCGATCTTCTCCTCTTTGATCTCTAAAGATGACTTCAAAGTCGACTCAAGCTTTGACTCCAAGAGCTTAAACCTGACAAGAAAAAGTAAATAATTACTTGGGCTCAGATTATTTACAAATATTAAATAAAATATCTATCTGCTCTTTTCAGCTTTCATTAAATAGGAAATAGAATTGTAGGAGGCATATACATAGCTCAATAGTCCTGGTAGAGTCTAATTTCCAAGTCTAAAATAGTATTACCTATCATCAGAGCTCTCATCATGTAGCAGTCTCTCTTTGTTTAGTCCGATTTTCTCCAGCTCATGTGTCAGTTTCTCCAGATCGTTATTCATCTGTTGAGTCCGCAGCTTCTCACTCACAAGCTCCTAAACACACAGGTACAAGTTGTTTTATTTTGTTTTTATTTATTTTAAAACTATATATTAGTATTACATAATAATATAATTATGTAATTCAGTGTCAGTTACTTGTTGTTTTGTTTTATGAGTAGAGCGTTCATAGTGAGAGTACATTGATGAAATTAAAACGATTTGGGTTGAGAGATGTTGCCAATTATTTAGTAAATGGTTACACTTCCTTTTCCACCTCCAAGGCACTCAAAGCACTTTACATCAAGGAACCACTCAACCATTCACACACACATTCATACACCAGACATACACTGAGGGCAAGGTGGGTTAAGTGACTTGCCCAAGGACACAACTACACTATTGTTTATGTCGAGAGAGGGATTGAACCCTTGGATCAATGAAAAATCCCTCTACCAACTGAGCTACTTCCACTTACTGTAAATGCAATGTATTAATGGAATAACTTTTCAGCCATTTTTGTGAGGTTAAATTAAAGAAATGTTATGTACCTCTCTGAGTGTGATGAGCGTCTTCTTGTCAATGCTGGCTAGTTTGAGCAACTCTTTGTTCTCCCTCTCCAGGTCTTTGACTCTGGTGCAAGAGTCCCTGAAGAAAATCATCTCTTTGCCCATGGTGCGGTTTTCCTTCTCCAGTGCTGAGATCCGCTGGTTGTTGTCATCAAGTTTGGAATCTTTGATCTCAGCCTGTTGCCTCAGACGCTTGTTCTCTTTCTCCAGAAGCTTCTTGTCTTTTTCCAACTGCGACGTTTCCTGCTCAAGCACTTTGTTCTAAAGCACAACCAAAAACAAGAAGGAGCAGAAGTTGGATGTGATTTTCAACTCAATGTGGTGTAAATACATGTCTGAGTGGGTTTGGATTGGTGCCCACTATCTCTGAATGAAAGTGTTTGATATCAGTACATCATTAGAGTTCATTTGAGTCCAATCTTAAGTATTTTACTACTGAACCAAGTGCACAAATAAAAATAAATGAAATGAACTTAAACAGAGATGGGAGATATCAAAAATGGATACCAATTAAATATTTTAGTTATTTAGGAGATCTGTGACGTTAAAATATTGAATATAAAAAATATCTCAAAATAAGCTGCAAAAAACCCCCAAAAAACAAAAAAACACACACACACACAAAACTAAACTTGCAGCATAATATATAAACATGGGTATGGATGTCTGCATGTAAACGTTTCATTTTATTACAGTTTTCTGTGACTGTTGAACCTAAACCATGACACTTACATGATTATACTAAAATAATTTTTATGTCAGAATCACCAAAATGTTCTTTTACACCTACTAAACATTAAATTACACCAAAAAAGCTTCATACCTCTTGTTCTAGCTGCTCCAGGCGTTTACTTGAGATCTTGAGCTCCTCCAAACTGCGCTGTAGCGTTTGATTTTCTGTCTCTACTTCCTGAAGTTCTGCCTCTAATTGCTGGATTTTTTTGCTACTGTTCTCCAAGGCCTTCTGCAAGCGCTGGTTCTCAGTATCCAGGCCCTGGTAACTCACCTGAGAGAGGGGTGAGGCACAGGGGGTATTTTAAGAAACTGAACTAGTTGTGCCATTCCCCAGACAGAACTGGCCCCATAAAAAGATTTGAAGACAATTTATGACATGATGACAGTTAAAATTCTATTATTAGTTGTCCTTCTTTTAATTATCTTTTAGAACCAATATAATGAAAACCAAAAGTTAACTTTTTATCATAATTACTATCACAGTACTGCAACAATTTTCAGATTTCAATTTGACATATACCATATTATCCGCAACAGAAAAATATAAAATTAGTACAGCCTATGGTTCTAGCCTGTGTAATATATTTGCCTACAGTGATGCCACAGTATTTATATTAGTAACTTACCTAGAATAAAAAGAATAATAGAACACGACATACCTCTAATCGCTCATTCTTCTTGTTGGAGGCCTTGAGGAGCTCCAGACTGCGTTTGAGTTGGCTCTTCTCACTCTCCAGCTCCCTGTTCTCCGCCTCGAGCTGTGCTGCCTTTGCACCGGCTGATCTCAAGGTTTCAGCAGCGCGACGTAAATCCAGGTTTTCTTGTTCAATCTGTGCATTATCCTTCTGCAAAACTTCCAACTGAAACTCCATATTTTTCAATGTGTCCAACTTCTTTTTCAGACAACGGCGTTCAGCCTCCAACTCAATGTTTTCTTTCTCCAAAGTCAAAACCTGCAATTTCAACTGTTAGCACACACAATAGTCTATTCAGATTTCAAGAGTTGTGCTGCATTAGTGACAGACCTTCTCACAGGTGATCCCCAAACTTGCCACCTTCTTTTGCAGACCTTCATTTTCCCTTTCCAACTTCTGCACCTGCACCTCCAGCTCCTCTGCTCGCTCTCCCTTCTCTTTCACCACTTCCAGTTCCTTTCCTTAAAAAATGAATAAATAAATAAAAAGATTATTAAAAGCAACAGATTTATAGATTTTCATTAATAAATGTATTTCAGAATCCCTTACGTAATTGTTTCCTTTCAAACTCGAGCTTGTTGAGTTTGGCAGTGGTTTCACATATGGACTCATGCAAAACTCTGTTCTCCTTCTCCACATCTTTGACCCTGGCCTCAGCTCCGACCTGGCACCTCTGTCTCAGAGATGCCACAGTCTGATTCAGGTGTTTGTTCTCCTGCTCCAGATCCTTCATCTACAAGACATCGCCAGAGATGTGTAAACTACAGGAAAAGTTTATGACAAAGAAGCCTGTGGAAGTTATCTCAATTGTAACAAATCTCAAAAAATATTGGCAGCCACCACTACATTTTCTGACAGGAAGTAAATACAGCAAAGAAAATCAATGAGCCAATATCAATAAGCTGTGTTACAGCTGATTAATAACCATGTAAACTAGATCAAAATTAATTACACAAACCAATGAAAGAGCTGCCACAACAGTCGATCAGATTGATCAAGTACAGTCTGGGCTGCAAAAAAGGCTAAGCATACATTTGTGTAGTAAAATGCTGTATATACTGCACTTGGTTTCTAACAGTTCTGGCTAGTTTCCAATAAAAGGCTATCATAGGATAATATATATTACAAAAACATCATGGAAATAAGAATCCAGCCAGCACCTGTCTCTCGGAGTTCTCCCGGAGTGTCTCCAGGGTCTTCTCCAGTAAAGCCTTTTCCTTCATTAGCTCCGTGCTCAGAGACTCAGAACTGCGCAGTGAGTCTTTGTCAGCCACAAGCTCACTCTCCAGCTGCTCCAGCTGTACCACACAAACATACCATATAATTATCAAGAGAGAAGAAACATTTTCATTTCTTAACTTCCATAAACCTACAGTGAAAAAGTTTTATTATATAATTGTTCCAAATTCTGAAGTCAAATGCTGTTTTGATGTTCCAAACTACCAGAAGCTGCACAACCATTTTAATGAGTTTTATGGCAGGCCTAAAGCCCAAGAGCAGAGCAGTAAATTTTCCTTTAGATTTAGTCTTTGTGAGAGAAAACACAATTTAATGCTTTTTCTTCACAGAGCTCAGAGAGCAGCTTATACTTCTGAAAATAGCTAAGAGACTTCTCTTAGCGAGGGGCGTTTGGGTGTCAGTGCTCAAAAAGGGAGAAGTCTGCTGGGATTTATAGCTCTGCCTTTATGCCATCCAGGCCTTTCTGTGTGCCCTCTCTGCTTTTCTTCTTTTCCCTCTCCCGGACTCTGGGTGAAAAGATCTCAAGTCGTCTGGCAGCTTGATCTATTGGAGAAGCGATGGGCCAAAGTGTAAATCTTAGGGGGTAACTGGGATGAGGTCATAGCTTTTGATCAGAGCTCCCAGGAGTCTGACAATGACGCAGGCTTCGTGTGTGGGATTTCTCAAACATTTGTATATAAAAGAGGAGACTTTGCAAACATTTAAGAAGGTTCCAATTAAAAATATATACCAGATCCTTTACAATTCAAAGGTCAACTTACCCTCTGCTTTAGAGCCTGGTTTTCTTGGTTTGCTTTGGCCAGTTTGGCAGTGGTGTCCTGGGCTGCTGCCCCTTTGAGCTCCTCCACAGTCTTCAGCAGAGTCTGGTTGTCTTTTTCCAGCTTCAACAAACGGCTGGACGTCAGCTCATTCACCTCTTCTCCCAAAGACTTCTGAGGGACTATGTTAGAAATACATTCAAACAACAGAAGAATAAGTTAAAACTAAAGAAATTATCCATAGACCAGAATTACAGCTAGGGCTTAAAGCACTTAAGTGTAGTTTCGCCTTAAACTAAATCTTTATCCAGATCTGCTGCTAAGCCTCTTATTTGCTTTTGTCCAAACACATACAGCTGTAGATAATCCTGCAAAAGTCGCTGAATATTAATCACAGCTCTTAATGACATGGCAAAGCAGAAGTTGGAATTGCACTGTTGTAAATGAGACAATGACTTTAAGCCTGACTGCAGCCAAGACACTGGCAGTCCACTTTATACCACTTTAAACCCTTTATTGGATCACAGAATATAAAGTAATTTACTCCCTTGTTTACGTTGACACTTAAAGGTGCACTGTGAAACTGGTGGAAGGCCCGTCAGATGCTTTTCTCCTTGGAGAGGTTATTGCTTTATTTATGTTTCACAGTATGGTATTAAACCTTTCTATCTTCATGGAGATCAAACCAGACCAAGATATAGTTCAGATATGTCAACAGGTAACCCTGCTCACAGTCAGAATGCCTGTGTCTCTAGAGCCACTTCAAGTCATACTGTGGAACATTCTAAGCATGCAATGAGATATCCATTGAAACAAGGAGGTGACCCCCAACCAAAAAGTTACACAGTGCACCTGTAATAAACCCTGGTATATTACCATCAGTCAGGTCTGGTGTTTTGGAGAGTTGCTCCAACTCCCATCCGAGGTGCAGAGACTCATCCATGCTCTGCTTCTGAGCCATCTCCAGCACCAGGTTCTCCTCCAACAGCTCCTCCATGCGCTTACGGTCCAAGTCACGCTCCTGGAAACAAAACATAATCAAAAATCATATATACATCTCAAAGTTGTCACAGTTTTGGCCTGTGCAATGAATCAGCTTTTAAGATCTAGATTGAGTCATTACTAATTGCCAATGAACAGTTTAGGTCTTTCATTGAAACTAAAGCCAGTCATCTGTCAATAAATGCATGTGGTTTGGAGCAGACTTTAGAACATGGAGGAAATAAATGGATTTTGTGTGCGTGTGTATTAAATAGCAATTATTAAAATAGTAAATACCATTTCTAGTCCCATTTTCACATTAAAAAAGTTTTAAATGTAGTCAGATTGCCTCAGACTTTTCTCTTTGCTGTCTATAAGTGATATCTCCACTGTGACCCTGATGAACACCTGACCTGACACTTAACTGACCCACTGAAGCACTCGTCTTTCCAGTCATTAACTGGACAGGCCATTTTTTAAAAAGCAAGATGAAATTGAAAATCTTGATTGAGCAATACAAAAAATAAAACTTGCCCAGACCCTGTTACTATAGATATTTAATAAGTTATCCATATGTTAAATAAAAAAGGACAAGTTCTTACCGTCTCCAAATCGTGCAGTTTTGATTTGAGTTGCAGATTTTCCTTCTCCAGGTGGTGATGTTTGTCGGCACGGCTCCTGCTCGTGTCCAGTTGTTCCTCCAACATGTTCTTTGTCTCCAGCAAAATCTGATTGTCTTCTTTCAGTTCCTGAACAGCCCATTATATAATTATTACCTCGTGTACAAGCTGTTTAAAGAGTCCATATTACACAATTTTTTTTTAAATCTATGGTATAATGTTGTTTTCTCATCAAAATCACACCTGGAGTTGTGTTTTGTTTTATTCACACATGTTTAAAAGACAAACACTGCATATTTCAGATGAGTTATTCTCTCAAACTGAAAACACTCTGTTCAACCTTGTGATGTCATATGATAATATAGAAAGTGCTCCACTGTGTTTTTAAACTCCAAATATCTTCACTTGAAACATTTGGAAAACCAGTTCTGAACTTGCCAGTATCTATTGAACTACAGGTAAAAGGTAGTGGTTAACTAGAAAATGCATCATGGCATCACAAGGTGGAACAGAGAATTTTGAGCTTTGGAAATGTAGACTAAAATTAAAGGATTATTCATGAATGAGTGAATGAATGAGTGAATGAAACAAAACAACTTTTTTTGGTTTTGATAAGGTGACAACATTATAACGTGTTTTAAGGCTCACAAGAGTCACTTTTGCATAACATAAGACCTTTAAATGGTATTAGATTATGGCACACATACCTCGACTCTGGCCTTATAAAAGTCGATATCATGGAGTCTCTCTTTGTATCTACACAGTTCACTCTCCAATTTGTCCACACGCAGCGCTTTCTCCCGAAGTGCATCCAGCTCGTCCCTGTAGGCTCGTGCTGACCGGGCATCGGACATCAGCTGGTAACTCTGGAGTTAAGACATAAATATAAGATTAAGTAAACATGAAGCAGAATATTCAAGTAGAACCACATATTAAGCTATTGATACACTGCAGTGACATCACACTGGGGGTGTTCTACATGAATTTCTATGGTGGAATGTTCAGCAGTTACCAGGGTCACACGCATTAGCAAACACCATCAAAACAGTTTTTAGAGTTTGATTTTCAACAAAAAGGTAAGAGTGACTGGCTGAAAAACTCTTGGCTAATGCTAGCTATCTTGTGACTAATGTTATTTGAGGGGGACTTGTTTAACAGCACAAATCATCTCACTTGTTGTAGTTCCGATTAATTTGGCACTTTCTAGTCAGATTATATTAAAATGAAACTCAAAATAAAGTCTAACAAGCTTCATATAGAGCAGTGCTCACAGTTAGCATCACACCCCCAGGGACATCAGCTGCAAAGTATCAATGACTTGGTTTCAGATCACAATATTCTATGTGTCAATAATATGCAATACAGATGGAGCAGCTAAAAATAATATTGTTAAAATTCAGATTTAGTTGTAATACAGTGAGTTCTAGGGTTTGCCTCCATCTGGGATTAAGAGATCATCACATACTAGAGTCTGAAAATCACCAATAATCACATCTGCTACATACATTATCTATAGATGACATCAAAATATGACCAATAATCAATCAATCAATTAAAAAAACTAAATCAGATACCCAAAATCCAGTTCTTAATCAAGTCAATAAATTTGAACACTATGTCAAAGAACTGTACCAGACTTTTTTGGGGACAGATAAGCTTTATCTTGTTAAAAACACATCTCCAATATTGATAATCATGTTCCAATAAAAGATTTATATTAGATTAGGTTCACTGAAATTTTGTGCAGCCCTTGGACCAAACGGGTGTTAAAGAGTCAGTGGGTTAATGACTTTATCATGTGCGATTAGGAAGATTATCTGAAACAGCATTAGTTGGCTTTCCTCACACGCATCCTTTATACTGTGAACTCATCAACCCAGTTTATAACATGTATTTAGCAGCCACCAGGCCTCCATGCTCCGCCCACTTCAAATCAAAAGTCATGAGAGGTTGCCACTGGACTATAGATAGTTCTAATAGCCTATAATGAGCTAAAGCACAAGCTAGCTGATTAGAGCCTGGCAGTGCTGTAGAAACAAAGCACTGGGGGGAGGAGGGAGAGAGGAGCAGGTGGAGAGTGTGCTACTGTATGAATGTCTATGTGACGTATTCGAACACGTGCGGTTTTGTTACCTCCGTCTGGACCCTCTTCAGCTCTGCTTCCATGTTCTCCAGCTCCTGCCTGGTGTCCAAAAGCTGCTCACTTTTCTCCTCTCTAAAAGAAAGGAAAAAACAAAAGGCAAATTATTAATAAAATGTGTATGGCAGATTTCCATGGTTTCATAATTTAGTTTGATGAGATAATACATGTGGTCAGTATTTATGTGAGCGTTACATCAATCAAGATTCAGTTTGTGAAGAAAGTTGGTGAAAATGCTGACAAAAATTTAATTATATTAGGAAATAGAGCAGAGTTGTAAAAAGAAATTCCTCTACAACATCACTGCACAAAACTCCATCCAAAACACAACTTATAAACAAAGAACATATTTTTGGACTATTTAAACATACAAACGTTTGGACATACAAACGTATTTAACAATATAAAGGTGTTGTCATAGAATCGTAGATATTAAATAATCACTATTGTGCAAATTTGATTTGGGCCTTGTTTACCATTTGTTTGCTATTTAACAATTATGTAATTGTAAAAATCAAAATTATCACACTAAGAAAAACTAGTTTCTAATCTTAAAGATAACATGTTGAAAATGCATTAGTGTAGTGTGCTGTCTAACTTGTCATATGCACTTAAAAACATCAGTAATTTTTATTATAAAGCAGACAATGTTTGTAGTAACTCTGAGGTAAGGTAAGATGAATGGGAAGTACTTAAAGATACAGCTCAACCCACTAACCTAGTTTCTTTATTTGGCAGAGCATTTTGTGTTTGTGTTTGAGATGTGATCAGGACTAGTCTGGTGTGTATATCCCTCTAAGCTCCAAATAAGTTGACAATCTAGACAACTTTCCAAAACAGTTCACTGCTTCGGGTTATAGTTCAGGAACACATAAAGTAATGATGTATATCCAAACATAAATATAGCTTTGACCATGGGGAAAATGTTTTGTTGTTTAAAAGGTCCTGTACTACCCAGAACGGACTCTTGTGAGTTTTAAGCCATGTTATAATGTCGTTATCTCATCAAAAACATACCCGGAGTTGTGTTTTCTTTCATTCATTCATCATACATGTTTGAGTAATCCTGGTCTGTTAGTCTGTCTTAAAATGCTATGTTCCACCTTGTGATGTCATGTAGTGGTAGTTTTCAAGTTAACACATCTCCAGGTATGTTTGTGATGAGGAAATAACATTATAATATAGATCAGAAAATAGTGTAATATGGGCCCTTTAATGATAACTACAAACTGTAAGCTTATATCCAATATTTGATGCTGTTATGGAAGATCATTACCAATATTTACAGTATTAACATTTCAAAATTGATTGCAAGACCCACATATCACAAGAACGTAAATAATATGTAAAGATTCTAGTAAAATGTATTCTCTAAATATTATTTGTTGTAGTTTTTATGATAATTGTGTACACATGCAACCACCTCTAGCCTATTGCTCTTTTACTTCAATTAGAAATGCTTAACTTCAGTAAAGAAGAGAGATTTGTCGTCGTGCTTTGAAGAGAAAGGAGTGCATTCCTGAGATGCTCAACTCTGGCTCTTGTGAGTGACACCGCAGAACATCTGATGGCCTGTTTGATTACAGCTCACTGAGTCTGGGGAGCATTTCAATAAGGAAAAAGCCATCATCATTCTGTTGTTTTGGTTCAGTTCATAACGTTGGGATGAAGACGAGATGCAGACAGGATGTTCAATCATCTGTGTTTGTTTCATCAGTTAACCCCCTCCACACCGCTCTGTGTCTGTGCTCTCCTTCACCAAATCAGAAACACCTGTACACTTCAGCTTTTCCCATCAGGGCGCAGCTGCTCCGAGAGGTTTGATATGATTCTCCACACGCGACGCATATGAGCCCAACAACAGACATGCTCTAAGAGGCATATACGGACTAAACACTATTGTAACCATGCTCGTTGGTTTTCCTAAGCACTATCCACAGTTTTTAAATCTGATCATAGTGTTCAGTTTAAGCCTGTCACGGTAACAAATTTTGAAGCATGATATATTGCTCCAGAGATATACTGGGATAAAACTACTTTATACCACTGAAATAAAGCAGGATGATCCCATTAAGCCCATTTTTAAAGAGATGGGATCATTAAAAAGCCTGAGCTACAACAAATTAAGGGCAGAATGAACCATAATCATAGCAGGTATTTATTCTACAGCTCAAATCTTATTGTATTACATAAAAATGGCTAAACTCTCCTAACTATAGCAAAGAAAAAATAATGCATCAGACACTCAAAGAAACTTTACAGAGCATTATTCATTCACTCCACACCCGGTGATGGTAAGCTACTACTGTAGCCACAGCTGCTCTGGGGCAGACTGATTGAACGAGGCTGCCAATCTGCGCCATCGGCTCCTCCAACGACCACCAGTACTCACTCACACACACACACACACAGGACTTTCCTACTAGGCAATGAGGGTGAAGTGCCTTGCCTAAGGACACAACAACAGTTCTGATGACTGGCGCCCCCCGTGGCACCTGATTTTCCCAGCGGTCTCCCATCCAAGTACTAACCAGTCCCGGCCTTGCTTAGCTTCTGAGATCTGACGTGATAAGGCTTTGACAGGCCGGTATGGCCAAAAAGTACACACAATACATATTGAGCCCCAAAATAAGTGTCCCAGCTTTCATATATTGAATGATAAGTCAATACTGTAATTAATTGATATTGACAGGCTTAATATAACCATACTTCTTGGTTTTCCTATTCACTATCCACATTTTAAAAATCTTGTTTAAGTCTTGTCATATTGCTTAATTTCTGTGATGCTTGTTCTAAAAATCTTCCTTTTGTTAAGGTAAGACATAGACACATTACAGCATTTTTAAAGTATAGTGGCCATGAGTGGTTGTCGAACATCCAGAAGGTTGTAAATTAAATCCCACCTACGGCCTGTAAATACTGTTGTAGTGTCCTTGGGTAATGCACTTCACTCACTTTGCCTGTGTGAATGCAGTGTGTAAGCAACTGGCAGTTACTCCACCCGTCAGCCCCAGGGCAGATGAAGTTTCAGAAGAAGTTCAGGAAGTGTAGGGTACGGAATGACTACTGTATTGCTGAGAACCAGAAAACATGGTATTATAACTCTTTGGTGATTACTGACAAAGTCCCTGGTATTTTTAATATTCTGTACTATTATACATCTTAACTGGCTAAAATCTGTTGCTGGACTACAGTAGTATTTATAAGATCAATTAGAAACAGAGCAGCGTGGGAGCAGTGACCCATACCCCTCGGCTCTACACTCACAAACACACAACAGCACAGGCCCCATGACCACACAAATGTACCACAGAGAACTGCCACCAACTACAGCACGAGTTTAGAAAAACAGGGACAAACAGTCTCCTTTATGGCTGTTCAGCATGACCACATGACAAAACACAAACACCGCCATAGCAACCAGCAAGCCAATTTGAGAGAGTTCGCTTATACCACTAAAGGCAACCCATAATGAATTAATCTTTTAAAGAATAGTTAGAGGAGACTTACTGACAGAATACACAAATCAAAGTGAACTTACCACTCCTCAAGAGACTGCGCTAAATGCTGATCACAGGAGAAGCCCTCTAATTAGAGCCTACTGCTCAGAGTAATGCTAACTTGTGGTTGGATGTCACTTACATTGACAAAGCGCAGAATAAACCAGCCAATACAACATAGAAAGTAAATTATACACTGTTAGTTATGGGAGATACTTGTTGCACAAAGACAGAAAAAAATTTGACTGAAATTGTTATTTATAAACAAGAACTTGATGAATCACATTTCCCCGAAGTTTGTAACAGTTTGAAGAGATGAAAGATGAAGTAAATCAGGGACTCCAAATGGAAACTATTTAGAGATTTCTGGTGTAGAACATCTAGGCCTGTACTATATCAATTTATTTAAAATATGAAAGCTGAAACTATATTTTTTGGGGTCAATATTTATCATGTGTACATTTTCTTTACACTACTGGGAAATTCTTGGTAACATTTTGTCCACACAGTTAGATTTAAGCTGCAAAAGTTTTAATTAATAACTTATTTCACTAATTACAGATGCAAACCAAGTAATAAAGTGTTTCATTTTGCTATTTATTTTTTGCAGCTCATGTTTTTTTTTTTTTTTTTTTTAAACCATATTGTACATTTAGAGTAATTTTTGTGCTTTAAATCCGGTCTTGGGTTTTTGTGTCAGTGGCATAAATTAGTTTGCATATTGTTTATAGTCTATATTAACTTCAACAATATTTCATATTCTAAAATTTGTTATTGTGTGACAGGTCTAGGAGCATCTCTTTTTCTATGAGTTTCAAGTCTCTTTTTGAACATTTAGCAATCAAATAATGACTAAACTATCTATACATTTTGGTATGACATAGCAGTTTAGGTCAACTCATGGTGGAAGGAAGTGAAGTAAATATATTCATCCTGTGTGACTCATTGTTGCAGGTGTTCAGTGTTTTAGTAAGACTCAAATTAGATCATTTTCCCTTTATTTCAAAGCAGGTTTCCTTCTGAACCAGAATTATTCATATCTGCTTGACCCATTGACCTCTTGGAGTTTCCTGTTTGCATCAGGCTCACTGTAAATAAAGACTTATTGAGCAGTGATAGTACTCACAGCTCCTGCCGTAGTCGTCTGATCCGGGCCTTGGCGTCGGCCAGCTCCACAGAGAGGTGCTGGCGGCTCTCAGTCCTCCTCAGACTGGGGGAGCCGTTGGGGGACTGAGCCGGACATGGGCCTAGCGGAGACAACTGCACACAGTCTCTTTCCTGAGTCAGCTCCACAATGGTCTGCAAGAGCGAGAGGGGGGAAGGGGTCACATAAGATGAGAGCAATCTATGGATGTTAAGGCACAAGACAAGAATAACTTTATTTACTTGAATTAAATGTACTTTCCAAATCAATATTAAATCTCATTCAAGGAAGATCTGCTATTTTAAAATAGTTTAGTAGTATTAGTAATAAGCATTTTAAATATATGGGTTTGATTGTTACAATAAAATTCTGCTACTATTTTTGCCCATGCTCAGGGTGCCTCACCCACACACAGTCGATCCTGATCTGATGAGAGGAAATGGGATTTTAATTGAGAGCAGTGATGGTCTGGAGGCTATTAAAACTCTGATAGACAAAGTTGGTTGTATCAGTCCAGGGCATCTGCCCCCTCTGAGCTGGAACCTAGTGTAATGACGCATTTAATGCATTAACACAGAAACACACGTGGAGTCCTTATCCACGACACAGTTAACAGTTTCAACCCTTCCTTCCTGAGGCAGCTCTGCGGTCATGGCAAAAAGAGAAAAGTTTCCACATTGCCATCCAAAGCCAAAGCACTCACTCATTTTATTAGTCAATTTTAGTTTTGAGAAGTCAAGTCACACAAACAGCCAAATAAAATCACTGGAGCTTTTCCTCATTCATGCTACTCTCTTACCTCTAGTTGTGTGTCTCTCTCATCCACCAAGTGTTTCAGGTGGAACGCCAGATTTCGGGAGAGACTGTCTAGGTCTTCAGGGGGCACGTCTCCACTTTCCATCCACTGTAGGTCCACCACATTTTCCTGATTATGAGTAACCTGTAAAAACAAAATTGGAATTATTCTCTGATCTGTTTTTGATATTACTCTACAGAATGTATAAAATAAACATACCTCTTGAATGTGTGATGCTATAGCAGCTTTAGTGTCAAAATCCAAAGTCTGGATTCGTTCAATATATTCCTCCTTCTTTTCACACACTGCAGAGAAAATAAATTCATGTTTATTCTGGTATTCATGTATTTTTAAACCCAAGTCTCAATGATTTTCATGAATAAAAGGCAAGATTTACTAATGCATTTTGTTTATATGCAGTAGCCACAACTCAAACAAATATGAGTAAGGAGTCTTTTATATATTTACAATGGAGATGGTGGAGGGCTATCGCAGCTGTTTAAAATGTAATTTAGCTCAGCCTGAATAGGGTCATTGTATTACCCAGCCAACATTATCAGTGCCATCTATTTAACACCATTAGGTTCTGTGTTAAAGAGATTATTTTTTATCGTAAGCAGCAAACTACATTTCCCCCAAATCAAATTTACTAATTACTTATTAATTCCTGGAAAACACACGTGTAACTGTACTACAAATTTGACAACACTGAATCATAAAATTAGGATCATATGAAATGAGAGTAAATATGGCTAAATTGTTTCTATTGTATGTGTAGCAAGAAAGATTAAATTCTGTCTATTTTATTTGATCATTTTTATGTCAGTGTGAGTGCATGTTTGTTACCTGGACAGCACAGCCCAATAGCAGCAACAGTAATTTCTTCATTTCATCCAAGCCTTGCACTGGAACAGACAAACACAACTGTATTAGGGCATCATAATGTACCCAGCATATTTTTATAGTGTTTCAGTGTAAACAAAATAAACAGAATATCAATCACGTTGACATAGGTTAGCCACACAGGTTACCCACGGTTACCAACGGTGTTTTATAATTCTGCTTATAATGTAACCGAATCCAATGCCTTTAGAGCAAACAGTCCTTTCAGAAACATTTACTAATCCATATTCTCATGTCAGTGCCAGGATGTGCAGTGTGAATTTCCTGTAGAGCTGCACATGCCGGGGCGTATTGTCAAAAATGTTGAAACTGAAAAACAGCTGCTACCAACAGGCCTGAGCTCATCCAGGGATCTGAGCCTCTGAGGGAACCAGTTGGGTGCATACATTTGAACTGAGTAACTCACGCATTTTAAAGAAGGTGGAGAGCTGCAGTGTGAGTGTGCATAGGCCTGTCACGATAACAAAGCGTGATATATTGCTGAAGTAAATATAGACAGTAAACAATAATATTGAAACTAACTGATGCCACTGACACAAAAACCCAATGGCAGATTTAAAACACAAAAACTATTCTTAATGTAGAATTCTGTTTAAAAAACCATGAGCTGCAATAAATAAATAGCAGAAAGAAACACATAGACATTTTAATTCAACCTTTTAAGGCTCAAATTTTATCATAAAGGCAAAAAATAACCACTAATTTCCCAGTAGTGCAAAGAAAATATGTACATGATAAATATTACTGACCCCAAAAAATATTGTTTCACCTTTCGTATATTGAACAATAAGTTGATCTTGAAATTTCTGTGACAGGCCTAAGTGTGCATGTTCACCTATTATAGAGTATTTCACATAAGCCTGCTCATTATAACGCCCAGGGGGGGTGCAAGTGCCAACACCAATAATAAATCCAGATTAGCAATAGCCACGAAGGGCACGGTGCACTGAAAAATACAAAATGTACTCAAGGCTATAGCACTAACATACAATGCATCCACTCTAGTAACAGTTTGATCCAATTTCATGCCTCAGGTAATTGACGCTGTGTAAGTGGAAAATAGAGAGATCATTTAACAGAAAATAATTACCCTCAGATAAGCAAGTAGTATTATAATGAGTGGGTTCAGCAGAGGCACTTCCTATGGGAGAAACAATCAGTCAAAATACTGTCAGTGTCTCATTGACATACCTTCAGTCCTCCAAAGTCCTCAACTGATTTAAATCAATTTTTACAGATTTTTTCAGAATCAACAGAGACCAGGATCGCACTGTGTAGCTACAGGAGTAATGTTACAATTAAAATAGTACAATTACTGATATTATTTTACACTAGCATTTGCAATAACCATAAAATGTGTTATTGTACAATTTATAGTAGTACAATTTCTTATAAAACAGTCTTCCAATGGTGATTATAAATGTGGTTTGTGATTCATTTAGAATAATTGCCCTCTGCTTTCCTGCGCAGTCTTTTACAAATGTGTGGGCTTTGCTAATTACAAGTGTCAATGCCAGCCTGAAAACTGTCAAATCACCACATTCAAATCAACATATGCCTGCTGAATACTGGGAATAATGAGAATAATAATCCTGAGCATAAGAATAGTAATGGCTGATAAAAATGTCTTTCTTTGCTTCAGGGCTTTGCAGCACTTTTAAGACGCTATAGGATCCAGTGCAGGAAAAGGATTAAGTCTGACAAATCTAATGCTGCAAACGCATTGGAAGATAAGGGACTCTGGCAGGTTAAATAATTTATAGAGTCAGGGAAGAGAGGTAGATAAAAGCAGTGAGACAATAGGAAGAGAGGAGAAAAGACGAACAGCAATACAAACACAGAGGAGATGTAAAGAGAGTGGAGGAGCCTGAAGAAGGGAGTGAGGTGAAGGCTAGAAATAGACAAGAGGAGCCCCTAGCTGCAACAGACGGGGAGATTCCTGTCTCAGCTGTCTTGTGTGGTTCTCATCCTTCACATCACACTGCATACAGAACTGAATACAAGTTTGAATGTTTTAATGGCAATGAACAAAATGTACAGCAAAAATTTACCAACAAATGCAATCGGAGGCGTTAGATCTTTCCCAAGTCACAGATCAGTAGGGCTGTCACAATAACAAATGCTGAAGCACTATATATTGCTACAGAGAAATATAATGATAAATACTACTATAATATATAATGATAAATAATAATAATAATAATAATAACACTGAAACTTCATACTACTGATACAAAAGAAATAAAGCAGGATAATGCCTGTAAACCATTTTAAATACAGTATTATTCAAAAGGCCTGAGTTGCAACAAATAAATAGATGAATTAGCCAATAATTTGCTAGATAACTTATTTATTCAACCCTCTACAGCGCAGATTTTATCTTATTACATTTAAAATAACAAATCCTCCCATTTTTCAAAGACAATGTACACATGATAAATACTGAGCCCCAAAATATATCGTTCCATCTATCATTTATTGAATGATAAGTCGATACGTCTAAGTAGTTTATAGTAATATGAATACGGATCAGGGCTTCTAGTTAAAAGAACTAAATGGGCCTTAACCCGACTACTTAATATTTGACACTGACATAACTAATAAAATGAGAAGTACAAGTGTGCAAAATACTGAAATATCTGCTTAATACTGATTACTGAATTTTTTGCCATGTGATACTTAATATTATTGCATCCTGTATCGTAACAATGATCAAATCCTAATGAGAACTATAACATGCTAACTTGCCCTTTTATCCATTAGCCTTTTCACAGTGTACCACTTCTTAAAACCTTGCCATCCTCTCCACTTCCTGTGACTGCATATGTTACTCAACTATCACCCCATATTCCCTCCCCTTTGCTCACTCTCTGCTCCATCCCAACTACAGGAAACCAAGGGTCGTGAGGACACTGACTAAACCCTCTTCCTGCTCAGCCATTGTCAGTCTCTATTTGAGGATATGACTTGATACCACCGTCATATAAGAAATAAATTGTATTTGCTTGGGTGTGTAACAACTAAACACGCCCCCTTTGGTCCATGACACACTGGTGACAAAACAATGCAGGCATGATGAAGCATTATTGACAGGTGTTTAATGTCATTCAGTGTGCTGAGTCATTGAAAAGATGTGTTCAGCGTCCACCCAGTAAGTCTGTGCGCTTCTCGTATAACCTCCAGAGGCACAAATACAAATCGATACAAATCGACAACAATATCTGACAAATGGAAATATAATCGCTATGGAGAAAAACAATCAATAATCAATCAATAGCCAAGAGTGAAAACAGTCACATAGTCTTAACACAAGTCTTTGGTAAATATTTACTGACATAGTGAGTTAAATAGTCTGGAAAACACTGGATTTATTTGAACCTCATAATCCAGGTTTAGCTGTGGATTGTCCAGCTTTAGGTTTTTATAAGTATTATTCAAATCTAATTTAAAGTCCACACATTAGGGCGCACTAATGACCATTTCAGTAGTCATGATAATTACTATATTGACTTATCATTCAATATATGCTAGATGAACAATATATTTTCAGGCTCAATATTTACCACATGTCCCTTTTCTTCACACTAGTGGGGGCATTTTTCTTGCTTTTACATTGTATTAGACCTACACAATAACATTTGAGTTGTAGGTGGTCGATTATCTATCATACATAAGATTATACTTTAGTGTTTCATTGTACTGTTTATATATATTGCTGGCCACATGATATTGTCATGATATTTTCATAATCAATATATTGCACTTCAAAGTTTGTTATTGTGACAGGCTTTTCAACTAGTCAGCAATTATTTATTTGTCAGGTATTAGTAAAACAGTTATTTCTAGTTCAAAATTATTTTCAATGTGTCTTGATCAGATAATTACTGAATTTGTCATCAGTCATTTAAAAAACAATTACTAGTTGCAGTAGTTCAAAATCAGGCAATTACACAAAATATGCAATCTTTTTTTTAATGCAATTTCAATAGACCTGTGAATAATGAAAAACCCTTGTCAGACATCTAAAGTTACCAGAGCTTTCCAAAAGATCAGACAAGGTTTTGTGTGATACTTCATAGTATGTGGCACAGACTAAACAAAGAATGTACAGTTCCCCCTTTGCCTGATGTGAGCACACAAATCGGCCTATGTCCCTGGGTTTGACTGTGCATGTGTACCATGTGTAGACAAAACAAAACAGGGTTAAGTCCGAGCCTCGGGGGCACGAGGGTCCATTCCCGCATTGAACTGTTTGGAAGACGACCCTCCCCCATCCACAATCACTCACACACAAACCCCTTGCCCATAATGGTGCATAATAAAAGCCACATGGCCAATGACTTTCAGCTGCCAGTTACAGAACCACTGGTCTGACTGGGAGACTGAAGGAGTTTACTATGTGGCTCATGAGGATACTAATAAAAGTGGTCTGCTATATGTTGGTGAAAATTTATTTGTGACCTGATTCCTGAAATGATTAGCTATTTTGGTGAATTGGCATATTTTGATTCAGCAATTCTCTGTTCAGCTCTTTGCTTCTGTGTACTCTCGTCTAATAGGTCAACCTGTCATGCTGAGTGAGAGGCAGATAGATTTAAGGAATCAGTTAGGCCGATCACAATAATTACTACTATTACTGTATATGGATTTATCGTTCAATACATGACAGATGGGATAATATTTTTGGAGGTCAATATTTATAGTGGGTACTTTTTTCTTGCACTAGTGGAAAAATCTTACTTCAAAATGTGTTATTGTGACAGGCCTAATTAGAGTGAACTGTGAGTTCTCCCAAAGACACTTTATTTACCTCCTTAAGATAACATACTTGTGATCTACGCTCTAATCCAGTGCCCCAACTCAGGTATCAAGTATATTGTACAGCAAATTGATGTTAGTAGCATTCTCAGCACCGTGCAGTTGTTATTCTCCCATCCTTTTGCTACAGGGTGACACAAATACAGTATATGGAAATGTGTTGAAAACCATGACATAATGACAATGTCTGTGGTGAGATCTGAAGACAGCTGATAGAGCAAAACAGGTTACACATAAATTTAGCTGTTTAGCAAAGACCATAAATCCTTCAACAACTTAGACAGAGTGATGATCTGACATGTGACTACCAGGAAATGTAAACAAAAGTCTTATTGGTGTGCATTCTGCTCCTGTTATTACAAATATATAAATACGACCAACCTAGTACCTACTACTATTCCTACTACCATCACCAGGCAATATAATATAATAATATAATATTATATGAATAATTTAATGTATTTAGTACATAACAAAAGATGTCTCACCTGAAAGAGGGTTTCGACCTAGGACCAGCACATTTGGCAAAGGCATCATCACCAGCTGTTGTAGACTTTCCTGTCAAAACAGAACAAAAAAAAAAAATCTTAGAAAAAAAATAAGGTTTATTAGTATGAATGAATAGTACACAGACATTCACAACTTTAGAAATACTATGTTTATCTAATAACACCACAAATCTTCGTAACATTTGTATTTCAGATGTATGCTTTCAGAACAGGGATTGCCTGTCAGTCACAACAACCACCATGAATCAGAGCACTTCTATTCACAACACGCCTGAAGGAGACATCTGCACAGACAGGGATGGTCTGGATCCAAGGAGGCAGTTGTGAACAAGTTATCTGGTTAGAAAATGGGAAATGCCAAAAAGAATTTCCTAAAACGGGATGTCTGGGCTGCCTGCCAAAAATATTTTCATAGCTTTAACCCTCACAGGTCAAGCTCAGTGTGTCAAGCAGAGAAAACATGCTAGGCTACCATCAATATTTCATGTGTACCTTATGGCCTACTGTAGTTTGAACTCGTCTGACCTGGGGATTTGCCCAGTGGAGACATGTTACTGCTGAGGTCATTTAAACTGCTTTATATAAGTCAAGGGTTTTCACAGAGCCCTTTTCACCACAGCCATCTGTCCAATACATATTGCATTACCTCACCCAGGTGATAAAAGAAGCAGAAAATGTGTTCATGTGAGTGTACTATACATCCCTGCTTGGACAGCACTGTCCACAGCATTGTGCTCTGATGTGTGTTTGTTGCTCTAAGTGTCTCCACAAATGTGTTTCTTTGTAAACACTTTGTGGTATATCATCACTATCAGGGGTCTGCAGTATTGGATAGTGTCAACAGTGTTTGTTTGGCTTTATCACCCTGTAAACTCATAATCCAACAGGGCAGGTGAATCAATAACACACATATAAGAACAAAACAGAAACACATACATGTATAAAGTGTAAAAGGTAAATATTGCTTATAATAACATGAAAACTCTTCCAATTCATTAAAGTAAAAAAAATGAAATTTTCAATACGACCATTGTAGAGTGTCTTCACTAAATGAGCACTCAGTAGTCTGCTACTTTCACAGTGACTCAGTGTTACAGTGACGGCTGCTGGCACTGGTCAACACTGATGACCAGGCTCTGGGATAAATCAGCTGCCGTTGCCTTAAGAGTCAAATGTAGGTCGGAAGTGCTTCTTTCCAAAAATATAAAACAATGGAATACATTTTCTATTAACCATGTTATTTATCAAAAGCACACTATAATATCACATAACAGTACAGAAATGAAAATGAGACTATAAATAATGTGTGGGAGCGCAGAAAGGCTTTGTTTACTCAGATTTTACTGTACAGCTGTTTAGCCTTGAACAACTGTTTGGGTGAAAACAGGCATCAGCAAAGTGAACCAGGCACACTGTATGTATGTCCGCCCCAGCCCTTTCTCTGAGCACCTGTCTCTGAGCACCTGTCTCTACTGTCTACACCTGTTCCTCAGAGCGGCAGGTGTGTAGTGTAGTGAACTTTAAACTGAATTTATAGCTTAAGTTGCTAGGAACCATTAGAAAATATCTAACCATTATTTTTCTGACAATTATTGCATGTGTTTCCAACACTAAATAACTAATCCCATGCATTTCCAAACATGTTTGTACGTAAAGGCAGAAAGTACAGGGTTAGCAAATTTTATACAAATTCATATAATCTGCTGCCCTAAATTCCACCATTTTCCTTTTGCCTCTTAGTGAGCACAGAACCCACACTGCCTGGATTCCGCACGCTTTACCTAATGCTTCAAATGTTGCTGTGCACATGGTTTTGTGGATGAGCACAAAATGACAGACATCAGGGATTAGCTGCAGTGCTAAATAACTGGAGTAATATGTGGCCTGGATTAGTGGGTAAAGGCTTAGCTCTCATACATAAAACATGATGGACATTGCAGAGGAGCGAGCAGTCACCACACAACAGCATGTCATAGAGATTCACATGAGTCAACACACACAGCTTATTTCTCTACTGCAGTGAAAAACAGATGGAAAAAAACTCAAAGCTGTCTCCTCTAAATGCATTAATCCTTAAACCGTACCTGGAATAATTTGTGGGGAAGGTGGTCAGGAAGACAAAAAAAGATCTAAGAAATTAGAATTAGGGTTGTAAAAAAAAAAAAAATCCAGATTCTAAACAATACTGAAACCAATGTCAGAACTAGATCAAAAGGAACCCAAATAGGAAATAATCAGATCTTTCTTGGGTATTTTTAGAATTAGTCTTAATCTACTGTATATAAGTACTATACAATTTACAATATTGTAGCAGTAAAAACTACCATTGTATTGTGTTAATAGTAAAAAAATGGAAATGTGAAAAAAGAAATTTAAACAAAAAGTATTACATATCAAGTCTGAGATTTTTCTACACTAGAAGAAATAAACAGTTGGAAGATTTGATGGAGAGAAGATGAGGGATGAGCTGCTGCTTTGATTTGATCACTTCTCTCTCCAGGCACGCAGGATTGACACGGCTCTCCATCCTTCACCCCCTCCCTCCTCGTTGTCCTCCTCCCCCCCCCCCTTTCCTTCCTCTACATCAGTACATTATTGATTCTAGCAGGATGCAGAGTCCCTCAACAGTGGCTCATCTTCCATCCCACAGCGACACTTGGTCTGATAGATGGAAACAAAGGTTAAGAAAGAATATGTCAAATGCAGTCACAAGTATTCACTTTACTTGTCTCTTTTTGTTATATGGAGAGACAGACTTAAGTTAGTAATTGATAATTGAAAATCTCAGACCTATCAATGTTGAAAAAATACTATAATATAATATCAAATATGATCAGAAATGAAAATGTGTTTGTATTTCTACATTCAAGGAGGTACATTGAGTAGATTCAATTAAACATTTTGTGTGAATCATAGTTTCTATCAGCAATATAATTTAGTAGTGTGACCTATTGCCCATCCCCAAGAAGAAGATAGAGAAGAAGATAAGATTTGACACTAAAATACATATCCAATCCAGATTTTGCGGGATTTGGAAAAAAATGTAATAAATATAACTGCGTTTGTGGTTACATTTCTTTCTTTTTTTTTTTTTTATAATAGGATTCTGTTAAAATTTCACATTTTAAACCCATCCTGAATTGACAAAAATAGTTTATATGAACTGAAAAACTAGTTAGCAGTTCTTATGCAGATTGCAGAATAAGATATATTTTGATATCCATTCAAATTACAATTTTGATTTGACTGCAATTAATCTTTCAGCCAGCCCTATGTCTATATAAATTTAGAACAAAGGCATGTATATTTTGTTACATTTCGTAAACAGGAAAGATAACCAAGCCTTGCCTGCTCGATTGTTTATAAGTGGACAACATCCCATGGACTAAAACACTCACCACTGACAACAGAAATTTGTCTGAAACGTCGTCGCCTGGAGAAAAGCTCAGGCAGTCCCTCCCACACACAGTACTACTGCGGCTCTGCATGTCAAGGGCGAGACAGTCCAGCCCTTACAGTAGATACAGCTGTGGGCATGAGTATGTGTGCTAAATTGGGGTCAGTGCAGAGGTTATAAGGCTGCACTGTTCTTAACCTCACAAACACTTGGACCGTTAAACACACACACCTCTGTACGACTCTTTCCCATCCTTCGACCAAAGTGCCAGTTCCGCTGCTGGCGTGGTTGTAACAGGGGGCTAATTGTGCGTTCGCCTGTGCATGTGCGGCTGAACCCTGAAAGCCTGAATCACACCCATTCTGCAGAACTGGAGGGTTACCATAGAAACCACGCGATGGGTTTATCCTCCCCAACCTCACCAGTCTGACACACATAGTAATAGATGTATGAAAAAAGCGCATAGCTTCACAAATGCTGTACTTTCTCATGTTATATGCACACACACACACAAACATACACACACACACGAAAGCCTCTCTGGGGTTCAGCACTGTGGACTTATCTTCTAGTGAAAAACCGCACAGATTATCATCATGAAGGGTTATTTCCACCAACAATAGGAAGAGGCATGCTTCCCATTTCTCTCACAGTCAGTAGATACATACACTGTAAACGATAAAAATATATAGCAGCTCTCTGTAGTTCCCTCTATTGTTCTCAAAGGTGACAGAATAATACAACTCAGTCAAGTCAAATACCTTTCTACTGTATAGGATCCAGTTTAATCAGGATGGCAAGATGTCAAATGTATAGTGCTTTTCTGCCAATGGGCACTCAATGCACCTTACATCAAGAAAACACTCACCCATTCACAAACAGGATGTACACCAGTATGCAGGCACCAGGGGACAAGGCAGGTTAAGTGTCTTGCCCAATTCACCTGTGGGAGGTGGAATTGATCCTTCAAGTGGATTTGACCGCTCAACCAACTTCACTAATGTTGGATCAGTGGATGAACATAACTGAGTTACTGCTGCTCAGAACTGGACTGGACAATAATACAGATAATTTTAATATAGATAAAAATAACAATCACAATTTATTAGGAGTAGAAAGGTGACTTGTTTTGTGGCTTTGCAGAGACATCACGCAGGGGTGTTCTACATATATCTCCATTAGCAGAATGTTCAACAGTTACAGAGGTGACAAAACGCACATATCATTTAAGTCTAAAAACTGGATTAATATAACACAATTTCAGGAGCCTGTGATCAAAATGGGCGTTCATAGTCCCATTTAGGGTTTGATTTTCAACTAAAAAGGTGAGCGTGACTACCTGAAAAACTGTTGCTTGCTAGCTTGTGACTTTAATGCTATGTGTGAGAGACTTGTAGACAGCACAAAACATATCACCTATTGTAATCCCTATCAAATCAGCTCTTTCTTGTCAGACTGAGGCTAAAACAAAGCTCAGATTAAAGTCTAATTTGAGTCACAGAGCTTCTAATAGAGTAGTGCTTTCTGTTAGCAATCAATCAATCAATCATAAAATAATTATGATTTTTGTTGGTAGAGGAACCCCTATGGATGACAGGTGCCAATGAGTTCCCTCCTTCCTAACAGAGATCTCAACTGAACTTTCAAAAGTA